CGTGGTGCCACGAATTTTTATTCGTTATTTATTCACAGATAATCATTTTTTCATCGCGCACTGAATGCCGGAATTTGTGCGCACTTTATTTTAATTAACTTTGCACAACGCGGCCCCTGTAATTCATTCAGTGCGCGATGAAATCTATCTGACTGGCCGCGGTGTGTGATATCACTCCCATGTTAAAACTCCATTCGATTTTGAATTATGCGCATGTCCCCTATCGCTTTCCGTACAATTTTGGATAATATTGATGGCTCTAACGAGGAGAACTTTGAGATTTCCCGATTCTAGCGCGCAGCACATCCAGGACCATGATGCGCACTTTTATCAGATTCGATTCTAATATGGTTTCAAAGATAATGGTCATTAAAAGAGGGCGTATGCATACAGATTACACGTGGCGTTATGTTGAAGTGACCCTTGCAAAGGGTTCCATTGAAAATATATTATTTTGGGCCATTTCATGTCTTTTAATTGATATTGTATAAAATATTTTCAATGTTTGAAAATTATAATCTTATAAATAACATTTTATGTAATAAAACTGTAACGAAATGGTAAATACGGAATATGATGCAATACAATGCAGTGCAATATGATGTTATACAATGCAGTGCAATATGATGCAATACAATGTGGTGCAATATGATGTAATACAATGCGGTGCAATATGATGCAATATGAATGTACACCTTCTACAGTCAAATAAACACAGATAAAATTGTAATAGTATGTTAGTGTATGGAGTTTGAAGTGGGTGGGGGATACAATTACCAGTCTGCTGATTGATAACTTAATAACTTAGAAAAGATCTCCTAGCTTTTAACAGGTGGCACCTTATGTTCTTGAACAATCTCGTCTAAGAATACAGACCCGTATCATGGATTAACCTGGGGGAGTGGTTTTACCAAGGGGGAGATTTTGCCAAGAGGGGGGAGCTTTTGCGAAAAGTGCTAAGAATGGTGAAAAACTGCATGATTTTGAACGAATATTTGGCAAGGGGGAGGGGGTGAGGCCCCCTGGCTACGGCCATGGAATACATATAGGAACTTTCCTTCTCCCAGAAGAAATGGTATACAGGTATTACATCAATCATTCTGGTATTTTGTATACGAAGGTCTGTAGTTACTTTATTGAAAGATGGCAGTGTACACTGTGTACTACCATTTTGAGGTCAGTTTGACTTTATAATTCTGCGCACTATAATCTGTAATTCTCATAGATATCCTCTCTAGAGGCATCACTGTGATCCAAAATTACAATTTCGCAGGTCAAGTCTGCAGTCTTTCGAAAAAAGTTGAATTCGTTGTGCTATCTTTTCTTGTTGGGTATTTATTAACAGAAAACTATAATTACATCGCGCCAGCATATACAAGCTTCAGCGCGATATTTTGAGTGTGTTAATAAATAAAGTGCGCAGAAATCGATCTTACTGGGCCGCGGTGTGCGATATCACTCATAAACAATTTTTAATTGCGCACTGAATGAATTACAGGGGTGCGTTGTTCAAAGTGAATTAAATAAATAAAGTGCGCAGAAATATATCTGACTGGGCCGCGGTGTGTGATATCACTCCCATGTTAAAACTCCATTGAATTTTAAATTCTGCGGTATATCCCCTTTCGCTTTCCGTATGACATCACTTAGGTGGCAACATTTTTCAATGTTAATCTTTTCTTAATATGCTAAACTTAAAAAATAAAACAATTTTGACTGTCTAACCAGGTTAAAGGATGAATATGTTTTTAATATTGTTTTACCATTGGTTTCTAATTAAAATTTTGAAATGCATCTTTCTCTGAACCACTTTCATGCATGGATGAGTTCATTGCTCTCTCATCTATCAACCAATTTTCTTGATTTTATCGGTAAAAAACAAGTGAGGATGATTGCTATGCATCGGTGTGAATTATCGCTTTAAAAGATAAGTGTGACCTCTTAAAGTTAATTTAAAATAAATTCACGATATTTTTAACAAAAAGTCCTTCAAAAACATTTTTGAAATTAATAAAAAGTTTCACATTTTCACGCTTTGATAACATTGGATAAGACAAAAATATAAGCCAAAGTGGTTTAAACTTTATATGGGGCCTTTAACTGATTAATAGTACAATAACGTCATTTCTAAGGGGAATATAGTGAAATATTGGACCGAGGCCCAAGGTCCAATACTTCACTATATTGCTCGCAGAAATGACGTTTTAAGTATTATTACCACCGTTAACGACCAGGGCTGAAAAAACAAGAAAATCTTACGCACTGAACGATATCTAATTTCCCGGGGAAAAATTGCCGGTCCAGAATATATTCTAGACTGGTCCATATGGACCACCACTATGACGTCACACATTTCTCAGGTCGATATAGTAAAATGAACGCCTTCTAAATTAACTAGTACTAAAACCCCTAGAACTGGCCCGGCAAGGTGGTAATAATACAATTTTACACCCATTGGAAAGACTGTACTGTGACTGGTTGTAGTTATATCAGTCATACATGTAACTGCATGTCCAGTGGAAAATAACCAACTCTGATTATACCAAAGGTTGGAATTTGAATTATCATGCACATGATAGTGGTTAGATAGTGATCTAAAATGCATAGCCCAAACGGGTACAAAATTGGACGGTGTTTACTACTATAATGAGATCAAGTGATCTTTACGATTATAGTGAGTTCCATTGCAGTTCGAAACTGAGGTACAAATCAAAGACAAGGAAGTGCAAAACAAGATCGCTGAATAAAATAAAGGATAGTCTATAGAAGACTTTTATTTTCCCCCAAAACTATATTTGACTTCTAACAAACGGCGAATTATCGAAAACAAACGGCGATTTCGGACACTCGCCCCCTCACGGTGTCCGATACTACCCAACGTAAATCGTTCCGGACTTGTTTTTCATAACCATTTGGACTTGATTTATGGAAAAAAGTAGAGGTAGGTTTGTAAATTTGGTTATGAAATTGCTTTCACTTGACTTTATGTAAATATAATACAATTAGATAACTTACCATACTATTTACCCTATCTTTAGGCACCCGCAAACGCCTTTTTTGTACGAACCGTTTGCTATAGTCTTGTTATTTCGGGATGTGAGCGATTCTGCCAGTGTTTTCACCTATTTTGCCTGATAATCACCAGCCTGCCTTGTATCCAATGAATACACCGATTCATATTGAAAGTAGCCATATTGTGAACGAAAATCATGATTTAAAATGGTATAAATGAGTAGCAATTGTCCAAAGAATATTTTTTAGATTTAACCATTTGGACGTGACCTAAATATTCCAGTTAATGATGTTGACTTGTTATTGGAACGTTTCTGACTTGTGTTATTGGAACGTTTCTGACTTGTAGAACACAATGAACCATTTTTAAGTGTGGAACAGCTCCATAAACTTTATAGATTTCCAACAAATCATCAGAGTGGATGAGTGGAAGAAGTTGTCTGAGTGATACTATCTAAATGATCATTATTAATTAAATGTATTAAGAGATACTTGTCAAGGTTGAATTAGATACATGTTCTTTACTTGATACTTTCAAAGGGCAAGAATGCATGTAGAGAAAAGTTGATTTTTTACCTTTTCTTGTGTTTTGCCTCTTCGCTTTTTTAAAGACTTCACTCGTCGCTATTTTTAATTTGCCTATGAAAAATGTGAGCATAAGTTTGCCTCAAATAAGACTTTAAAACGCCCTTATTGGCTTTAAACTGACTTCCATGCTTATATTAATGCAAGGCAAGAAGTTTAGTGAAAGTTGAGAAGAAATAATTAGTTTTAATCGTTATCTGGTTTGCCCCTAGATTATTAACAATTTGATTCATTATAATTTCATAATTTGCCTCACAACATGCAGGTTTTTGCCTCGGATTCTTCTTTAGACTTTCCCCTTAACTTCCAATGCACTAAATACGTACAAAAAGCTCATCGTTACCTCTTTTAAATGGCCTAAACTATATAGGTTTTGACTCGTGTTTTGACTCTTTTAAATACGAGAGAGGTGTCGCCTAAGACAGGATTTGCTGTAAACTTACAATAATAATTTTAGCCCCAAATGTATTTTGAAAAGAATAAATAGAAACATCATCGATCGCCGAAATACGATCTTTGCCCGCACATACATGGATTCCATCATCTTTTTCATTTGACACATGACCTTGAACGGTACTAACGTTATTAGCTATAGCGAGTTTAATTACATCATCGGATGTTCTTTACTAAATCGCTGATCTGTTATTTTTATCTGCACTTTTAAAAGTACATTCGTGGCACTTGTTTCTGGGAACTGAAATTACTAAATGTGTGAATATTTAGTACAAAAACTCCTCTCAAACATAATCATACTAAATGCAATTTTTCCAGAAGCATAAACAATTCATCAAGCAACGGAACGTATAAATAACATTACAAGACAATTCCTAATCGTTATTTTTATCACGTTGTGTACAATTCGCAGTCGTTCACCTAGTGATTATAAGACAAGTCCGTGTCAGAATAAGGACCATTCGCCGTCGTTAACTCCACTTTTTACATTACGGTCATTTATGGAAATTTGAAGGTACAGATAGTTAAAATATTATCACATCTTTAATGTAGTGAATATTGTTCCACTTTATAAAATGATTTTTTTTGTTTAAACATAGTTTAATGACACTAATGCAGATTTAGAGCATATTTCTGGCATTTTTGTTATTTAATGCCGATAAATATGAACTATGATGGCACGATCGCCAAAATAGGTATGTGGGTATGAAAAAGAATGTTTTAGGTAGAAGTTCGTGTATGTGTTTTTCTAAACGATTGAATTATATTACCTTTTTGAGCCATTCTGATGAATGTCTCATCTCATTCTCCTACGAAATGAGTTCAAATGGTCGTGAAAAACAAGTCCGGAACGATTTACATTGGGTAGTATCGGACACCGTGCCCCTGCTATTGAAAGTCCAGACCTTGTGGTAAATATTGGAACGATCAATGAGTTGAACTTATCCGGATGGGATGGTTCATAACCGATTTTTTTATTTCAGTTTTCAGAAATACAACATTTGAATCAATTATTCCTGATATCGATATTAACTCTTCCTCCCTTGGCTTGGTCATTTCTGTTCCTGAGCCACTCTAGCCCTCTCTTTTGTGTAGCCAGATCATCCGTATGGTCGCCAGTTGCCACCGCGTGCCAGGTCCACGCACCATTGTAGCCATAGTAATAGGCGTAGTTCATGTTGTGCGTGATATTACGTGCCTATAGGAGAAAGATGCTTTCAGTGACAGGTACAGTTTATCATGGGTCTAAATCAGGATCCTGTGCTTAGTTTTTCCTGTTTTGTTGTCCGTTGTACGTTTATTTAGACCAACAGTAAAGTATGGGATTTCAATGGTCCCTGCTTGGGGATGGGATGATATAGAAACAAAATTAATCTCAATGAATATGTTGTCATCAATTTCCCTGACACTATCAAATTTCATTACAATCTAAATAGCATCTATTGTAAATTATCGTGCCTAGTGGTATAAAATTCATACCTCACTTCCCGCCTCGCTGAACTCTCCGATGACGTTAGGCTTCCCGAGATTGTACGTATCACCATGGACTTTAAACGGTGAGTTAGCGGCATACCTACCCTGCCACGTATACGTATGCATTTGATAGAAATCAATGTAAGCATCTAAATCCCCATTGCTGGCTTCAAACATGCAAATATCGGTATAGTAATCTTGTGAATCGGGATAAGCGTCATTTTGGGATTTTTCCGACCATGATCCAACTGTCACCAAGGCCTTTGAGTCAGATCTGTGTATCGCAGCCGTCTGTCTTGAGATGAAGCGCATCATATCTTCCGTAGGAGTGTTTGTGTTGACCCAACCCATACCAGAGCCACGCATACGTCGGGTATCGAAGCACTGGCTAGGATGTACCCTGTCAGCTTGCATCATTCCTTCTGGCTCGTTCATGATTTCCCATCCTCCAAGAGCCCGTTTCCCACTTAGAGCCCTTACCATCGGGGACAGTGCATTGTCAATATAAGAGTCCAATTTGTCAACATCAAAAATTAAACCATTCATCTCGTCTGTAGGTGGTCTTGCTCCGTTCCATAAGACGATGAATAGTAAGATATTGCGTTCCTGTGCCCTATCAAGGAAATCACTGAGGTCAGCGATCATCGTTCCCTGGGCGTCTGTGTTGGTCACAAAACCATTGCTGTCAAAAGCTGGCGTTGTTGCACCCGCACAATGAAGCCAGAGCCCTGAAGAATAAGACATATAATCAATACTAGGTAAGGGTTACACCTATGAACAAATATATAGTGGGCCCATAACGATTTTATTCCGTTTTATATCCAATCATCAAAATAAAATGCAACAAAAACACAAGACCCACTATTGATAGCCAAATGAATCGTATTTACCTCACATTCAGACTGAGATATAAGACCAGGTACGTTTTTAGTCTGACGTTCTTTTTTTTACCAAATTATAACCTTATTTCAAATATAATTTTTTCAATCTAACCTATTCATTTTTAAAAGAAACTGAGATTTAGGATCTAATCTGACAGAACACCTTGACGAATCTAAATACGAACGCCGTGTATATGCCCCAACTATATACTTACTCATTGAATTTCCCCCAGAGTTGGCGATTTCATCCAAATAGCCAATAAGAGTAGTTCTAGTATCACTCTGATATCTTCCATTTCCAAAGTCCATTCCGAATTGGTACCATGCTAGGTTCATACCAGACATGAAGACCTTCTCATTGTTCAGCCTAAGGTCTGTCCCACTTACAGACAGATAGGTCTGTCCATTGGTATACAAAGACTTGCAAATGAGTGAAAGCGCGAAGAGTATTCCGAATCGAGTCTAAAACAAAGAACAGCGAAATTCGACACAATATTAAAAATACAACTTTATTATCCAATAATGGTTTCAGCTTTAATAGAACCAAAGTGAGATGTTGAAGTTTCATGAAGACAACTAAATATCAAGGGGACGAAAACATTGTTCATCAAACCAAACCAACCGAGAAAGGTAGGCCTATATAAGAAGACCCGTCTATGGTATACTTGAAGTAGAAAACAAATATCCAAAAATAATTTACTAACCATTTCATCGGCCTCTTTATCAGAAATATGCTATTTTTAATTCCGCTTGCAATATTTAGTCTTTATTGTGTGAAAAACACAGACGTTCTTTTCTGAGGTTCGTACATATATTTTCTTTTTGATAGTTGTCAGTCATTTGTCAAGAATGAGAACCAACTGTGCAAAAATGCATGCATTCGATAGTGGAATATGTTGTGTTCATCAATATCGGGTACTATTTTTTAAAGAAGTTCAGTCTGGGCCGGGGGCCCAGGGCCCTGCTGTTTAGGTCTAGAATTTAGGTGGCTCTTGTTAGAGTAGCCTCACAGATTATAACTTCAATGTCAAAGTCATAAGAGATTTTCTATCATATATAGGCTTCTTGCTTCTGCGAGGTCAGTATATCATATTGATTTGAAAAACAAGTTATAAGTTGAGGATTCACTTACAAATAATACATCATTTTATATAATTCTCCTCTTTATCTACACAAGTACAGGGTGGTCCAAAAATGGGACACTCGTATTTCAAAAATAAATATGGATTTTCTTGATGAAAACATGTCATATTATATACCAGTGGATATGGAATTTACTTATCGTAAATTTGGTATATCATAAGTTCAGATTTATTATAATGTCTGTCAACCAGCGCCCATAATATAACTTTTGGACCATCCCGTAACACCCTACAAATTTGGAGTACTGGATTTTTTTATTTTTGATAGGATCGTCTTTTCCTTACTCGATTCCGCTAGATTTTAATTGGTCTCGATCACTTCGCCCAGGGTGATACAGTACATGTTCTTAAGACTTGTTAAACAGCTAGCGATATTGGATAGTCTGAAACTAGACACTTGTCAAAGACTATAAAACCATACACTTGTCAATAGTTTTAAATCTGTAAAACACTTGACTTATGAAGCCTGTTAAATCTGTAGTATAAGTATGAAATAGGAGATTTTGCTTTGGACATAAAACAAAACCATTTATAGATGCAGTTATGAGTCACATTCACCACATTTTTCTGAATTAAATATTGAAGACAAGACGTAATATTATGGTACATCTGCAGCAAAATGGATGAAAGAAGCCCGCTAATACAAGAAGGCAACACGATAGACGACTATTGCCGTGATGACCAAGTCCAAGCACCAGTTATTGCAAACTATAGGAGGTATCCAAACCACGAAGACAAAGCAAAACCTGATAAAAATGAGCTTATGGATTCTCAAAATAGCATAACTGATGATAGTACCAATACTGTGATATTATACAAAAGGAGGTGGTATATTCTGATACTTTTCTCTCTGGTCTCAACAACTCAGGCGGCAGTATGGAATACATTCGGCCCCATTGGAAATTCAGTAAAGTTTGTGTTTGGTTGGAGTGATGGTATACTGGCTTTACCACCGGCTTTAGGAAATGTAGCATATTTCATTTTTCCTTTTACATCTTGGGTGATGGATGATAAAGGTGAGTATTCATTGAGGTAGGCATTCACAATTTCGACTTTGAATTTCAAATTTTGTTTATAGTACCCTTCATGTAGTTTATCTCGCCATCAACTCCGTCTTCTCTCTACGCTATGCCCATTTGAAACACAATGTTATGCCACTTTTATTTGATAGCAGACTTCATTTCAAATTGCTGTCCTAAGCTATTTTCTTTCAGATGTAAGCTAGTCGGGGAATCCCCTTGCCTGCCCTATCTTAGTCTATCTCAATTATCTATCTTTACATGAACAATGAACGAGGTCTCTCAAAATTAAATGATTTGTTGGCAAACGGCCAACATGAAGTTCCATGATTCAATTTTAAGCATCAGAAAAATCCCAGAAATATTAAGAGCAAATACAGATACAACCAAAACTATACTTCTTTAAAGAGCTGGAAAAAATCTGAAATATTTCCACATTTCTTGACATTGAGTTTGGTTCCAGGAATGAGAGTAGCCATGGTAGGAGCCACTTTGTTAATGTTCTGCGGCACAGCACTCAGGTGTATCACAACCTCGCCCACTGCCGCCACATGGTAAGTCAAAATGACTTTTTGTTTTATCTTTTCTAAAAATGTATCCCATGAGCTTTCTGATTTTATACAGCATGATCTTCATTGATCTGAAAAGTTTGAGGAAGAAAGAAAAACAATAATCCACGTTGCATCAAAACTTGTTTTGTCCATCCTTAGAAATTATGGCATTCTATTGGTTCCTTCTTGAAAAAGAACTTTGGCAAATTAGGCCAAAACTCACTCAAAAAATAGTCAGAATGGTGAAAAACTGCATGATTTTGAAAGAAAGGACGATTCTCGGTTTGGAGAACAGTCTCCTGGGCTAATAATTTTTTTCATGAAAAATATAGAAATATTACCCAAATTAAACTATGAACATTCAAAAGAGGACATTTAAATCTACAAGATGTAAAGATAACAAATTGGTCTGAAGCAGGGATAATGCTCAAATAGACCGATTCAATATAAATACAAGTCTCGATTTGGGGAAAGAAGTTCATCAGTGTACTGCGCTAACATTTTTTTGCGAAAAATCTAGAAATATTACCCAAATTAAATTATGACTATTCAAAAGAAGACATTCAAATCTTTATTATGTAAAAAAATCAAATTTGTCCGAAGCAGGGATAATGCTCATTTAGATTGATGAACTTCGTTCTCCAAACCGAGAATCTTCCTTTTGGCCAGCTGGCGGGGGAGGGCTACGGGCATGTGAATAATAGAATTTGCTAAGCCTACATACAATGCCATTCTAGGTTGATAATGACTGGACAATTGTTGAATGGTCTGGCAGGACCTGTTCCATTTGGAGGTCCCTCTCTGATGTCATCTCTATGGTTTCCAACCAACCAAAGGACAACTGCAACAGCTATTGCAGCAATATTCTCATATGTTGGGGACGCATCTTCCTTCATGTTAGGGATTGCCTTTGTGAGTGAGCCATCGTCCGCAAATTCTTCTCTCATCAACGCTAGCAGTTACGCGAATACATCTGGTATGTTTTGAAAACAGTTAGATATGTACACATATGCGTTCTGCACTAGTCACATTACTACGGTGGCCGTGCCCTCTAAATCTCCTATGGTCAGTAGAAATTATAAGGCCGCCATAGAGGAAAAGTATATACGGCTGTCGTATCGACTGAAATTATGACACAATGTCGCCTATGGTCCCCGCGGCGGACTTAGGTTTTTGACAAATACCTTGGGAAACCCCACGGCATGGCTTCGACTTGTTTAATTGCTACGGCGAACGTAGAAATAAAAATCCGTGCTTTAATTCCCTGCCAACCTCTACGTCGGCCTTCAAAAATAACAAAATAGGGCAACCTTGGGGCGAACGCAGGTATTTTCTTATCGGGCGAACTATGCCCACGGCTGCGATATAGCCGTACAGCAAATGTGACTGAGGTAGTAGCCATATGATCTGTCTGCATCTTGCTTACAAGTTTGATTTTCAATCACATGTAAACTTCATACCTTGGTAATCCAAAATGATCTGTCTGGTTATCAAATTATACAATTTTGTATAAAAGAGGCTTTTCAAAAATATAAATGTGTAATTTACCCATCTTCGTTCACTCGGCTCCCGTCGGTCGGTTGAACGCAGTGAAGACCGAGCGTTCGAAGATGTAATTTACCTCAGATTGTCTAATTGTAGGTCCACCGTTCTTGGATCAACAGAAAGGTGAAATTCTGAACCTGATGTATACAGGTAATATAAAGGTTTTCATTGGCATTTGCATAATCTGACATAACCTTCTGATGCAGAATCATTTATATCTCTTTATTCTTCGAAATGGGCTGATTCCGACCCATTATTTCACACATTGGTACTGATATTTTAAATACTTCTCAGAGGAATATGTTGATTTTTAATATAGTGCTTACATACTTCTAATGGAGTGCTTACATACCTCTAACGTAGTGCTTTCATATCGCTTTATATATATTTTAACGTAACCTAGTGCCGACCTATTTTTAACCTTGTGTTGGCATATTCTTAACGTGGTGCGGACATGTTTTAACATAGTGCTGGTGTATTTTCAGAATGTGCTGTCTGTGGTGTTCTGTTTCTGCTAGTGCTGATCTATTTTCCCGACAAACCCCCGACACCACCAAGTGCATCCGCAAGCAAGGACAGGGTAGATTTCAAAAAAGGATTTGGTTTGTTAATCAGGTAAAAACTGTGCTTAAAGTGGCAGCAAATTATGTAGGATGTAAGTGTTGACATGTTGAATTCATTACAATTGAAAAATGGGGCCCCCATTTTGGGAAGTATTGTCAAACAGCATCAGATATTAAAGTTCTGTATTTATTTTTTCCAAAATTCAGTTTCCATTTATGAAATTATATAATATTTTTATCCAAAATGCTTTGTTGAGCCATTCGTCTAGTTCAACATTTTTCAGGAAACCTCAATTCTGGTTAGTTGGTCTGGCATACTCACTACCAACTGGCATATTTGGAAGCTGGGTTACCATTCTGGACATTAACCTTGGACCAATTGGCATAGAGCAAAATGAAGCTAGCCTTTTAGGATTCTATGCCACAGTCGGTGGAATTGTAGCGGGTTTTGTAATGTCAGGGTTAGTACTTTAAGCCATCGTCGTGCATAGAAGTTGACCAACGTTCAATTATAATTAAGATTTACGTTTGGAATTTTAACAATACGTAACAATGATGTTTTCGCACAACATTGCATTCAAGTTTGAGATTATTCCACTTCATAACCATCTTGGATTTCCAAGGTAGGATGTGTTCATTGAAAATCAAACTGGGAAACGAGTATGCTTCATAACTAAGAATCAAAAAAAATGCATGTACTAATTTTTATGTTGTGTTTTCTTATTTTCCTCAATTGAACTTTCTTGATTCAAAATATTTTGAATTGAAAAAGTATATCCATGAGCCAATCATATTTTAGGGTGGCCGATTGCCTGTCTGGCCAGTTGAAGAGAATGCTTGTTGTCCTTGCCTCCCTGTCTCTGGGGTCAGTTGTATGGTTTTGTGTAATATGGATGCAAACGGCAAATTCTACACAACCAGCCGATAAAGGTTAGGTTGACCATTGAAAAAGAACCATTGCATTTTCGTCATAATATAATATATTTATAATTGTTTGTGTTCAACAAACAAATGTTTTTCTAAGTGTTTCTATTTCATTGCCTTGGTCAACATAGCCCGGAGATTACCCAAAATATAATATAGAAATATTGTAAACTCAGCATTCCTGTCAGGGTTATTAATACGTTTCTCATACCAGCATGAAAAATGTTGCAGTTCAACATTATGCAAGGATTGTGCTAATATAATGATTGTGCTAATAAATGTATTGATTCTGCAGTTCAACTCTATACAAGCATTGTACTGATGGGCGTGTTCATCAACGGTGGAATCCCCTTGTTATATGAGCTTGCCTGTGAGACCTGCTTCCCTGTGGCAGAAGGCATCACCGGAGGGATGTTAACTGGCTTGAATACTACAATTGGAATGATATTTCTATTATTACTATTTATTCCAAACATAGGTACTTAAGGTGGTCCACTCATAAAACCAATCCCTGAAGAACGTATAAGAAATAAACCAAATTGAAATCATTTCCAATAAAATTTACATAGTTTCTGTATTTCATATTAGGAAATTATTGCAGACACTATTAAAAATGAATTTTTAATTACTTTTAGGAGCGGTCTGGATGAATTGGTGTTTACTAGGATCGTGTGTCTTATCCATTCCTTTACTACTTAGCGTAACAGCCAATTATGCTAGATTGGACATTGACAAGAAAAATCAGTCTGGGATATCTTGAAGGACCTTTAGTGGTATACGATTATCGTTGGTTGCTGTTTTATTTAGATCTCAGTCACATTTACTCTACGGTGACCTTTTGTTGACCATAGTTCTCTGAAATAGATATTTCTTCGTTAACCGTAGAAAGTCTACGGTGTCCGTATTGCGTATTCAGTTTTTTTACAGACCGTATAGTCGCGATGGAAAATATAACTTGAAGGTGTAACTTTTATCATTACTACGGCACAGTATACATTAACAAGCCGTAGCCAAACCGTAGAAAGGTTCCACTGTGGCCGTACGTCAGATGTACGATCGACTTGCTGCTGCCCTGGGGTTTTATGGGTAAACTTCACCTTTGAGAACTACAATTACAATTGAGGCGACCGTAGGATCGTCGTAGGAGCCTCCTATGACCGTCTTGCGTTTGCCTTGGTACTTAAACCGTATGGTCGCCGTGGAAAATCTGACTGAGGTTTCCTAGAGAGGTCGTATGAATGACCTAAATATCTGGTTGAAGTGATAAATTGTTCGTCCTTTGAGCGCTAGTGCATACTTTTTTCATTGTATTTATTTTTAATGCGTTTCTAATGGAATCGGGTGTGTTAGAGACCTAGTCACATTAGTTAACAAAACATCCTCTTCCGTCCTTACAATCGTAAAACGGGTGTGATCTGAGTGAAATGTCCTAAATTACGATGCTTACGTAATACATGTTCAGATCGGTTAAAACTGGCTTTTACAGATGATGATTTTCTTTTCAATGTGCCGATTTTACAAAAGAAAAGCATACTCACCGTCTATTTTTTTATCCTGCTCTATACTAGTATTGAAATGAAAAATCCAAATTTACGAGGTCGTTCAATAAGTTCATGCAAAAGTGCTATAAATTTTATTTTCACCGACTTAGTATTGACAGTCATAGTAAAAAAATCCCGAAAATTGCTGATTTCAAAAGTTATACCCATTCTCCGTGCGAATTTTGGCTCCTATCATTCCTTTCCATGTCATTCTAAATATCCAACAAGTGTATACTTTACATTAGTGAAACTAACGATTTTTACGATAATGTATTATTTTTCTGGAATAATGGTTATCATATTTGGAACATTTCCTCCCAACATTGCACTTCGAATCTTTAATAACTTCACCAATTTACAATATGAGATTGTATGGCATAGATTGGTAGATTACTTTTACATTTTGATGTCAATTTTGTTACCCCATGAGCTCCTTTTCTGTCTGTAGCTAAAAAGCTCAAAAGTCAATTTGCAGTTTGATATTTGAAAAATCATCATTCATGGAAAAACATCTTGATCTTTATTTCACGGACAACCCCGGGGGAAAACCTGAATGTCACGGTTGTTCAACACTTTTGTACGGTGTGTTGACTCGTGTTGCCATCTATTGAACTGTTGTACGAGAATAAAAGAAGTACAAATGCGAAACATGGAAATCTTTAGACAACCTATTAAATATATTTGTAAGTGATTTTAGAAGATGAAAATAAAAGAAAAAATAAATGCCATTTTATACTTTGCAATTGGAATATGATGAGATAGGCATATTTTTTTTATCAATTTCCTACAAAAATTGAAATATTCTGTTAATTTATTTTCCCTGGAACAAAAGTGTTGACCATGAGAATATTTCAGTTTTTCTCAAAATTGTAATGTTTTTTATGTCACCTCCAGGAAGTGCTGATATATTGGTATAATCTCGATTTTTTGTGGACGGTGTTCGGCATTTGGCTTCTGTAACAAATGGCAGGTAGTGACGGTTTGCATGATAATGCCTTGAATTGCTAGTTCGTAGTTCATTTTTACTCTTTAGATTTAAAATGTACGGCCTAAATGTTTTCTCTTTTACGTCGACAACCGTTTTGTAATGTTCTAGTTATTGTGTTTGCAATATTTACATTTCTTACAATAGTGCGTTATCATGAGTTGCTGAAGTGTGATCTCATTAATAAAGGGTTAGAGCAATTTCATTAATTTGATTTTAGCGCTATTTTACAATTAACGTATGTAAACCACAGGGTGACTAAAATAGTGGCCCTCTAGTTTTCTCAAATAACGTTTGCGTTATCAACTCAAGAGGTTCTTAATTTGGAACCCTTTCAATTACTAATGTACTAGCCTCTGACACTGAAGGTAATAAATGGGTAAAGATTTCAAGTATTACCTAAATTCTGACGAAGAAAACTATTTTGAGCCCCTAAAACCCCAAATTTAAGGCCCATTTTCTTGATACTTTGGCCTTACTTAAGAAATAAGGCCCAAAATGACCCAGTTGTGGGGCCCTTCTAATTTTTGGCCCCAATTTTTTTTTCTAGGTCCATCTTGGGGGGGGGGGCTGGCATCGATGCTATCAATATAATTGATAATGAATTAATTAATTAATAATAATAATTAATTGTTATAATTTATATATATATATATTATATGGGGGTTGGGGGCTATCTATATATGCAACGGATACAGGGGCTATATGGTATAAGACATGTACGCCCATTGACTCTAAAATAGTGCAGGCATTCAATATTTCATTAAGATTGGGGATATATGGTTCTAACTTCTAAAGGGTTAATGGAGATATATTTTGCAACCATGTTCCGTTCTAATATTGCCCTTTGGGTTCTTCCAATAAATCATGTATTCGACCTCGTATCTACAACGGCATAAACATCGTTGAGTCCAATAGTGTAGGTATCTATCAATTGCGATATGGTAGCAACATAGTCATCAGAGGGATCAAGATAAAAGGAAATATGATGCCATTTAATGAGTATGCTCACGTATAGATCTACACAGAGTATTAAACATACCTATGTATGTATATATCCAGGTATTGATTAGTGTTAGGTAAATGTAAAGTCATGATTCACTTGATAGGCTTTTATGTCTTTCGGAATTGAGAGGAAACACAACCAATAACGGATGACATCTCCTTTTTCATAATTAAAGGTCTTATAAGTTAACTTACCTTGGATGAATAACCAAGAACTTACCAGGGCACAACGTTAAATCACGTGTTAGCGATCGGTATAGACATTTATTAGTACAGATTTCTAATTCCATATACATTAACTTATTTTTTTTCAAGTTGACATTTATAATAGTTATTAATTACAAAATGATTATTTTCATAACAATTCTTATTGATTTAAATCACTGAACTTTGTCAGAGTGACATCGTGTTCAATTTCTAATGAATTCATATATTCAATAATTTTTGTATAATGGACCTATCTGTTTTATTTGTAACCATATACTTTAAGTGGACTGCTTCATTCTAAAAGCTAGGCATTGATTTATATGATAACATTGGTTGCAATAAAATGTGATAAGTTGAAACCTCCCAAATGAGTTGTGTATTTGTTAGAGTGTATTTTGTATTGTATTACCGTTTTTTAAACTAAATAACCACGAAATAAATAGTAGAATTCTAAATAGAACGATTGAAAAGGAGTCAAAATTTAAGTACTTTTATTTTGTAGTGACAAAGTTCAAAAACAGCATTTTATTGTTCCTATTGTTGATAATACCAGGTCCATAGTTCGACCTTTAGCTTCCAGTTCTACCAACTTTACTTTACAGTTTACCAACATTTGCACAGTCTTTAAATATATATAGACATTAGTATTGCTTTAGAATTGAATCGAGGTATTTGAAAACCCCCGGCTTTTATAGATATTGGGTATATGATCAGTACACAAAACGGCAGGTTGCCATGTACATGTGACGTGGGACCTTATATCGATCATGATCCCTAATATATTACAGGTATACATAGATGCAAGCCTAGTCTATTCAGTCATTACTAATCGGTTATCATCCCTGTATAAGAGCCGCTTGATTTCACCTGACAATATTACTGGGAGTTTTAAAACCAGAAAGGCCGAGATTCTTAACGTGTGAGATACTGCGTCTTTAACTGCTACTAACTGAACGTAACACCTGGCACAGGAGGAGATTATAAGATGTTGTCAAGCGTTTGATATTGGGATTCATCGATTGATCGAAGAGAGCCAAATGAGATATGTAGCAACAAGAGGAACAAGAGCCAGGACATTGTTTACTATTGATTCGTATTAGAATCCAGATGACGGCGAAGACACCAATGCGCCTAATGGAGGTATCGTGATCGCCACTGGAGGTTGTCATATTTCATGATAGTTAAAAGATAAATCAAAACGTACAGGCACTACCTAGAACAGACAATGTCCAATCCTGCTCGCCAAATAAACAATCGGCGATTACCTCCGCTGCCAGGGTTGGGCAGAAGGGGAACAAGTCCCCAGACTCAGAGGAAAAGCGGAGGAACCAACAGACATTATGGAGGGGCAACTTCGCCCCGAGATAGGTACAATAACAGCTATAGCAGCCAGCAATATGACATGGTTATACAAGGTATGTATCGTCAGCTGCTAGTAGGTTAATTTGCTGAGGATTAAACTTAGCAAATTATAGATGTATTAGATGTTGTTGCCATGGAAATCATTTGATCTTTTGTTCATGGTAAAATATGCTTATATGTGATCGAGTTATGTTTATAGAGAATGTACAGTATCTAGTGATCTATTTTGCTTTCGTCTGCTTAGATTACTTCCTATTTACCATTTTGTGGGGAATTAATTCCGCTTAATAGGTATCATATATGAATAGAACAATAACAGCAACATATTTCATTTATTAATCTCGAGTATAGCAGCTATATAATAAACCAATCCATATGCGGGCTTAGGAGAGTATACTTGTATAATATTATTATATCATCCATGGAGGTTTCAATGTTCAGGTGATATTAATTTGGTTTGCTTCATATAGTAGTCGAATTACACCCAAGAGCGCATCCAGATATCGCAGCATTCTTCCTTTCTCATGTTCTAGCTCTGAAAACAGAACGATCTGATCAGCATCAGATTGGCCTAAGTGCGACATTATCAAACCGTATTTAGGTGTGAAATTTTAATCCAATCATAAAGTTTAAAACATAGTATCTCCAATCATTACATTATCACAGGCTGTAGTGAAGATGTTTTCGACAATCACTTATTTAATCAAGGATGGATTATATTTAATCGAGGATGGATTCTATGCAGATCTAGAGATAATTGAATAATAATTTGATAGGGATTCGATAATTGTTATTGCTATTGTTGGAGACAATTTAAAGTATAATCAAGGTGTAGTTACAAATTTAATTCATATCCTAATCTCATCCTAATCCTCACAACCTAATCCCCAAATGTTACCATCAGGCAAAAATTTAGCATATGCGAGTTCCAATGCAGTTGGATGTCAAGGTATCGTAGACTTGGGAATCAAGATTGGGCAGTTGGCCATCACCAAGACCAGGATTAGAGATCAGGTTGACATTGTAAAAATGAAAATAGAAAAATGAACGCGAGACACCAATTCTTTGTATATGTGACACTGTTAAAGCGACCATGAACCTTGATGGATCAAGATGACTACCATACTCAGCTCTTATTACATTCTGTGGAAAGACACCCATGTCATCCTAAAAGAGTAAAGACAGCGAGTTACTGTTTGCACAACAGCTATAAGACACAAGACACAATACATATTAAAACCTAACACAATTCAAATATAATCTTAAATATACAGTTTCACTAAAATATAGGAATTAATTCTTGTAGCCAAAGCCTTATGAAACAATAACACCTTTTTTAACCTGATTTTATATATTACTAATTCAAAATTAGCTATCAAGTTTAAGGGTGCAGTTCATAAATATTCGTCTCAATTTATGATAGAATTGCAATAACTCTATGACAGGACGAGGAGCAAAAATGCATATCTATATCTTTTAAAATATAGCAAATTCCAAACTCGTTTTGTGTCTCCATTCCTAATCTATTTTCTGAAAAATCAAAGTTCATATTTTATGGTATATACCGGGAGTATACACCTGAATGAATATCAGATTATCAGCTCAAGTAACGAATGTATAATATCAGATTTTATCCAATAGTTGATATAGATCGAATATCACCAAAATATATTGATATGTGGATCAAGATATCATAAGCAAAAATCCCCAAAACCATCGAATATCACTTCCCATGGGATAAACGGACAATCATCTGGTTTGGGTAAAGTATCAATTACACCCACTCGTGAAGATATCAACATCATTCACGGATATAATGATTTTTTCAAATCCATAGGATATTCCTATAGCAATATTGCATGTACTGCATAGTGCTATATACATATGATATTACTATTAGACTATATATGATATATATAGGTTATTTACTGGGAGGGATTGAATATGGGTTTTATTCCGAGGGACAATATGATATTGACCGAAGGGTAATATGATATTGACCGAGGGAGCGCAGCATATCACATATAATTTTACATTACTGTAATCCAATCATGCAATTAGAAATAAATCAAGACATTAAGTAACTTTTGTCAGGGGTCTATAGGATTCTTGCCTGCCCAAAACCTCTACTGCCATCTATTTTAACCACCTATATAGCAAATCCTCTTTTGACTCAATACTAAGACTAAATAAATTCATTCTGATACTCATAGCATCTCTCTCTGTTGCATCGCAGAAGGATAGAGGTGGAGAGGGCGTGGCTTACCACGATGAAATAAATTGCGTTTATGAAGAACTGACACCCCGTGTTCAGAAACTTGAGACCATCGGAAAGTTCGAGGTTGAAGAGTATTGATCTCTCCCTTCGGCTATACTATAAAACAATTCTTGTTCTTGATCCATACTGAGTTTCGGATATTAATGACATAACTTATTATTGGCTTTGATGTTAATCTACAAGGTGTATCTTGTGATATGCTTCCAATAACTTTGTAATTAATTAGACCGGCTCTTACGTGTTAGTGTTCATACGGTTCTTAATTGCTTTCTTCTGTGTTGCCAGCACTTAATCTCTAAAAAATTAACACCAAGATCTGATGATTGTATAGGCTATGTGGAGGGCATCTATACTATACTGCGTACCATACATTTTCACAGTAAATGGTATCAAACTATTCAGAAGATAATCAAACAATAAATTGACACCCATCCTTTAACGTCTGAAATCACACAGGGTACCATCCTTGGCCCATGGGTATTTCACTTCATTCTTCTGAATATTGGAATAGCAATGAAGCCTTCAACACTACCTTTTGATGAAGGATGGTAGGGTTCGTAAATTGCTGAAATAGAATATATCGATCTTCTCAGCTTATTTCCAGTTATATTTGATGATTATTTGAAATGATACTACTACTATATACCATACTAATAGACATGGTATGGGTATCATACGTTCATTTCAGTTTTGTTTGTTTGTAGATTAAGATTGAAATCAATTAACAATTACAAGTATACCCAAAAGTCAAGTTACCATAATAACCCTTATTTTTGACCAATCAGATAAGAGACGCTGATATATTAAGAATCAATCAGAAAGTATTTTTTATACATTGTGTGAAAATTTCATGAGAAAATATCAAAAATCTTTGAAATGAGAGCATTTTCCGTGAACTTATTGAACGACCTGGTATATTCGTTTGGAGTTTTTATCCACAATTAGGAGTAATGGTATTTCTTAATGTAAGACTGCATCGCGGCACAAGCACTGCAGGTTCGGTTGTTTTAGTATTAGCTCTATTGTTTTTCGTGACTCTTTGGTACTACCAGGATTTAACAGGGACTTTGATTTTTGCAATCCGGGACTTGAGAGTATGAAAAGTCACAAGCGTCAATGAACGACTGCAGGTTTTGCGTAATTGTGCAATGAAACTGACCCTTCATGAAGAATGAATCTAGGTGCAGCTTAAATAAATGATTCTAAAATCAGGACTTAACCCGTGATATGTCCTCCGGAAATTGTGTGCCCAGAATTGAGAGAAAACAATGTCATTTTGCTGCATTCTGAAGTTCTAAACTCATTTATCTTTTTAAGTAAGCCTGCATAAATCGCATGTTATCCTCGATAAATTACTATTTACTTGTGACCATTAACCTCGGGGAATTGGATGAAAGACGGAAAGATTGTGTCATGTTCTTTTCAACATAATCTGCAGTGAAATCATATTGAAATTATGCCGTATTCAGTATCTATCTAGCAGATCTACCAGGCGTCAAGGGTAAAAGGTCTCGAAGCATTTTGATCGAGCAATTCATTTTCGGCTAACAGTGTTTGGGGATGACGTTTCATAATGACGGAAAGATTGTGGAAATATATGTGTTCAATTTAGTTGTACATAGTATCCGTATGGATCCTTATTTAATAGTCAACCCCTTGACTGGTCAATAATTATAAATGGGTGGTTACTTTAAATTAGGTTACATACTCCAGTCTTCGTCATACAGTAGTAGATGCTAGTTTCCACTGGAGCAAATGGTAACATAAAATGCCTCACATAAAATATGAACATAGAAATACACACTTGCTATGCTGTTGGATTATGCCTTGCAACTGTTGATATCAATGTGGTATTGGTAATCGACAAAGGAGGTCCTGTGAAGCATGTTATTTTCCTTGTATTGTTACCATGGTACAGGCAATTGATTCCTTTCTCCTGGAGATCAATATGGACCTGATATCACCTGTATTATGGCAGACTTATTCATACAGTTTATGTACATTCGGATTTAATGTGTGTATCTGATGTATAATGAATGATGAAGAATCGTTGTCAATGTAAAGAAATAGTTAGCAGGGTGTAAGGTGTCTGAGATCCTATTAATAAGGTCCAATCCATAAAAGTTCCATGCCATCACAATTATTTCGCAAATGATGACGACCTTTGAACTCTTGAAGAAGGCTTTGCTATTAATGACCAATGCTATTGGTGTGGATGTTACTACCCGGATGATACTAGTCAATTAGAACTTGTTGGCCAGGGTATTGATTGATTATGACCAGCTCGTGACATAAGATGGGATATCCATTGTACATGCTATCATCTACAAGAAACAAACCGATAACAAGTTCTATACACCCCTCCATATTAGTCCAAGCGGCTGATGTTACACACTACTTATTTCAACATCCTCAGGTTGAGTAATGCAATGCTATTCGCCTTTGAGCACTTACATCAAATACACTTCTGGAAAAACAGGCCTACTAACACACCTTACATGCACTAGCAATCGACATATCTCAAAGCAATATGCCACCACATGATCGATATGATATTTAGTTGTTCCAAATTCAACCGACCTTGACCTGATCGACGACAAGGTTTCAGTTGTTCCGATCTCATCTTGATCGACAGGTTTTTTGGTCCATCAACAAGGTGTCAATACGGAGAATAAGAGAAAGTGTACGTGGGCGTGTACTATTATGACCCCTGGACCCTCATACTTTTATACTCAACTGGGCAAGTAATTACTGGGAAGGACTAATCCATGTATGAGACCTCAATTGTACACGTTCACGTACAAGGTGTATTAAAAACGTGTTGCTTAACTTCCCTAATATCTTTTCCTGATACGTCAAATATTGCTCATACGATAGATCATTTGAACGATAGTTCAATGTCCAATAAAATATCCACTTTTGGGACTCTTGTTAAGAGCTACTAGAAATATAGACATAGGCTAACTGTCAACAGCAGCTCTTTCAAACATTACACTTTAGATGTAGCGACGTCAAAATTCCAAATTATACTTAAAATTGTAACGACTTATAAATATCATTTGATATAATCAAAATAGAACTGTACTTGATTGTTGTTGTTAAAAAAACCACAATACCCATACTCTTGCAGGAAAAACGTTTTTTTTTATTAGAACACTTATAAGATGGAGCATTCAGTCTACAACGATGATGAACAGGGAAGACCCATTCTCAAAATCCATAAGAGTGCCAACCTGTTTTCTTCTGCCACCCGTCGTCATAGTGATTAACACAATAATTCAACAATAATCACCAGGTGGAAAATACAGCTAGTTTTTGTTCCTATTCCTCAACCATAAATTACCATTTGCATTCTTTCGACTTCGCTTCTTAAAAGAGCTTCGTGTTCAGGTAACTAGACTCTGCGCGCATGCTAACCATAAATGCCATGGCTCTCAGGTCCAATTAACATATTTCGTTTAGCGCTTAATAAAGCATTTCAACAATACACAATCATATCCAAGACAGAGGGTTTGCTTTAAAAATACAAACGTAAACTGATTAGTCCACATATGTTTAAGAATGGTGTTTGTGAAGTTTCCAAATAATATTATTTCAAATATAAGATTATTTCCCATTGTAAGAGAAGTGTTTTTTTGTTGTTGTTTCGAATGGCGTCCTTTGTGTTTTTTCGTCATGACTTGTTATTCAATATAATTATTGATAGTACGCATTTCTTCTGATATTCCTGGTACAGATTCAATTTCCAAACGCAGGGCCTTTTATTTGAGTAGGTTATGTGACGTTCGTTGTCATAAGACATCTTTTAACTTATTGGACACGGAAAAAGAAGTTTATATTGGGATTTGAGAATATTCACTTGGTTTAAAACTAGTGAGTAAGCTTAGTTATTATTCATTCTAGGACACAATACAATTGGATCTGCCAGCCATCACCATAATAACAACAAATCAAATCACAGTACCACATCAACGGATGCCCTCTGCCCTTTTGGTAGGTAGACATACTTTTATGAGCATGATAATTCTCTCCCATCCCATATCCATGCATGCAAATTAGAAACGATATTACATGTCTATACTTTAAAACAACCCGATTGCATGCCATTTCGAAACCAGTTCCCTGTGCATGCTAATTTGAAACAATCCCATGTATATGCTAATTTGAAACAATCCCATGTATATGCTAATTTGAAACAATCCCATGTATATGCTAATTTGAAACAATCCCATGTATATACTAATTTGAAACATTCCCATGTATATACTAATTTGAAACAATCCCATGTATATGCTAATTTGAAACAATCCCATGTTTATGCTAATTTGAAACGATCGCATGTACATTCTAATTTGAAACAAAACCATACATGTTAATTTGAAAACTATCCCATATGCATACTCATTCGAAACTATCATATGCTAATTTGAAACAATCACATGAAATTTCCAATTTGAACGAATGTGTATGCTAACATGAAACCACTACCATGTTCATGCTATTTTGAAACAATCTCACAAGCGTGCTAATTTGAAACAATTCCATGTGCATGCTAACTAGAAACCAATACCATGTTTATGCTAATTTGAAACCAATTCGTTCATATTCATTTGAAACAGTCCATCCCATGTGTATGCTAACCTGAAACCATTACCACGTTCATGCTTATTTGAAACAATCCCACGTACATGCTAATTTGACACCAGTCCCATGTGTATGCTAACTTGAACTGAAAGCAATCGCATGCGTATTCCAATTTAAAATAATCCTGCATGCATATTTATTCGTAATAAACATGATAAAGAAGAAACCAATCCGATTTACATGCTCATTTGAAACTAATTTGAAAACAAAGTCCTGCTAATTGCTTTTTGGTCCTGCACGATTTGATATTCGACTTTCCTACGTCACTTGTGGCTGATGTTCTCTTATATCACGGAACCTTTTTGGAAGTGTTGTGTGGCACGTATTTGGAATATTCATGTGTGAAATAGATTTGTTTATATTTATGTCTTTTTGATTTCGTTTATTGTGTCTTATGAATGTGTCACCTAGTTTTTTAGTTTGCAGAAAAGAGTGTACTCCTAACTTGTCAAAATGATTAAGTAATATCATTATTGACAGGGTCTAGGATGGTTTGGCACACAACAACAAAATGTCACGTTTCAAGGCAATTGATGTGACGTCTGTACAGTGTAGATACGTCTGTGCTGATACACGACAGACACACATGACATGTTATACATCACACAGACATTCTGATCTATCAGCCCCATTTATATATCATAGGCTACTGTGAATCCTACAATGACATAAAGATTGCGCCCTGTTTTTTTTGATTCCTCCTATCATGAGAAATAATGGCCCTCTTATTCGCTCCTTCCTTATTGAAATATACGAAAAAGATTCGACTGTGATGAGCATTACAATATAGATTCCTCCGTACCAATACGAATATAAGTAGAAATTAACAATAACGGTGTTAACTCTAACAAGACATTGGAAACGTGTTCACAGAGAAAATAGATTCATGTTAATTTGATTCGTTAAAAGTATACTACTCGAGTCGTTCTACTCGATTAAATCCATCAATAATATATTTTTCATGAAAAAACAAACCAAAAATATCTATTGCAACTTTAATAATTCTAGACAACTTGATGACACTTATTGTATTTCTTTTTACTTTTTTTTGAGGGCATGCAAAGGCAGATCCCCAAAACTGCATAATGTAACATACTTGTATTTTACTCACTCCATTTGTGTGAATATACGCATATCTTTGTGTCATCCATTTCATTGTTTACTATTGTATGTATTTTGTGATGTAAATAAATTAATTGAAGTTGAATTGATATGTGTGTAATTATCACAGAAATCGAGGCGGGTTTCGAAGTACAGAAATAATGCTACGAGCTTGTAGAATAAGATAAGACGTCTGGTGTTAAAATTGACCCCGTTTCCTACATATAGACCAATCTAGGACTGTTTAATTATATCTTCGCTTTCGTTTATCTTTATTTTTCCAACAAAATGACGTTTAGTGAGCTTTAATTATGAAAAATCATGATTTAACTTTCCCTATTTTCACCTGCGTGATACCATGCTCCACTTTGCAGTAATAAAGAATGATCGAAGAACTCTAGATACTGATTACGACTTCATGATGTAACACATTTTTCACATTGTGGGTCTACATCATGATGATCGTCATCAGGTCATGCTCAAGGGAAATTATATATGCAATCTGAATACAGGGTGGCCCCAAAAACATATTTTTGGAATAACTTTCAATAATGATTCAATCCTCTTAACAATCAAAATGTTCAAATGACTCGAGGAATTCAATTTATTTTTCAAATATTGTCTTTTATGTCCAAGTATGCTCATTTCATTGCCGTCAGTGCAATACATCAAACATTCATGACTGCTTCTTCTCAAATTTGACTCAATTTTTATTCCTAGGAGCGGAATAAAAACGTCAATATGTATGCAAATTGGCTCGATATCACGATATTCTTGACTCTGGGAAATGTTAGCATTATACGGCTGGACTTGTGTTCCCCAGTGTAATCAATGATCATAATCATTCTGATACTCATAGCATCTTTCTGTTTCACCTGAAACTCAGGGCTGAGAAGATTTGAGATGGCATGGTTTATCATGATGGATCATAATAATGAAGAGACATTTTGGACTAATGAGGAAATGTGATATGATGATCACTAATTCAATTCAACAATAAGGTCGTTTTATTTTGTTTTGTTTTATTTTACTCATTCATATATCACGTTGCCAACGGACAGGTGGACATGTCCCAACTTTCTGCACTAGCAACAAGTAAAGCATTTTCCTATCAATAATACGAGTAATTGATTTTTCGAAAAATAGTGATTAGTTAATAAAAACACAGAATGAAATCCTGTGCTAAGGGATGAACTAATCTTGCACTATGACCTTGATTTTATGTCGCCACTGTCACTGGAAGTGGTGACCTATTTTTATGGCCGCTTTTTATATTTCTTTTTTAAATGCATGGTGACATTTGCCATGTTAATGCCTTGCTCATTTTTTTTTATTTTCGAACATATGACCTCATGTGACGAGATAAACGTAAGAATAATAGGGAAACATAGGTTCTCATTCCTACAGTGTTGTTACAAGTCATTTATGAACATGTTTGGTGAAGAACTGTAAACGGGACATTTGGAAAATAAAAGTACAATCAGTATGACAATGAGTATACTAAAAACGATATGAAACACCTATACCCACATGCGACGACTGTTTAGGGTAAATTTCATTGGAATGATTAACAAATGACGCTAGTCTTTGTAATTTAAACAGTTGAATTATCATTCTAAGGGTCCTTAATCTTTCGATATCGCAACTTCAATCAGGCGCAGGATATTTTACGACTTCATGACGCAACGTTTTAAGTAGGGGAATGAATTTATGACCAAAACTTGGTCGTAGCGTTTAGTTTCTACTTCATTTCTGATAGGAATATTACACTCATCAGGAGCGGAGATTCATTGGACTTTATATTATAATAAAAGAACCTTTCAAGAGTTTTACATTAGCAATCTTTTATTTTCTCTTTGGTTTTGCCGGGAAAGAATCAATGGAGGGCTAACCCCTCGTGTCGATCCGTATTGAAAACTCTTGATGAATCAGCACAAAGGGCAACACTGATAAATCATTTTCAATAATTCAAACACTACAATAAACCAGATTGATCTACGAGTATTACAGGGTCTGATACAAAATCAAAACTTATGTAATATCACTGCACAGAGATTAGATCGTTGTCGTGATCTGTAAGTCAAGTCAATATTTTCTTGTTCGGATTTCAAAATTCAGGATGGGTCCATGGTTCATCTCTAATTTCACCTCCTGACCTTTCACCGCACCCATTATAAGTTCAGTTTAACGTTTTTACGACTCGCTAAATAGTCGGGTGAATTGGAAATACTGAAGTTACGATTAGGCATTTATCAGTATTATATTTCGTCAGTGACACTTATGTTATTATTATCTTTGTGTACACCTCTTCAAGATCTGAATTTATGTCGACCTTCTATGTAGTCAAACATGATCCATTCCTCTATCTCAATGTACATATTAGACCTGTATAAGCTAGTTGTGATAAGTCCTCTCAAGACAACGTGCTGCAAAATAAATAGCGCTGACGTGAAATGATGTCCACCCAAAGGACACTGATTCAGTAACACTAGAAATGAATTTGGATGGTTCGAACTATAAAGGGATCGAAGACGTGCATTGAATATAAGGAGCTTGATAATTGGCACATTAGTACTGTTCTTCATGGACATTAATGTAGGATCTTTGATTTAGGCAGTACTATCCCGCATAGGAAAACAATGCAAATGTTTTGATGGCATAAACCACGATTGCCACAAGTATTTAAGTGATATGGACGCATCGTAAGAACACATCCAAAGAATATTACCTCTCATGAACCGATATCCGAGGGGAATATATCAGGTCATATATCATTTAGCCACGCATTTTTTCATATGGATCATCCTAACATATTGTCAGGTCAGTAGCGTATATAACCATCATCATTTGATTTTTAAGATAAGGAATCTCGACCCTGACATGTACATTTGCATCGGAGTAGACACAGAGTAGACCGTATGCACTTCAAATCAAGGTCAAATTGGCCAATTTCTTAAACTTACATCTACTAATAATCGAAGGGTGCAACGACTGCTTTAAATCAATTTGGATTCAACTCACAGATAATTGATGGCGTCAGACACAGCGTCTCCCAAAAGCCATAATTTGCTTAATTTTTATGGAGTTGGTAAGTATGATGAACAAATAATGTGAATTTTGCTGGGTAATGCCATTCTGTTTAATTACGACATGCTGGAACATTAATATGTGATGATATCTAAAATAATATATATATAAATTACATGTCAGTCAGTGAATGGATAGACGTGCGTAGGTTGAAAAGAAATGATAATATTTTTACTTTTAAATTCAATAGCGATAGTTGTAATAGTACAGTGACGTAGTCCTGCCTTTCAGGTAAGAGGTACACCCTGACATTGATTTGATCTCAAAAACATTGATTCAACGTGCAGAAGTATATTATACTTTTGAAGGGTGCTCTTGAAAAGCAACACCAAATTAAATAAATGATCGAGTATGAGTTATTTATATATTTATCTAGTTACTGCAAAATCACTGATATGCAAACATTGAATGTTATTCCACCAACTAAAGATGGCGTCTAAAGAACTCACGTCTCCAATAATTTCGAATCCATTGCAGATCAAAAGCTGCATTTAATGAAAACGCATTAATAAGTAAAGACTTAAGTAATCGACTACACACTTCTGTATTGTAGCACATGATGCATTTATATCTATGTATCCAAGATGGGAGTTCGTCGTTCAATGAGATAGCACAAGGGGCAACACTAGAAAAAACAACAATGAAGAAAAAACTAATAAATAATATGTTCCGACAAATCGATACTTAAACAGTCCGGTGATAATACAAACTTAACAAGTTTATTAGTGCATACGGATATACATGATGTGTTTACAAAGTGAGTGTTGTAAAACATCCCTTGACACATTGTGTTTACTGTAAACAGATTCACACCTTGTACAATGTATAAGGTACGCGAGGCTATCATATAACTGTACTATGCTTATTGCATGAGGATATTAGATACATGCCTATAAACAAATGTAACACAGAATTAACAAATTGAGGTTATTTCGAAAAGAAAATCCATGAACCTTGACAAATTTTTTTTACAATGTGACAAATCGCTCTTGAGATCATTGATGCAGTGAGCTCTCAATGTTAAGTCTAGAACTATTTGAATAAAGTCGAGTTGAAGTAGATCAATGCAACGCTTTCGCGATATCTATCAGGACGAAGGACTAGATCAGGTATATTCTTACAGCTACTAAGAGCTTACAGCGATGAGCTAGTATATAGACTTGTGAAGGATATTGTGAATACAGAAAGGGCATACATTACACACAGAAAGTTTCAGGAATATTGGCTGAGGACATTGTTATTACTTACAAAACGTCATTGTGAATTTCTAGGACGAATAACTCTTGGACTTTAAATCATACAATCAGTGGTTAATACCTGTAAAGCCGCTTAACGCTGTGGCAAATGCATCAAATGCCATAGTAGGTAGTTATATAGAGCCAAAGCTCTTGCAATATATCGACAGTCTACTAATCCTCAAAAATGACCATGTAACGCAGATCATTTGAGTTAGAGAACTTACTCATTAACTATACTGAGAGACGACATGGGCAATGGCAATTCAGTAACATCATGTAGCCCTATCTTCAAGAAACCTTCACGAAGAGATACAGCCTATACAATGGGTAGGTCGGTGAATCAGCTGAAACAGCATAACTTGGATTAATATGTCATGCCTGACGGCTTCACTACGTCACTTGAAGATATATCTGTGAACAACATGAATAGAGAGTACAGCGAAATAAATGTATTAGTATGGGTGATAGGCGGAGCACTGGGGGTTAGTTTTGGTGGTCTGGTTTCAATAATGTTCATAGGGCACCACAGAATTGCACTAATACAGAGGTGCATCATCGTGATCATTATTCGAACAATAAAAAATATAAAAATGGAGGAATGGTTGCCAGGAGTAGTTTTTACTCTCTGAGATCCTGTAGTTGACCAGGATGGTGTATTAATTGGAATATGATAAGCTAACATTACCATGCATGGATAGATGAATTGAATATACGTTTCAATTGAAATTAACATTGAAAACATTGAAACAATTATTTTCATGCTGTGTGACCTCAACTGCTGTTACCCAAATGCAGATTCACCATTGTATCTTGGCTTAATGTTATAAAGGGCATATACATGGCATCTACTAGAATCTATATTTGTGTTATAAACTAAGATGAGATATTTTCATTTTCAACACAATATGATTGTAGATGATCAATCCTTCTTATATGTCTTTGGAGAGAACACCAGCAACATTATTTCCATACTGGTCATAAAAACTGCGGATGTTTAAACCATTTAATTTTCTTTTAGCTTGATCAATTCGTCATAAAACTTCTGCATTGTGTGCATGTTTGTCTGTATATTGAACTACATCGATTCAATTACTAATGTGTGTCACATGCGAATGTAATTACAAAGTTGTTCATTTTAAGTGAATTATTTTTTCAGATCTCACACCCGATGCAGTGACGTCATTCCTTAATGATAATCCGGAGTTTCTGGAGAAATACGTCGTTCGTAATGTCAATAGTGACCAATTAGAACGATGGATCATCAAACGAACACAAAACGCTAACAAGGAAAATGGCAAGCGTAGAGGATCAGATGTTGAAAATGGGATCAATGGTGAGTAACCCTATAGTAATATGTCGATGAAAACATACTTGATCTGTTGATAGTCTTGGTTCAAGATACCCCACTTTCCAACAACAGATTCTTTGTTGTTGTTGAAGTAGATACGGATAAGGGGGTGATCCAGATCTTGAAGCAAGACTACATACCCGAAAACCTGGTTTGAGATACACATTGACACATTTATCCGAGCGAGCTTGCCTCAAATGCTTCAGTAAAATTGTTATTGTAAGCAGGTTGCATGTAGTATCCCAATGCAGATCCCAACTATATTTCATTTTTTAATAACACATTGATACGAAATGTGACGTTTACTTAGAGCAAAGTAATCAGACCCTAGATACAATAGAGCGTTCAAACAAATCTTTCTATTCGATCTATTTCATAATTATCAATTCCCTTTCAATTTGCCTGGATAGCTACATCGTGCATTCCCCCTCATTAGGCGTTCTATCGCTACTGAATGTACTGATCAGATGTTACATCAAGGGTTCTTCTCAGAAACATGGTTACGCCATTAAAATTAAACCGAACGTATCCCTATCGAGCTATTTTGCTGGATCATCGAATCTTGCCCTTGCTCCGACAAAACAATACCATAATTAGTAACTTAAGAAAAATCTTGTGATCAAAGCTTGACAAAAGAATTCGTTGAAGCAAGAAAACCTAGTTATTTTCTGTAATTGGTTAAATGCAGATTCTAACGAGAAACCTTACTTATTCTCATATGATTTGCATTCAGTTCCTCACGTTGTTTCTGCTACGTTTGCCAACAAGATAAGTGTGTACAATTGATAGATAGCCTCCATGTCTTAAGCATTAATGGTAAAGATTAGCCTTTAGAATCCAACGCTTTATCAAATTTCCGACAGGGAAGATACATATTTTTTAAGATTATCTGTCGACGTTGATATAATTTATCGAGTGCCATGTTGTTGAAGGTAAGTTCAGTCGAGTCTATCTATTATGTAGTACTAAGCTATGAGAAACGAGACAATCTATCCGAATAAACATAATATTGGTAATATAAGTTGGCATACTGCAATTACGTGAGATTAATATCGCTAAATACGGATGGAATCTCCAACACTAATATAAGTAGATTGGTCAGGGAAATTCAGATATAAATCACTGATTGGAATAAATAGGTATTAGACTTGATACTTCAGTGTATTACACTCTCAGGTGTAAGTGTTGATACAAGTAAATGACCAACCCAGCAAACCAGCAAATGATACTGTACACATGCATGTTCCAACGTTCCAAAGATCACGGTTATCTACCTTTCGGTTCTTCAAAGTGTCCCATTTGGATGCGTTAGACTTCGTTTCTTAAAAGAGAGCTTCGTCTTCATAACAGACTCTGCGAGCAGAGTACTCACAATAAGTTATTTGCAAGACACAGTATCAGAGAGACTTTATGTCCTTGTTTATTGAAAAGTTAGTCAAAAATCACAGTTCAGTCCAAAATACATAAATTCATGGACATATCGGTCAAAGAGCAAGTCATAAAAAAGTTCTAAAACACTTACACCCAATAATCACGTGCGACTGAACATGTCAACACGTAGTTTGATCATATGGAGGGTCTTTAAGTTCGAAGCCATCGGGGGCATTTATAGTGTTTATGGTAAAGGTTGATAAAATAGAAAGTCTGAAACAGAAAAAATGAATTCAACATCTTCATAGAAGCAATACATATACAACACGAGATGTCAATTGTTATATTAGATATTCGAGGTATAGGCTTAGTAGTGTTGCCGCTATGTATCTGCATCACTGAGCGCAACATCAACATTATATTTCTGACATAAAACATAGAGTCAGGGACTAAAATATTTAAGCTCCGTGATAAGTAGTACGAGGAAGCCCACTCTATCATACCCAGGAAGGGGATGATATACAGTTATTCATAACTGATGTGATTTGTCCAGAGTTGATGGAATATCATCGTAATACGAAGAAACCTTGAAAGTCCCAATGGCAGTGAATCAAAACTCAAAAATAAGCCATTTATCAGATGTAATGTACCAGACCTTACTAAAGGTCAAATGTTATTCAGCGATGTTGGGCCTCGAGAGAAAAAAGTTCACTGACACAAAATTGACTGGAATCAATATCATAGAATCCAGATACAACCACGACTCTTTCTGTTATTAATGAAATGTATCCCGCCTTGATTTGAAACATAGAGGCAATGGAAATGTCAGTGCTTTGTTCAGATTTTAAATATTATGATAATATCTCTGAATTGTTTTTCTTATCGATTCACCATTTTATAAATATCTCATTTTTTCCAATTTCTAACTTTCACCCGAGCCATGGAGAAACACTTGAACTGATGTATATGACAGAAAGCGAAGATGTGAATCTCCTCAATATGCCACTTATTTTCATTTGTTTTATTTTTTAATAACATCCATAAGGGAAATTCCTCAATAAGGTTTGTGCCATTATCGATCATCAAACTAATTCAGTACATGACCAAGAGAAAACTAGAAAATACAATATTTCCAATCATAACAGCTTTCTGCCAATTATAAAGTAAGGCTTATCATTGAAAGAAATCACCCAACTAGATGATGGAAATATAAGACTGAATAATTACTATGCTAGAAGTATCTGATGAGAAATTCTCAAGTGCTTTTATCAACACCCAGGTAAAATAGATTGTACATGAAATGTAGTAATTTCGTCAAGAAGGTTCATTAGGTGAGATACTAATTTTAAAGATACATGCATTTTAAATATCAACTGATGATTGAATTTGCTCAGTTACTGAATTCCGTCCTTTGCGAATATAATAGAGGAATCAGAATCATATAGCAGGCACACCAGACAACCCTTACTGAGCGAAACACAGTCGATAGTGAAACGTCAAATTAATAACCTAGACAAAACAGTAAAATTTTGATAAAAAGAAGTACATTGGATGTTAAAAGTATTCTCTTTTGCCAAAGGTGATTCGAGGTTAAAGAAAACTTGCCTTTTAGTATATACAGTCAGGTTCAGTAAGTAAGTCATCATTCGAAAATGAAAATCTCAAAAATCGTCCATCTTTGATTTCCAAAATAATTTGTTGTTCATCTCTAATCCATTCTCAATAAAGCGTTCGCGAAATAAGTTTTCGCAATGTTTGAGTTCGGGGTGATAAAAGTACGTAAAGATATACCGCTCCTTAACAAATTCCTTTGGGAACAAGATATTGAATCAAAAGCATATTCTTCTTATTTAGAGATGTAAGCTATAAATTCAAACAAAAATTCCCGCTATTATTTTGATTGCACAAGACAAAATTGTCATTCCCGGGGAGGACTTTGGTAACACTTCGAAGGAGGATTCTTCAAGAGGTTCAGTCTCCGAGCCTTTCGTCCAGTGCCATCCGTACCTCCTGTGCCTTACAGTGAAGGTACGCAACGAACGAAATGAATTTTGAGAATGCAAGAGGTTGTATACATTTGCATTGCTTCATTTGAGCCTCGTCTAAATAATACTCAAATCCGATACCATAATTATAGATTAACATGAAACATTAGACTCTCAAGGGTAGATGATAAAGTGTTTCGAGCACTTATCACTGGGGAGGGGGGGGGGGGGGGGCTGGGGGCCCTCCTCCGCCCTTGGTTGCGCCCAGAAAAATTTTGAAGAAAATGGGCCTCGAAATTTCAAATTTGGGGCCACTTTTGGGTTTTAGGGGCCCGGGAGTTTTTTCTCTAACCTGTAATTTGCCCCCCCCCTTGTTGGTTCCCAGATCCGCCCCTGCTTATGATTATGATATTAACTCCACAGAGTTAAACTGTGGATATTTAGAAAAAGATGAAAGAAAGAGAAGAAAAACTTCACAAATATCAACAATTTTCATTGAGTAGGAGATTACATTCGAAATTACAACTTTCAAAATATTTGCTTCAACCAAGAATTGTAAGAACTTGAAACATGTTGTTAGTTTTTCAACCGCATACTCATTCACGTTCTTTGACAAGGATGAATCCATTTGGAAACATGGATTTTCTTGATTATTCTTCAAAACTACCTTTGAAATATAAGTATGTAGGATATTACAGTGTAAATTGACACGTCCTTGTTTGCTCCATATCATGAAAAAATAAATGTAGTACCATCTGTCAATATTCGAAAACAGAAAGTTCATTCTAAATGTAAGAAAAATACATTTTTGGTTGGATCATGATAAAAACCGACAAAATTACATCTTTTGAAGTAGGGGTATACAGGGACATAGGGAAAATTCAGAAATTTAGGCCATATCTTTAGGCCAAGATTGCTTCACCAATATATTACAGAACATCAATATTATCATTTACACGTTTGCTGATAGGTATATTGAAAAGAACCAGAGGTTTACTTCAATTGTGGCACCATTCTCAGTTATATTGATGAACATGCGCCTGACTATATAACATTATGAGTTTTTGGTATTTTGAAAAGAATTAACCCTGGCCCTATTTGCGAAAGTAATGAAATATCATATTTCCCCTTCAAATGACAATTGGATATAGCGATTATGTGGCTATGTAACGATGATATCATCACATAAACCAACCAACCAACAAATATATGACTTTCAGGCAAAATCAATTTTTCATTTGAACATCAACTTTCCTTTTCAAACATTTGGGAATCAGTTTCTTATTAACTAATCGCTTTCGTGTTTTCGGCATGGACCCTCGCTAGTTTAGTAACATTAGAGAGTTTTATTCATGATATACTAGATCTATCTCATACGTAGTGAATTTCAAGGATAGAAAAGCATGGTATATTTACTGTTATCTATACTGATGTAAAGAGCGCGAGAAAAATACGTATACCGCTCTGGGAGATTTTTTCCGAATTCAATGCTACTCTGTCCATTTTTCAAGCTAATTTAAACGTCAAGTTGGAAAGTTATATGTTATCCCAATGGTATGTCAATGTTATGTTTCATTAGGTTCAGAACATATGAAATATAGGGTCATCCTTAACATAAGGTAACCCCACAAACCCAAAACCATGATCCTGAACCCCCATATAAGTATTTTTAAATCTTGTGGTTTGTTTAGAAACGGAACTGCATAACAAATTTCACTTTTCAAATTAACCTTTATGTCAAGAATCGAACTTTAATATAGTTCTTCAACACAATGTGCTTTTAAAGAAGCAAAAATGGAAAAAATCTTCAAACTGAATATCTGTTCTCCAACTGACCGCTTTACCAGAGATCAGGATTGTGTAAATCTGCAAATGCTTTATAAAACTATAGATCAAGCTTGACGTTGTTATTTATTAATTACAAGCGAGTTCTAGAGGAGTATAAATTTCCACTTGAGGAGGGAAAGCTACATTTTGTTTTATGGCGTGTAATGATTTATTGTTTTGCTTTTAGGGGAATCTGAACTGCGAGATGGCAGCGGGTTGCTACGCTGGAAGGTGGGTGAATGAACTACCTAGACTTTAAGGACTAAAAAATAATTGCAAAATAACATAAACTTAATTTTTTATTGAAGCAACATATCTTTTCCGGTAACCATGGTTTCCAAAATCAATTAAATGTACCCCCGTGGGGTTTTAAAATTCAATTAACCTGTGATATAATCAATTAACCTGTGATATAATCAAGGAAACGCCAGATGGAATAGAATCACAGGAATAAGAAAAACGTAATGATAAGTGATTGTGAGTTGAGTTCAGCATCGGGATGACGACAAGAATCCCGGACTGAACCTCATTACTATTGTGTCTTAATCCGAATAGGTTATCAGGTTAATACAATCTAAATTCCTATATTTGTTTGCACCATCCTCCGCACACTGGCCTCATTCCTCATTCTTCCAGGAAGGAACATAGTGGATGATGTCTGGAACCCTGCGTTCGGAGGATGAATTTCCACACACACCAGCACGGGACTGTATATTTTCTCTGGATATCTATAGCGAGAGCATTGAATAGTGTTCACATTACATCTCGGATTAATCTCATATGTTATACACCTTGTCCTTAATCATTCACCAATTACTGATAAATCAAAGTGTCCATTCATCTCCATGGAAACCACGGTTTATAGAATAATACACCTTATGCTTTCCCGGCAAAGCCTTATCACATTCTAGGGACGAGGAAATGTATAAAATAGCTTGAAATAATGACGATGACGTATTAGCAGTAATGAAGCTTTTAATCATTTAACGACGGTAGAAGCTCTGTAAGTGGGCTGTAAAAGAGGGTTGGTTGGTGACGGGAGCTTCTCAGTATACTAGTATCTTTTTATTGCATAACTAGGCTTTTGCTCGGTCACATCCGGGCAGCTCGCGAAACCTCGTCTCCAACCCAATCAGAAGTTTTGAAATGATTTTAATTCTCAAGTCTAGGAACATATATTTATATATACGTTTAAAACGATAGCGCCATTTTACCACCATACACGAGAATCTGTAATGTCTAATATACATTTAGAAACTACTCTAGATCTGAAGTCCAACAGACGTTGCAACGAACGAACAACTCAAGTATGCAAATTTGGGAATTTTTTCTTGATCTAATTTGCTTTGAAAGTGAGCTATTGATCAGAAAACCTGTGAATGTAGAACATGTGACCACATCATCAATCTTATAACATGGCTGACTGCTATGTGAAGTAGCTCAGAGGCGATTCTAGTTGAAAGTTGCCTGATGCGGTCATCTGTAATTCCTGTAGATTAGTAGTTGTGATACTTGATGAAATCAAAGCCCTCTATTGCTATCATTGTCCTCTCGAGTTGGAAAACAGAAATAATAGATGAGATGAGTCTCAAATCGGTTGAATTGATGAATGAATCCACGAGGCAGTTTATATTGTAATCGACAAAGGGCAACATTTAATGAAATAGGAAACCATACATATGCATAAATGTAGCACTTGACTATTTGACATATAGTAACACCAACCGATCATGATGAATGATCTTTCCATTGTAGATGGGCCATCACCCCGACAAGAGGAAGATATTACAAGAACTCACAAAGGACATACACCAACACCCTAACAAAGCCCAGGTTCTTAGCGAGCTGACAAACTGTGTAGCTTCGGGTAAGACCTCTCTTCCTATGATCACAACACCATCGATCTATACTAATGGGATGCGTGTGTTTACACAAGCTGTATACAGATCGAAGCAATTTTCCTAACATTACAAAAAACTGTGTTCATATCTAATGATTCTATTTTAATTCGAGGTTGTATTAGTTCACTTAGCAACTTCTTTGCAATCTTCCCCGGCTGGCTTTTGTTCATTCTGCATCGGAATTCTGTATGTCCCATTAATGTACAGAATCAGAATTGAACGCGGTATTTAATTGAATTATCCATGCTTATGATCGGCTAATGTTTTAAATTGATCCAGCTATTAATGGAGGCCAATGAGACCCTAGCACTATATCCTTCCATTCCAGAAGTAGCTCTAGCCATTTGGTCATACATATATTGACATTCATTTACATTGCTAAAGCCAGAGAGCATTTGGGCAAGGGATTGAAACTTTATTTACTTATTTAATTGTTTATTTATTTAGCTATTATTTATTACTTTTATATTCATAAAAAACATTTGAAAGTAGTTACTAAGCTGTTACATTTACATATGCAATCATTGCTTCAAAGTACTTTTGTTTTATTAAGAAGGGTGACACAAGGTGTCTTACTTTTCTGCATCCTACGTTTAAGTTTTATTCTTTTGACTGAACCTATGCGTTTTCGTTTTTGATCCAGAGTTCGATGAGAATATCCTGATCAGAGATAATTATCAAAATGAAAGATTGATAGGGTCTCATAGCGCTCTTCAACGCTCTTGTTCAACTTATGCTGATACCTTGACGTCATTTCAATAAATACATATATAATTTATTACGTTACGTGCTCCTGCAGCGCTGGAATCGTTTCTTTAAAAATAGTATTTTAATGATTGTGCTTTCGGTCTTCCGTTTCCTAAATGATATTATGCTAACACATTTTCGATTACCATTTTACTTAGATTTATTCATAAACCACCTGCGCCATATATGTATGGATTGGATTAATATCAAGTAAAATTATATTGTTTTGCAATAAATAAACTATTTGACCATAAGACATGCAAAGGAATGTTGCGAACATAGAATGATAACATCTGACAGTTGCTTTTCAAATTACTTTTAACAACCCCTTTGTTGTTTTTTGAATGTGTGCATTTTAAAGCTATAACATCACATATCAAGAGAATATGTATGAGGTAACAATAGAGAAGTGAAATGAAATTGTTTATAATAAACATTATATGGCAGATCATTTAATAATATAAATACGTTTTATTTATTCAACCATTTCTAGTTGACAGGATAATATTTTTTCATGTTTGTTATTGATAAGCCATTATTTCCCCTCTAATGTATATTTGATGTGACTTTTATTCTAACAGTCGAGATTTATATGACGTTTCTTTTATATATACGTGATGCTTTTTCACTAATGTTAGCTTAATGATGATAAAGGTATACAGGTATGCAATGTAGTAATTTCTCTCTTCTTCTTTTAGCAATAAATGCCGATGGATTTAATTTATACCTCGTGGATGAAAATGGGCGGGTGAGATAATATGGTTATTTAACTTTACAATTATTCATAATTATGATACACTGTCATTGCAAATTACCATAGTAACCATTAGACCATAATGTACACTCTTAGTGATGAAAGTCATCATTCTTCAAATTGCCTCATCAACCTGTTTGGAATTGCAAAAATATAATAATCCTTTTAGCACATAGTCAGAAGCTGAATAATATTTATGACTCTATGTTCCATTTCCACAATTGTAAGTTTTTGATATGCAATTTCGTACGATTACGTTCATTTTGATATATAGACGTTTTTATTTCAGGATTTATATTACTTCAAGCCCAACTCTAACAAGTAAGTCAACATTGATAGCAAATAAGTATGCAAATTGACGCATATTAATTAAGTTAGAAAACATAGTCGGCTCGTACTAAAGGTCAAAACATAATGCTGCAATAGCTATAATTAAAGTTGTCGAACAAAGCAAATACATTCTTATTGTTTCAGTATAATTTTTAATTTACATCCTAGAAGTAAAACAATTGATAGCAATATTATTGGTTTTTAATTATTCATTATTGCAGCACAAAAAATTCAACGGTGTGGAGTGGCCGAATAGGCAATGGGGGAACGTTAGGAGCTTATATAGCAGAAACTCAAGAGGCCCTTAGACTCACAGAGGTCCTAGGGGTACGTATGGATCGACCTTTCATAAGAAATATATATTTGTTTATGTTGGATTATGGTCGAAACGTAAGGGTGATCGAAATGATCTCTTGTTTTCGATCTTGAGCCTGACTATGTATCATCAATCATGCATGAAATGGCTTTTAGATAATAATGTACCTTTAATACATTCAAGTCTTGTATCGGTCCATGGCTATATTATTCACCGGCTCATGGCTAATGGTGAGCTATTCCTTTTCCTTATTTAGATGATTTTGTTTTTTTTATGACTCACATGTTGTAGGATGAAAGGTTTCCCGATGGTATAGCAGTTGGAGGTGAAACAGCACAAGCAGTATTAGCGCAACCTATTATACAAACCAACTCTGCAACGTTGGGTACGTAGTACAGTGATTGATTATGTTATTAACTCGAACTGATATTAATGCGAATGTTTACATTCGATTGGTATGTGATTCGACTTAACATCATGACAGATCTAAAAATCTATGATGACTTTTTAACCCTCTCAAAATTTAACATGATGTTATGGAACAATTTATTACATTCAAATTTTGTTCAGCTTGATCAGTTGCAATAAACCTTAACAGAAAACGCGATGGACAAAACCAGAAAAACAAAGAAAAAGTACTATAGTAGGAACTATACAGGGTGTCAAGTAAATATGTACCCCTTAATTTCAAAAGTATGAAAATTTGTGCATAAAAACTAGTTGAGCCAGTCATCTGAAACTTCTTGTGGAGTTGGTCCATGAAAGCTAGTTTTTTAAGTGCTAAAGGACAATTAATATATCATGCAGACAAAAAAGATATGTAACATTGTGTTAAAGCTTCTGGGGGGAGGTATTTATTTCACACTCTGTTGAACTAAAACTGAAAACGAGTGTGAAATGAACACTGGTTAGGCAAAATTGTTTCTCTCTCACAAATAGTGGTAACCTTACCCGCCCAATGTGCTGGATTACGAGTAAGTTGCATTTAGTGTTTAAATTCCAGGTGTGGTAGAGTTGTACAGAAATGCTGGTAACCAGCAATTCACAGACGAAGATGAAGAGGTCAGTGTCTTCTGTATTACTACTAATACATTTAGTATTTTTTTAAATTGATAACTTAAGTTATGTAACAAGTTCATTCCAAAGTACCGGGGTCAGCATTTAATACAGTATCCTATACACCGCTGTTCATATATCTGGTATATTGTGCACTCTTTACGAAAATCAATGCACTTTCTTAATTATAACAATTAAAAACTAAAACTAAAACGAATTGATTTGTTGGAAATGAAAAATGTTGTTAGTTATAAAAAACGTTTGATTCATTTTTCTTAACCAAATAGTGAAAACTTATTTGTAAATTCTTCACACAATGAGGCGATGGAGAATATCATGGGTGAATATTGGAAAATATTCCATATATACGAGGGTTGTCCCAGAAGTAATGCACTATATGCTCTAACTTTCTTTAATATTCTTCAATTCAGCTGAAATTTTGTGTATATAACAATTGAAGTTTTATCTATTATATCACGAAGTTTCAGCATCCAACATTAATATTAAGTCTTAATATGGTTGCTATAACAACATGGGGGTAGGGGTGGGTGGGGCAGGTACCAATTTTTCTAATTATGAAAAGATCTAAAGTGTTATTTGATTAATATTTCTTTCCTTTAAATGGTCAAAATGTTTGGGAAATTGTTAAATTTATTCAGCATGATGTTAACCAAGTACGAATAATGACATTTAGCACTGTGATGTCATAATACCACATTTCAATAGTCACGAATTCAAATACAGTCACAGTCAAGAAATTGCAAAAATGGCTGCAATTCTCACCAGGAAACAGAAGGCCTTGCCTTTGGTGGCCTAATTTCATACTTCACTTGGACTCACAGCCACGCAAAACAATGCTACCATGAAGAAAGTATATAAGGAGTATATACCAGATAGAACTACAATTATGGGGTGGCAGAAGAGATTTAAAAGAGACGATTTGACCCTGTATGACAACTCCAAACATGGGAGGCAAAAACTCCACAAGTCACAGTGGAAGAAATTGCCGAGAGTGTTTGACCTGACAGGCATCAAAAGTACATAACATGCAAAGGGCAATATTTTGAGAAAATGTGAAATGGGACACTGTGCAATATACATCCATTAAATCTAGGATGTGCTCATAGTAATTTAGTATCTTAAAATGTATTTTTGAGCATACTTCTCATAGCTACATCAAATGGTATTTGTTGATTAATTATTTCAGATTTTCAATTTTTCATTCCTTTTGACGTGACTGTATAACCTGCCCCGCCCTACCCAAACTCACCAACTTGATTTTATTATAACATCAAATTAGTTTTATCAGTCAACATGAAAATTTCTAGAATAATCAAAATGTCTCTAAGGAACATTTACTGAAAATTTCATGAAAAAATATCAATTATTGATAAAGTTAGAGCATATAGTGCATTACTTCTGGGACAACCCTCGTAGTAGCAATGGTGGTGTATGATAATTCTATGTTATCAAATATCACAATCAACTAATGAATTTATTATACATAATATATATACATCACATATATATATAATGTTTTATTATACTTCACACCATTCTTTGATTAGACTACTTTAAATATATGTTAAAAGTTCTCATTCTCTTGATTCGTGTTTCATTTGCAACCATTGGCTTGGTGATTAATATTAATTGATATTGATTAATATCAAATTGATGACTATAATATTGTCATTCATCAGTCGTCTTTATAATATACCTTTCTAGGATTAGATAGCACTTTTACCTCTATTTTCGAATATCAAAATAATTTATTTATTTTTTCAAATTTTCACGGGGCTGATTAATATATCGACTAGGCTCTCCTGCATTAAGTGTTCAACATATATCAGATTCTGAAAATGTACTAGTGTATGACAAACTTGTGTATTTTGAGAATGCTAGATGTTGTGCACCAAGCTTTGCATGTTGTGCTAGTTATTGACTGAGGAGTTTTCTCCACCAGGTGACGTCTAGCGCCCTCCAGTGGTGCCCGGTGCTATTAACATGCCAAGAGGTAATGGCCGCTTTAGGTGTAGATCCCGTAGACGTGCTAGGCTCGGTTAGTACAATAACAAGCTTGGAACTTACATTCATAATTACACGAATTTACTTTATAATGAGCCGTCTTTTCCAACTAACTATATATTTTCCTTTTGTAACAGGGTGATACATGAAAAACTTCAATAGATGCAGCTTCTTTGACTAGTAATGATTGCACATTACTATTTAATCAGACTAATTTCCCCTTGTTTGTTCTACCGCTTTATCTCATAGGCCTTTACATGCATTCTTGCTTAAAATACATCCCTAGTGCTTGGCTTCAACCGGTGACCATATTAGCCGCATATAGGAGTTAGCGAAAACATTGTTATTATTGCTTTGAGAAGGACAGTGGCTCAAAATATCGATGAACTTTATTCCGATGTTCCGGGAATTTTTGACGAATATCAAACATCCTTATTTTCAAATTATCTTTCAATCAAATCATCAAATTGTGTAGTAAGTTCGCTTTTCAAAACAGGTTGATCACTTTTGAATGATTACATAAATACATAACTAAGTGAGTTCTAATGTCCAACTGTCCATTTCAAGCAAGAGGGACTATGTTCCAAAATGGCGCTCTTCATCTGTCGGCTATCATGGATTCCTAGAAATAATGTTGTTAACATTGTAGAAATAACTAATAAGTTTTGTGTTGTGCTAACACTTTACTGTATTGTAATACATTGCATCTATTCCAGATTACAAGCAGTTTTTTGATGTGGGGTGGAGTAGCAACTTCTAGTGCTGAGGTAAAATGTCAAGGTCAATTTAGAAACCACAATGCGCATTCTACTGGAACCCAGAATCCTCCAGGATTGAAATAAATAGCTCTACTTATGTAGATGGTATTTGTTGTGGTACCCCAAAGCTCAGTTAGGGAGGAAACAACTTAGTCAATTGCCACTCACCTCCCCACATATTTGCATATGGCTATCAATTTGATGATAATACTTAACTTATAGTCAATCCAAATAATGAAACCGTATAGTGGCAATTGGCCATTTTCCAGGATCAGCAATGTTGCAACCCCCTTATTTTTCATATGGTTTTATAATTTTTCCGACCTGGCTTCATTTTTGTTACAACCGAGCTTTGTTTTATTTTCCTCCTTAGTTTGGCTTTGAACATTTACTCCTGGGTTATCTTGCTGCTCGCTTTCCCAACTAATTTTTGCATATATTTGGCAGATTTGTAACAGTATACTGGTATGGGGAGCTTTTGGAATCTACAATGCGGAGGTATTTCGATGTGATAAGGATATTTAATCCACAAGAGATATACAATGTAGTCATGATCTTAAACATGCTATAGTTGTATGGATGTTGTTTATGTTTAAATGTCGTTGTTTACATATTAATCAATGTATAGATGCAAGCACCTCCTCTAAATTGAGTAATGTGGAAATCAAGATTTGCAGTCATTATAGTAATGGATGTAAATATGTATGCACAATTGACAAAGGGGAAGATCAGAGAGTATTACAAACCACTAGAAAAATGAACATATAACCCACAAGGACCAACCCCCAATATCCCTTATAATAATCTAACGTGCAAAAGAAACAATGTTTATGCACAAACCATGATTCAAGCATCATTAGAACACTCCATATCGACAAAAGCATGGAACATTTCATTCATACAAGATTGTGAAATATGCATGTTACTCTTCTATTGAAAGGAAATTTCAGTGGCAAACATTTCCACTTTCTTATTTTCCTGCATCAAATATATTTCTCACGTGGCTCCCAAAATCATTTATTAGATACTATGATATTATATATAACCCTTTGGCATGATAAAATATTTATAATTTCATATCAGCAGTCAAAAGGATATTCTTTCATTTAGTTTGATATTTTTGGCATACTGGGGATATGCTTCGGCCTGTTCTCTTTAAACTTTTTTCTATCCGTGTTTTAATACTGTTTGATCGTTTCCCCTTTTGGACACCTGTGCTTCCATATTTCGATCAGTGTACTATTGAACTGAAAATAGATCTTTAAGGTTCCTTACTAAAAGTTTCCTATAGAATTTGACTGCCCTAGTTTCAATTCAACTCCAATTTATCATTCATTTTACAATATGTATATTGCATCATAGAAAATGTAAATGATAACAAGTAGCACCACAGGCCATGCTTATACTTGCACATGTATTCTCAAACCTTGCATTCAATCTGTGAGGAAAAATTGCATTCATGGTTGAACCAGTATTTTACACAATCTAACATTCTTCATGTATATTTCATTACTAGTATCATTAGTTAAAAACTGAGAATTTATTTGTTAAATGTTATTTACCTATCACTCTCAACATATGATACCTAGCTTAATAAATGATTAATTAGGCAATATAGTGTTTTATATCCTATCAAATTATATAGTGGTTCTATTTTTTCCTGAAGAGAAAATATCAAAGGTGAACGTATGAAAGCTTTCCTAAGTGAATGTAATGAACAAGATTAGTTTCATCCTGAATTATGATTCGTAAAGCAATTTGTTGATTAGATCTAAATGAAAGACTATGACAGATATAAATTATACCCTAGAAAAGAACACATGTCACAGACATTGATTTGGTTATCATTTCTAATTAATTTCTGAGTTGTTGAATAGAATCTTACGTGTGTAACTCTTGTTTGTATCATGTTTCACCGAGTGAGTTATGTATGTATATTTATTTGTAAAGCGTTTCCTGTTAGTCATGATATTTCTCTTGCATTGAGTTTACTAAGTTTAAATTTATAAAGTAAAATTTTAACGAGAATACTCATAGTCAAATAAAACTAGTTTGTAAAGCTAAGTGATTATTGTTTTGAATGATATCCAATGATTTTTACCTCCCCTATGCGCAGAGTCCAGCTGAAATGTCCTAAAAGACGAAGCTCTCTTTTGAGAGGCAAAGTCATGTGAATGCAAAGGGTAACTTTTACCTAAATCGTTTACTTTCAGATGTATCACGGCATGACAAAACAGCGAAAGCTGAATGAGTTTCTACTCGCAGTCACTAAGTAAGTTAGTCGGAAAAACATGTTTTTGGTTTGACATTTCTTATTACATGTAAATTTTTATGTTTTCCCCTATTCAAAATATATATTAAATAATTCTTTGTAACAACATTGTTATGTTTGGTTTTATTTCACCTGTAATATCAAAAACTAAAACTTGGCTTAATCTAGATATATGTACAACTCTATATAACTATATTTTAAGGTCGATATTCCAAGATATAGTCAGCATGGACACAGTCATCATGAAAATTATGGTGAGTGGAATATAGTTTTATTATTATTATTAAGAATATTTCATTCGTCTGTTTAAATTGCAATTGCCTAACAGTATACTGATTCGTATAGAGTGGTATTTTATAATATACAAACGATTTCGCTTTCAAAATAAGAGAGTATTTTGATGTTCTTCATCCTACAAAATGTAAAATGATATAAAGGAGGAGTTTGATAAGACTGTATCATAGGTTGGACACTGGACAGTATAGTAAATAAATAAATAGATAAATAAGTAAACTGTTAAAAATTATATTTCAGAACTTTGCTCAAAAATTGGTAAATGCTGATAGAGCATCACTGTTCCTGGTTGACAACCAAACAAAAGAATTATACGCTCGGATATTTGATATAGGCAACGGTTTGGGTGCTCAGCCTGTAGATGGACAACAAAAAGAAATTAGGTCAGGTTCAGATTACTAGTTAACATTTGCTTTCTAAAAGATACAGGAATGATAGTCATATTCATTTGTATGTAATTTTTTAACATACTACCTGTATTTGCGACCTGCCATCTTTTCTAGTCAGAAAACCCAGTGTAAAATTGTTGACATTGCTAAAAGTGGACCTTACCACTGGTTCCCACCTAGTTATAAAGACGCAACGTCTTCATAACAAAATGAATGAACTTCCGTCGGCGGAAATGTTTATTGCACCAAGAAAGAGGTCGATTTGTATCCAATTATGTCCTGGATGCTGAAGTGAGGGAATTCTCACTTGATTATTGAAGCTGCTGGATATATTTGCTCGTTACTGATAAGTAGTTTTTCAGTAACTGGGTGTTACTATTATGAAATCAATATCTCCTCCGACGGAAGTTTATCCATTTTGTCAAGTTACGTTACGTCTTTATAACCAGGTGGGTACCAGTGCTTCCGATATATTATGTGACTGAGGGTTAAGGGTATCTATTAACCAGGGTCAACCATTGCAACGCGTCTGTTATACACGTAGTCTATTTACTAGATATGGCATGAAGATGAAAGCGATATTGATTCCACACTATATTTTATTGATCAATCATTGTCAGTTGTTGAAATCAATCCTTTATCAATATTGTACATGAATAATGTATTGCGGCATATCCTGTGATATGGTTGAATACGAGACGTCTGTACACACATTACTTCAATGAAATGGTGTTACATTTGTAGTCGATGATTAAAAGCAAGAACGTGAACCTTATCATTCACCTATATCTATTTGTTGTATTGTCCACTACTGTTATACTTCACTTATCATTTGTGGTGAAAAGAACAGTTTTTATGATTAAATATCATTTGATCAAGATTATTCATTGTGTTGATAACCCATATATAATAGTTTTTAATTTTTTGATCTTACAATTATTAATCATGCAATTCAATTACTTTTAGATTTCCAATGGACAAGGGAATCGCTGGTCATGTAGCGACTACCGGTAATACTCTCAACATCTCTGATGCTTATGGCGATGACAGGTTCAACAGGTACATAAGTACACCAACTTAGAGCTGTCCATTTTGATAATTGTTCTCAAGAGCAGATGTAGATATTACTTCTCGCTTATAAAGTAGATAATCTTTGTGGTTATTCGATGAGTCAACGTGTAAATTCATTATTAATAAAAAGTATCACTCTGTTTTTACTGTAATTACCTGACCATAAGCTAAACCAGATATTTGATGCACAATCTTGGCATGACATATAATATAATATAGTATAGTATAATACAATATAATATAATATAGTGTAGTATAATATAGTATAATCCATTATAATATAATATTATATATTATTTTACAGAGATGTTGATGCCCAGACAGGCTATACTACGAAAACAATTCTGTGTATGCCAATATATATTCGTGGAAGGTATGTTGTGATATTAACAATCCCATTATAATAGTCATAGTATTTTATTTAATTATTAAATTTTAGTTTGTCATATCTTTTCAAACTATTTAATCATATTTTATGCTCTTAAAATGCATGGCTCATTTAGAAATGTTATTCTTATGATTAATATATTTTGGTATATTATTGAGGCACTATGGATTCTATTTTAATAATAATATGAGGCCAATCCTCTGGTTATTATTGGTTATTACTATATCCATGTTTTAGTTTGATTCATATTCAGTTTTGCCTCAAATTTTAGGGCTTGTCATTGACTTTCGATACAAGTTCAGAAAGAATATTGATGTAACTATTGTGTGTGATGCATGGTCTTAATATTTAAATCATGTATATTCTTGCATATTTGCCCCTGTGGTATCCACGTTTTCTTCAATTGAGTGTTTGCTTTATAAAATATAATATTTTATTGTGTTGGCTATATATCGTATATGTAACGCCATATGCCTAAGTTCAAGCAAGTTAGTTTGAAATGAATTATTGTATGTTTTGCATGTGTATGCTTGTATTACTGGTACTCATTTACATTCTGCTTTAATTTGCTCATAATAGGTAATCTCTCTATATTTTCCCTTTTCCTCTTACAGTCAAAAGAAGTACAAGTAAGAAAATAATATTCCTATATTGTGTTATGTAATTTTGATATGTTCCATTTGACATTGTGAATAGTTAAGATATAGTAGCAAATAGTCAGACAGTAAGTCGAGAGTAAGTCCTCATATTATTTGTCTTACATGTGATATCACATATTCAGATCATTTCGTTTGTGTTGAATCGAAGTGTTGTCTTAGATATTTGAATATTTAAAGACTAACAATGCCCAACAAAAAACTAACTGCAATAATTTGAAACAATAGACTAAGCAGTACATTACCTTATTCCAACACCCAAAATGTTTCATTATAACCTGGACATTAGATAATATTGAACCATACTAAATGGTTATACAATAGATGATTTGACTCTTACACAACAGAATGGTATCTGTACAAAAGGATCTCAACGTTCTAACAACTTATCGTATGCAATGCAATTCAAATTATTTTGTACCATATAGCATAATAGGTTTCAAAGTTTTAACGACTCATCGTACTCAATGTAATTCAAATTATTTTGTACTATATAGCATAATAGGAGTCGTTCAAATGGTGAATAAAACACATGGCGTGTTTACAAAATCAGACGAAGAGTCATTCGAAACGTTTGCAGTGTACTGTGGCTTGGCCCTTCACCACGCAAAGGTAAACAATAACGATAAATCATTAGGTATTAGCCATCGATTTATGATTGACATCTATGTTGTCCAAGTGTTATGTAACATGTATGCCAATAGTCAACGTTTCATATTGATGCAATTGTGTTTCCAATAATTTAGCATTAGTTAAGAAAATAATGATTTTGAAATTCTTGCTACTACCATAAATCCTGTTCTCATAATCATTTACGTCTTGTATTTACTATCTCTAGATTTATACAGGGTGGTAAAAAACGGCAACTCTGTTTCCCCATATCTTTGTCATTTTAAGGAATTTCTGCCTGATATTTGACACACATGTATATCATTCAATTTCATACTACACTGTACTAGACTACCTTATTTCCACCCCATGCAGACAGATCGCCTAAAATTATATTCGTATGGTGCGAGACTCTACATTTACCGGGAAAGTAGAAACATTTTGTCATCCATGAAGCAATTTTTTTCCTGCTTTAATAAATGACCAGTGACAGCCACATTGGGTTCTATAAGTATGAGAAAAGCATGACGTCTTGATATTTAAATTGATATTTCTTTGAAAAACTAGGAAATATACATTACAAGTTGAATTTTTCAAAAGACAGAATAACATGTATAAATAGTAAGGTCTGCATGTCCGATTCCCCCTGGTAGCGTTAACATTGGTCTTATATACATGTCATACAATTAATATTTGAAACTATTATTCGAACTTATGATCGGACATAAGTATGATGTTGCTATATATATATACAGTAAAACCTGTCCGATGGAATACCTCTCTGTAGGGAAAACCTATGAACAAGGAATGCTTTTCAAAAGAACCAAATATTTTTCCATTGACTTATATGTTAACGGACCCTCTCTGTAGGGAAAACCTGTGAACAGGGAACAAGGAACACTATTTTGGGGCAAATTATGAAAATTCACCTGTGAACAAGGAATATGGAATATTGGTGACACTGTATATTCCATTATTTTTCAGAGGTGTGAAAGTCTTAAGCCAATATCTGAATATAAAAAGCTTGGATTAATATGATTGAGATTAAGATAAGCTAATTGTTGACATGATGTAGCATCCCACCCACTGTTAATTACCCTGATTTATTTTAAAACTAATACTAATCTGTTACTTATTATCATGACACCAATTCTTTCTTTCAAAAACCTAATTACATCAAATCAGTTGTGATAATCTAGGGACTGACACAATTGTTTTATGGAGTTGATAGATAGTAAGTACACGGTCATGTTGAGCCAAATCTCTTTAAATCTTTTACTGATCCAACTTCTAGATTATCAATGATATAAAATAGGGTTGCTGAAACTTGAAATTCTGTTCTTAGCAATATATCTCTACACATCATACCAATGATTACATCAACTAGACATCATCAGACGCTAGCAGCAGCTAAAATCAACATGGGGAGAATGTAACCAAGTATGGAATCGGCATTTGTACAATCAATCAATATATATACAAATAATCTTATTCGGCAAGTTTGAGTTTGCTGAAAGTGCGGCCCCTCTCTATAGGGAAAACCTCTGAACAAGGAAACTTTCCTCCAGTCCCAAGAGCATTCCCTGTTCGCAGGTTTTACTGTAATAACATTTTAATAAAAAACATAAGATGATTTCATTTCGTTGCAACTAGTTTCTTGTTTAAATCCCCAGGCAACTGACAGAAAATCATAAATAAAATCATGAATATCTATAAAATGATTATTAAAACAGAAAATAACAGAAGAAGTAATTCAGTCACTACCGGTTTCACTTTATATGGTACATGTATGTTAGCACAGTGACATAAGAAGAACCCAAGTGTATTAAGACGAAGGCAAGAAACAAGTCAACAAACCCAAGTACCCCAATTATGATCCAACGCATTAGAAACAATGTTCGCCCATCATTCAGGATTGCATAACAGATTTGAATTAACCGAAGTGCATTTACATTATAGCTTTATGATAAAATCCGTCGGTCTGAACAAAAACACAAGGTTGCACTTGAAGTACTATCCTACCATAGCCAATGCACAGAAGATGAGTTTTCTCAATACAAAGACCGAGTCATACCCACAACACTACCTGATGTCACACTGTGAGTTGAAATAACCAATACTACAGTATAATAACTTGATATTGCATTATTTGCACATTCATCCTCCAAACGCAAGGTGCCGGATGTCATTCAATCTAGTAGTGGATGATGTCTAGATCTGGAACCCTACGTTAGGAGGATGTTACACATTAGAATTCTAATATATTTGGATTCCTTATCATTTAGTTTACAACTGAGTCATAGTTTTGTGAAACGCACGCAATTATACAATTAACTTACTATAATTAATGCAGATGTTGTAGTGATATGTAGAAGCGTATTTAAACTAGGAACAAACCCTAGAACGCCTACAAAATTAAAATTGACTGATACTAGAAACAATCACCCAATGACTGTCATTAAAATCCTATGCATATGTATTTGTTAGATACGAATTCTCGCCATGGGGAGTATTGAATGAAGACAAGCCCCAGTATGTCCTGTACATGTTCAAAGACATCTTCAACATGTCAAGGTATAGTAGAATCTTAAATATATTTTTTTCTGCCCTCTCACCAAATCATTGTCCTTACAGAGTAGTAATTCTAGCAAAGCACCAAGTAATCCATACCTGGTGTTGTTTGATATTGTTTTAACAGTTAACTACTGAGGCATATGCCTACCATTTGTTTGAGAGATAATGCAACACAAATTTGGTGAAGGATTAGTCTTAATGATATTAGACCTATTTTGACCAGTAGAGCAATCTCCCAAGCATAATTACTATAAATATTATGAGTATTGTAAAAAGCGACTTGTCTTTATAGGAACACGGGAGGTATCGCGACAGATTTCAGACAGTCATATGTTGGAACAGGTGCATATGTTAGGCATTAACTCCAGGACAATCACTTATAGAGATGATAAAACGATTTGGACTTTGAGACAGGGATAGTGCAAACATCCCAACAACATATTTTCTTGAAACGTCCTGATTTTCAGCCCTTTTCACCCCTGTTTTTCAATGTTTGATGCATCAGTATGTTGCGTTTAGAGACACCGCTAACCTCTTTAAAGGAAAACAGGATTCATGCAGGGGTTTATAGGTGACCAAAATCAAGCTGAAAACAATGGATCGCATGAGTTTTCCCTATGGGAAAATAACATGGGAAATATTGTTTTCCACTTTATCCCAAATGAATCCATTTTCCTTTTAAGAGGTTAACTTTGTCTCAAAACGCAACATATATATGCATCGAGCATTGAAGAGACAGGGGTGGAAAGGGCCGAAAATTAGGACAACATTTCAGGAAAAACGTGTTGGTGGGGTGTTTGCACCCTTCCTGTCTCAGAGTCAATTATTCTATCATCTTTATGAGTGCTTGTCATGGAGTTTATGCATTGGCCTAGCATATGCACCTGTACAAATCCTCCCAAAATAGGCAAAATCCAACATATGACTGTCTGAAATCTGTTGCAATACCTTCCATGCTCCTTTACTTAAAGGATTGTTGTAGATTTCACAAATATTAAACATTTCAATTATACTATTTCACATAATAGCGACCAAGAGGGGGACCAAAGGTATAATGTGAATAGTTATATTTTAGGATTTATCAGCTTTTTCTGTGCATAGAATAAAATTTTAGGGCGCTTTATTGCATTATTTATGTACTTAAAGTTATATATAAATGTTTCATATGGGTAATCAAAGTGTAGTTACAAACACCTTAATTTATTATTTAATAGCAATAATTATTGGTATTTTTGACCAATACAATATTTATCTTTATGCGTAAATGTTTTCCGTTTTAAAACTAGACGTGTAGATATTGTCTCTTCATTTTAACAAACATACACATTTACTATAATGAATTTAAGGCATTTGTAATAAAATAATTTCAAGTTTTCTTTCTATTTAGGTACAGTTCATTATAATATTACCATGGGTTAAAATCAAACTCCTGTGCAAACAGTGCATTCTGTAATATATTATATAACATACACATAAATCAATCGGTCTAGCACGTCTTCAAATTCTTGATATGCAGAAATAACTTTTAACCATATAAACAATCATCAATTATATATCAATTTAGCATATTATTATTTCAAGGTTCGACATTAGCAGTTTGATAAAGTTCACATTGACTGTGAGAAAGAATTATCGTAATGTGCCATACCACAATTGGAGCCATGCTTTCTCGGTCGCCCACGCCATGTACACTGTCATAAAGACCACGGACAATATATTCAACCCTCTTGAGGTAATGATTTTATTTCACTGACCCTGATAATTAGGTCATTAATCAGGAATCTTGTGCAAAATGATTGCTCGATAATCACTGTGGAAAATTGCCTATATAAGTTATACTATAGTAGACTATCTTTAGAAATAACAAATAAACATTTGCAAATAACCGAAAATATGGACGGTAATACGGAACACCCAGGACATGTCCTGATATACTTACAAGTGGTACCCCCAATTGCACATAAAATCATCAGCTCGTGTAAACTACAGTTAGTCTATGCTGTATGAAACTAGTAAAATACTATGATTCAATCAGTCCCAATGCTGAATTGATTGCGTTTTTTCGATGTTACATGAATGTTATGTAGTGTTTTGCAGCTCCATGTCTTTTGCTGTAGATCCGATGAGAAAAAAGAACAGAAAAGTAGCCTAATTGAATCACTGTTAACCAAATCAAAGTATCACTGGACATGATACGAAAATTTAGGATGTATGAAAAACATATATGCATACTTTTAGAATGGACAAACGCTCCAAAATCTGGCTTAAAGTATCTCCCTCTCATTCGTCTGTTAAATATTTCCCCACACTTGTAGTACTTTTGCAGAATATGGCATTGTATGTAGCATGTTTATGCCACGATCTGGACCACAGAGGGAAGACCAACTCATTTATGGTGAAATCATGTTCTCCTCTAGCTGATATATATAGCACATCAACTATGGAACACCACCACTTTAATATGACAGTGACTATCCTACAGGTACATACCCTGTGGTATTGTGAATGTACATGTACACAAGGTATAACCGAATTGTGCATGGGATGTGGTATCACGCTTTATGTTACCCAAACTCCAACCTCACAACCTTACTAATTCATAGCATTCTTTCCAGGAAGCAGGATATTTATGTTGTACACTTTTCACGTATGGAATGTGAGAAAAAATGGATGAATAAACTTGAGGAAATGTTTTGGAATCTTTCGCTGGCTCAGTAATCTCACCCATTTTGTGTGGCCTATTGGGCTAAAACAAAACTAAATTGGAGAGACCAGTTCCCTAAACATTCCTATCCATTCCTTCATGTCCATGGTATGAAATATGAAAATGCAGTGTGATCATCCAATCATATGCATGGGTATCACCCAAAATATGTTGTAACCATGAGCTGTTGTATCGGTCACATGAACCCATATTTGATGTTGCAGCGACTGGCATTGTTTGTTGCATGCCTCTGTCACGATGTTGATCACCGGGGTTACACAAATGCCTTCATGGTGAAGACTGCGAGTCCCCTAGCAGCCATATACTCCACTTCAACTATGGAACAACATCATTTTAATCACACCATCTCAATCTTACAAGTAAGAACTGTACCATTCATCGCATGTGTTGTTATATATTGTCATTGTTGGGAATGCTTTAATGGGGTATGCTTTAATGATTTTATTTAACCAATGCAATGCAATGCAAAATCATTTACAGAGTGACCACAATGTCAAAACCTTTACATATACATCAAAACGTGTTGTCATAATGTTTGCTTAACACGTTAATTTTTAGTCTATTTATTGATTTCAAAACAGGTGTAGTACACAGTTGAATAGGGAATTAAGTGTTCGTCATTAACTGAAATGTGTTGCATGTATATGTTGATTTATTATTGGCCTAAAGAAAATTTATCTGGTCATGTTATCATATATTAAATCAACCGGTAAGTTGAAAGGAATAAACACATATAGGATCAACTGTATATAGCCTCGAGTTTTAATCTACCATATTTGATCTTACCATTGATTCCTGTGTAGCCGGTTTGCGTTTTGTTCTAAGGTTTGATTATGATTATTATTTTAGATGCATGTCAAATAACTGTATTCAATTCATATTATTGTAATTGCGAAAAATATGGGGAGCAAAATGTTATATCAGAAATGTATGAACTGTAAAATATAATGATTGAATGGTAAGAAAAAGTTTATTTAATTCAATTATTTCAATTATTCATTCAGCTATTTCCACCATTTTGCAGCGTGATGGTCACAATATATTCAAGCACCTGACATCAGATGAATACAAGAAAGTCTTAAGTGACATCAAACATTGTATCCTGGCCACAGATCTGGCATTGTTTTTCCCCAACAGGGCGAAACTAAAGGATCTTTGTGAAAAGAAAGAGTTTTCATGGGAAGCCCAAGACCACAGGTATGGAAATTCGATCCAATGTTACATATTTTAATAAAATTATCATTTTAGTATGAAATAAATTGAGGTGAAATCTGTATTTTGTGAAATTAAAGTTATATTTTATTATCTAAAATTATTTGCACTCATTATGAACTCGGTCTGTTAGTGTCATTCTGCATTTTTATTAAAAATGTTAAAAAAAGTAAACATCCACACAATTGTATTATAAAGATTATTATAAGAAAATTATAATCATGCGTATCTTTCTAAATACTTTTCTAGTAGTCTTGATTCTGACCTAGTAAACTATATATTACTGGTGTGTTCCTCTTGTGAAACTTCCGTTATCTAACCTGAAGTTAAAACTGTAGTATTCTTTTACTTTGACTTCGAAATTCAAATTGAAGAGCTATTTTCTCCAATATCTATGCTTACTTAGGCGGTTGATACAGGCTATAGCCATGACGGCTAGCGACCTTTGTGCAAGCACCAAACCTTGGCAAGTGCAGGTCAGCACAGTCAAGGTCATCTTCGAGGAGTTCTATGCCCAGGTATTCAAAACTAGAAAAGTGTATTTGCATGATTGCCCTGATCGTCGTACCTCTGTCTATCATTTCATTTTATCTCTCCTCACTGCACTTCTTCATTCCAGTGGGTTTGATTTATTGTGTGTAATGCAGTGATCAAATAAACACAAACAGAATGTGAATGCTTTATTGTATTTGGCCGTGCTTTCAAATAGGTCATTTGCCAAGGCAATTGCGATGACTGCCTGTGATCTATGTGCCAGTACCAAACCATGGGATATGCAAGTCGACACAGTCAAGATAATTTTTGAAGAATTTTACGCACAGGTATCAGCTATGCATGCATAATTTGTATGTTCAAATCTAGCTAGACATGTGATGTAAATGTTGTCACCACGCATGCTGGCTTCATACACGTGTAAATGTGCAGGGGGAAATATCTTACGAACAATAGGCTTCTGGGTGGCTTTGTTTTCCGAATAGGTTTGATTAAGTATAACACCACGGCAAAGCACAAACTCATCAGTAGTCAATGTGCTGTAAAAGAGGACATTATAATAGTTTACAAATGATAAATGATACATACTGAAGAGAACACTGCAATTGGTGTTTTTCATATTATGATGCGTGGTATGACCATTTGAATTCAATTTCCTCATTTTTGTGCTCGAAATAGTTTTAACGGTGGCCAAACTTCAAATAATCCTACGCTGTATGTTCAAATGTCTCATCTCGACCTCCTTGTCATGAATGTTAATATAAATGTGCTGTGGTGAAATGGTTAATCAAATTACCAAACCAAAACAAACAGAACAACACAACAGAGAGTCATATTTACATTTTATTTTGTGAACTTGTGCAATGTCTTATAATCAGTGTTTAGTGCGGCGTGTATATGTATGTTTTTGTAATCGACTTATTTGGACAACCCTATGAACGTTGATATGTCCCTAGTTACACTTAGTTGGTAGGTCAGTGCCATCTAGCGCCGTGGAAGCATGGTTTCATTAGATTTTTATATGCAATGGTAAATCATGTCTTACAATATCAGTAAATACATACCCACTTTTTCATTATTGGTTATAGGCACAAACATTACTTCATCCCATGCTTTTCATCAATTGCTAAACTCGACTCTTTTACTTGCTTGGTATGCTGTTACAAATAGTTGTCTCAGTTGCAACCATTGTATTTGTTATAAGTTTATATATTCATGGTAATCTGAGCCAGACAAATAATGTATCATAATCATATTGCAGAGATCTTTGAGTATCTATGTGAATATTATATATTACTACGCCTTTGTCACAGAATGTGCATCCTTTGGAGATCACCAAATACATGCGTTTTCTTATGAAAAGACAGCCGATGGAATAGTCTTATTATATTGTACATGTACAGGGTAAGCCTACTGGGTATCCCAATAAATGAGTCGCCTATTCTAATCGATCCTCGGTCATTTCGGTTTGAGAAGGCGTATCATAAAACTTAAAATTGGAAATCAATTTGCAATAAAATGGTAATAGTATACATTGCAATGGGTAAATATTGGTGGGATCGATGTATAATGGGAATTTTCAGAGAGTGGGTGGTTGTAATGGCAAGCAAAATATGATTTGTGATATCAAATTTGGAAATGTGTATGGAAAATGCGAATGAACTGTTAAACTCTGAAAATTAATCATCCGCTTTAACGTATGCATATACAATATAGTGGCTGTTTGAAGGAATTCCTGTTTTACGGTATATCTGTTTCGAAATTCACAGATGATGATGACCAGAGACATCGCAATGGCCACATACAAAATATCCACATTCAAATAACTCAAAAAATATTAGTTCACCCTGCAACGCACATACACTGTTTGTCTTGCTCTGGTTACATTTCCTCACTTATTTACTGTACACATTTTTAGTGTCAAACCAAAAATTCTAAATACCTCCCGTTACGGTTTTATCTTCTGTTGCAGAACCACTGTTTTTAATACGTTGATACTGTAATATCACATTTCTTGATGCTTTCTTCAAAATTTGGTTAAATCCCTTGGAAATTGTAAAGTTATAATAGAGTTAAACAGGTGTCCTTAAAGCCCCCGATAAATCGGGCTACGTATACCGCCGTGTTTACATTAGGGGATTAGAAGAGTTTATTTTTTGTTTAGGTATGCAAGCTATATCAATATCAGGCCTTCATTCATGTACTCGTGTGCATGTAATCAGCATGCCCTTCAATTTATGTAAACCAGGCTATTCAAGTACATAATGTACACTATTTATGTGTGTACTATATGGGAATACAATTCCCTGGGAAACAAAACACAAATACTTTTGATATGTTTAAAATGAGCCATTTGATTGATGCATACACTCAATAGCTTCATAAATAACATCTACAAATTATATCTAATAGTAATTTTTAATTTCAATGGTGAAACTTACTTGGTTACGATTATACGGGGAATCAACACGGAACGAAGATTGTTCACCTTCCTGGCTTACCTCTGAAGCCTGTACTCGGTAATCGCTTTATATAGGTTAGCGAGAGCGGTGCGCCTGCGCAGTTTTAAACTTTGGCGCACACTTTAAATCTAAAATAAAACTTAAAAATAGCACCTTGCTAAAATCCACAATAACCTCAAAAAGCACTCGAGCGATTTGCGAATAGGAATCAGAACAATGTCAATACTGACTCGACGTAACAAAAATTGTGGTTCTTCAACAGGAGGTATTTCAGGAGATATTTTCTGTTTTTTGTTGTTAGAACCATGTAGTTAATGATTTAGTTATGTTGTATCCATGTTGTACCTGCTTCTAGAAAATTGCTAATGGGTATCAGCATGACAGCAGCTGATCTTTGCTCAATGTACAAGCCATGGGACCTACAGAAGCAACTTGTCCTTATTATTATGGAGGAATTTTGGTGCCAGGTTTGCTTTATATGTAATAGATGTGTATTGACCATTTATAGTTAAAACAGTGTAGTATAAGAAACGTAGGTATTAAAGACAGATCTTCTTATTTGATAGTGAAACGTTTATTTTCGTATATTTTGCATAAAACTATCTGATATCTAAGATGAGCATGGGCGCAAAATGCAAAATTGCTGTATCATGGGGATGGGTTACTGAACAAAATACATCATTTTCTGTAGTATGTGAACTTTAAATTAATTGACTTCTAAGTGCAATCTTATTGTTATATTGATATTCCTTTTTTGAGTGATATGCTGGAGCCATTCAAAAAGTTCTGCATGATTGTGTTTAAAATTTAGGGATCAAAGAACTCGTAAACATAAAGTGTGTTCCAAAGGTAACAGGACTGTTGCTAGCATTTTGTTAAATCTGCACCAACTGTCAAATTATTTGAAATTGTTTTAATCTCAATGTACGTTTCATGACGTAAGTCTGACAAATCTTGATTTTTTAAATACAAAAACGCAAAGCGTTTTGAATGGCCATACATTCTTGCATGTGCAGGTTAGATAAATGTGCAACCGAACAGAAATATTGTGTGTATACGTAGTTGCTGTGTTGTGTTCAGTTGTAGGCTGCTATACGATGGTGCTGTTAATGTTTCAGTGTATTTAAAACGTGTATTTCATTTGACACATATTTATGTACAGTGGTACAGAACGACAGGCATTATGTTTGAAGAACAATATCGCAGACAAAATTAATCCACTTCTATACTTGTATTAAAAACCAGACATTGTGAAAGTTAGTCATGCATTCCTGAAATGAAATATTAAAGGCTGTCAATTATTTTTGTTTGTATTTCAATTTTCTTCACTACATGCATGATAAAGACTTGATTTTGATTTTTAAAGTGTTCCTCCTTTCAGAAATCACAATTTACAATGTTTAAAAGTATAATTACTAGATATAAAGACAATACTATGTCGTACTAATCATATTATTATATAGGGTGATGAAGAGAAGGCACAAGGAAACCAACCCATTCCAATGATGGATCGAGACAAAGCCCATGAGCTACCGCAGAGTCAGGTAGATGATACAGTGATCGTTATAAATATTACCATTTGCTTTTGTTCGACTTCAATGAGACTAACATGTTATAATTACCAAAATATAATTGTAATTTGTGGTCGACCAAAGCAGATGTGTAGTATTCGTACTATGAATGCATGTTGTTCACCAATGACTACTGTTTAGGTCTTTCAGTTGACCAATGTTTCAGTTGACCGATGACTACTGTTTAGTTTTTTCAACTGGTCGAAGATGTGAGTGCATCATGATCGATACACATGATGTTATTTACAAGTATATGTGGTGCTGTAGTCATCACATTGAGTTTAAAACAATTTGATTGGGTTATACATTGTCAGGGCGATGAGGAAAAGAATCAGGGTCAAACACCAATAACAATGATGGATCGGACTAAATCAGATGAGTTACCGATGATGGAGGTATACTTCTCACTGTCTCACGTGCTCTTTTCTGGGAGGATTTTATGATAAGAGTGCCAGTGTGAATTACTAACCACCATACAAAATCTAAAATTTGTGCACCAAATAATCCTGCTCAAGAGCAACATACTGGGGTCGATATATGGCCACATAATTGGCTTATAGGCTATTTTAAAATATTGCAACTTTTAGCAAGCGGTATTACTAATATTTGGATATAAACTAGAGAGATAGAAATTGATACGTATCTTTCTATCAGAAGTGGAACACATACTAATTTGTATTTTCTCTGCACGACTAATTGATAGTGTGAATATGTTGGTTTTATTGCTTAAAATTACTATTTAATTACTAACTAGCTATATATTAACAATTTATGGCAAATAAACTTAAGAACCAATGTAAAATAGATTTAGTGCTTTTACTATACACTTTTTAAGATAAAATAAGTGCTCGGATTCGATCAGTGCTATTTTCGGACTTCACAACGATACATAAGTGAGATCACTAAAATTACAATCATACATATGCGGAAATAAGAAAACGACAAGTATGTCACTCTAGCTAACTTACATTTTAAATTTCACTTTTTCTGTGGCAAAAATACACAAAATTCAACAACAGCAACAATGGGTCATACATCCGTCCCTATCATTCTGGAACGGTTATCACAATCTAAGACCACAAAACCAAGTAACATTTCTTTCATACTGCGGATCCTTGCAATGCAGAATTGCAGGTTGAAGAATAAATTAGAAATGACGAGCAATACTCTACCCTGCGCGCAGAGTCTAGTTATAAACAAACAATACAGTGATCTTCACATAAGGAATAGTTCTAGATATATGTACTAGTATTCACAATAAAACACAATCATTCACAGTGGTTATCAGGAGAAATCTTAGGCAGGTTTTGATTCCTTTTTCTGAACCATCAATACCCCGGGTCAATGCCATAACCGGAATCCACCTTAAGATAAGCCAAGAACTGTCCTAATTAAGTGTCACATACCATTAAGGTAAAGACAAAGAGAACATCTACTAGATATAGTACAACGGTCATGAGGAAACGAATTCCCTGCATTCCAAGCAATCTTTTTAACAGAAGACGAACACGTATGCATTTCCGCAATCACTCTTTGCACAACTAATTAAAAGTGTGAATAGAATGGATTAATTGCTTAAGATTGCTATTACTAATGAATAAAATTACGTTAACAATTACTTAGAATACAAACTTTTGGAAGGAAAACGTATGTAATTGAAACGTATATGCATCAATTGATTATATTCTAACACTAATAAATTGTCAGAACAGAATCTAAAATGCTTCAGATGCATCCACTTGAACAAAATATTATAAGAAATTAGTTTTGTGTATTTGTATTTGTTTTTTAATGTCCGTGCTTGTATTTTAGGTGGGCTTCATTGTTGGCATATGCCTACCATGTTATGAGCTCCTGGCCAACCTACTACCAGGTACACAACCAATGGTGGATGGAGCTAAGTAAGTTTTTACAGTTACCTTCAATAAGCATGATAAGCAATAAAACTTCTCAACTTGCATTACTTAGATAATACGGAACTATCAAAACAATATGCTTTTTAAAATCAGACTTCCGAATAAATATCTACAAACTATTTTAAAAGGACAAATCTGATTTGAATGCAAGATTGTTGAGAATCCCCTTTGATGTTATTACTGCCATTGAAACTGGAATTTTCTTAATGACACAGTAGAAAGGGAAACATGATCAAATCAACTTGAACAGAACAAAACGCCAATTACATGAATTCATATACAGGGTGTCCCAAAAAGATTGTACCCATATGAGACAAGAGTAATAACTCTTTTTTTCATCGAACAAAGTAGAAGTAGTAATTTTTACATGATAAGGAAACTTTATTTTTCAAATAGTCTTTATCTAAAATTAAAAGGAGTAATCTGATTTTCCAGATGTTTATGATAATATTAAATTGTTTAAGTGTTTATCAAGTAATATGACACATTACAAACTTCATTTTTTAACTGATGGTAATTTTTCTTGCAGCACTAATTTAAAACAATGGAAGGTTTTAGTAGATGAACAGAAACAAAAGGAAGAAGAGAAGTTAAAGAAAGAGACTGAGAACGGTGCCAAAGCAATAGAAAACAAAAAAGATTAATCTCATTAAGTCAAATTTAAAGCCCACATCGGCCAAAACCAGTGTGTATCATCAAAAAGCATGTTTTATCAGGGAATTTGAAAGAACAGTGATCAAAAGCATATAATTTGTGATGAGCTATATTGATCAAAATGATAAATTTGCCTAAACATCAACAAAATATCAAATTATTTTATTCGGCCCAAATTAAGAGAAAAACTACAAAGACCGATCAAAATATTATTTTTCAAACTTAATATCAAATATGAAAATATAAAAAACCTATTCTGAACAAATTAAAGTGGATATACCCTAAAATGTGGAAAAATCTACGTATTTATGTGTAAATGGTTTTTGTTATGTCATGTCCTGTTGTTAAGAAAATAATAACATAAAAAGGCATTTGTTGTTAAACCATATATCATATTATTAGTGCAACCAAATAAGTCATTGCAATTAATACACAATTCTGACCCTCAAAGTGGAACCAGAAACAATTATACTGCAATTATTTTGAATGAATGAATAGGCATTGCAATAGTGTATCCCCGAATTGTAAATATGAGAGAGTATATGTGAGATGTTGTATATTTTAATTTATTGTTTTATAAATGAGCAGGGGTGGATATATGAGATGTTTTGCCTAAAAATGAAATGCCTTTGTACCTGTACATGATGTATTCTTTCTATTTTGTGTAACGTGTACAATACATTGTATAGAATTCATAACCTCCATTTACAAAACCGTGTACAAAACAAGCTGCTCTCTACCTCTTTCATTTCGCACTGCATTGATATCTGCAGATGCTCGTATGATATGAAATCTTGTTATCTTTTAAAATTCCAAAGTTTAATTTATATCCTCAATACTGATGACGTATTAAGCTTTGTAATGTTATAATGCGTCATAATTTACTGGTAGTATCAGGCTTGATTGGATACATATGGAATTGTTCTTATTCCCATAGTTGTACAGTTCATGTATTTGTTTAATATTATGATGTTATTTCTAAGATATTTATTTAAATGGTATAGTCTGCCATTGACGCACTTGTTCATGTTTCCAATACAATGTAAAAAGTTAAAGAGTGGTACCATCTGGAAAGAAAATGGTTTTGAGTCATACATTTCTCTAATATGACAAGTTTTATATTGACTTGAATTCCGTAATACAATGTATTCATTGTGTAACATTAATAATGTACCCGACCGGTAACTGTAATAATATCATGCCCCCCCCCCCTCCATGCCTCATGTTTTGGCTGTGCAATATTCTAACAGAAAAGTAAGTGCTTATTTATTTGTGGAGTCCCTTTATGTCACTTTTACCAAACTCCGGAATATTTACTGAAATGTATGGAGTCTTAGTGACACTTTAGTATATTCTATAGTAAGGTAGAGTTCATTGTGCATTTTGGTCAAAAAGTCACCAGTTAATTATCCCCCCCTTTCTTTCCAGATCTTACTTGGTATCATATGTATATGTTCAACAATTTTTCTTAATTTTACATTTTTTTCAATTATGTTGTATTGTTGGTACATAATGTTATCTGGACATATCCAATATATTTTGGTTATCATGAATGTATGTTATAATTATCCAGATTGGTGTGTTCAAGTGTTCCAACACATGACATGAGGCATAATGCCTCCCAAATACTGTCCAATACTCAACTCAACTGTACAACTTTAGTGTTGTGCAACTTAATGCCTGTTGAAATATTAAGTACTTTACAAGGAAAACATACATCTGAATATTTGTGAACATCTGTGAGAAACAAGGATTGGAGTACTTAGTATTCTAGATCATTCTACATTGCCAATTAAACAGACTCAAAATCGTTATTTGTTCGTACATGTAAGTGTATTATGTGAATACTTTAAGCAATAAATGCTTGTATGTAGTAAAACATGTCCTGTTTGTTTTTTATTTCAATCTAATAAGATTTTTTGTGCGTCCTTGTTTCATGGACATTCGATACTTTATAACAGGTACAAGACTAAGTAATGATTTATAACAACCAAAAACAGTAATATGGCTGAATAATTTATTGTGCATGTATATATATGTAAACTATAAACACAAAATATTAAATCACATTCTTTATTCTTAAACTTACCAGACATTCACTCAAAATCATTATTTCTCAAAACCTAGTGATAATCTATGAATTGATGACCATTTGTCCATATTTTTTTTCAACGACATCTTTTAAGATCACAAGTTTCTCTGCAGCAGGAAAAAACTTTCTAACAAAGAATATGTGAATTTGATGAGTCCAAAAGTTAAACTGCCTAGTCTGTTCATCGAGCTCATCCTCTTGAGGTGTTACTCCTGGTACTTGGCCGTCATTTGTTTCTGGAGGTTTTTGGTCAGACTCCGTAACTGAAAAAGTATCAATGACTTATTAACGACCTTTGCTCTGGAAATTCATGTGTATACAATAAAAATGATTTATAACTCGATTTTCACACCTATATCAACTATATTGTAATAAATCATTAAAATAAAGATGCTAATCAACATGTTAAAATTTTAATTCAAAATATGTATAAAAATCTGAGATTTCTATTTCCTATAATCTTGTTCATTTTAAATTTTCAAAAATCATCTGTTCATCAATCCAGTTTTGCAAAAGATGTTTTTAATTTCCCCTATTTTATTTGGCAAAACATTGGAATATGTATTGGAACCTTTTCATGTTTAAAAATTGTCTAAAGCAATCCAAATTATATGCAAGTCATCCCCCAGGCATCATTCACTCTGAAGGAAGGAACAGAGTGAATGGTTTCTGCAGCTCTGCATTTTGAGGATGGATGGAAATCAATCAGAAGTGCATTGCACACGGCCCATACCTGATTCCACCAGGGTTAAGTCCTTCTGTATCTGTGTGCCACTAGTTACACTGGGGGCAACATCTTGTGGTTCTGTTGCGGGAGTGTGAGTGCTAAGTAGGGATGCACTTTTGCCTTGGGAAGCTAGTATTTCTAAACAACACATATAGGGCAAATCAGATTTAATCACATCCATGCATGTCCAAGCAACAATGATGAAGAATGACGATGCTATACTAATACAAGGCATTAACATGCAAAATGTCACCACCTACCATTTGTAATTTTTGTTACAGATGCCAACCGCCGTCATGAAAAAGTTGGAGACAATAACATTATGTCACCACTTTTGGTGGTGGTGACTTAGCAAAGAAAGCTTTAACTTTTCCATGATATTCTGAGATTCAGCATTTGGTGATGCTTAGAACGTGAATTTGACATAAAATTTCAAATCTTATAAATCTTCACAAAATATCACATGCTTCTTACATAATTGCTCAAGTATTTTTGATTTAACACTGAATAGTTACGACATCAAAATTTAATTCAATTGAATCAGATTTCAAATTACTGGAATGCCACAAAGCTATAAATATAAATTTTTCTTGATTATGTGTTCAAAATCCAGAATATTGCAAATACGAACCAATCGAAATGCAAACATATCCTAACAATATGCTGTTTACCACTGATGCAATGTAAGCACCGTCTATGGAACATATGTATACAAAATCCATGCAAAAATTGTAAGATAATCCATGCAAACTCAAAGTCAAAAATACAAAAAACAAAAATAGGAAATTGCTATTTACCAGGTGGGGGTTTTATGCTGTCCCTGCTCATGCTTGGTCTCCTCTTCTCTGCACCTGCTGATGTATGTTCTGATGGCTGGCCCTAAAACAAGTTCATGAAATTTACTTTCATGCAAAACACGCAAATCAGACAAACAACATTTGGATAATTTAATGTGAAATGAATCTGATTAAAAAATCATAGAGGTACAATATATAAATGAATGTATGTTAGCAGGTTTCCTCAAATGTTGCCAAATCACTATTAATGATCATTTCTATTGCAACATTAACACGAGTACCTCAGTTTGTTTTATGTCTTGTTTGTCGTGTTTGTCTGCAGTAGTAGAAGGTGTGGCCCTCACAGGAGAGCTCATCTGAGAAGCAGAGCCACCTGGTGGTGAACCATGTCCTGTCATTGTATCAGGGGGCTCATCAAATGCACCCTTCAAAAATAAACAAAATTGATTAATGATCCTAAACTACATGTAAGCTATATTATCAGAACATGATAAATGTTGGTAGATGACCATTGTATGTAGGTTCTACTAAGTCAAAACATTTTTTAGAGTTTAACTTGTAGAAGTGACAGTCAACATTCAAATTGCAAATGAAATATGAAATACTGTACATGCAAACAGAAGAATATTCCAGATCTGAACTAAAGACTCCATAGTAGCAGAAAACTGTCAAAGACCATGCACGTAGTCAGGGGGCTTGAACCCCCTCGGCCATAAATTATTTTAAAACCATGCAGTCTTTCAAGTGATTTTGGGCCAAAGTTGTCAAATGTGAATCCCCCATAGAATTTTTGTAAAAGTGAACCCCTTGGCAAAAGCTGGCAACAGGCCTGAATAGAAAACCAAATTTGAATTCAGCTGGTGTCTGTAATTAAAGAAGAAGACTAACCTGACTGGCTCCTCTGGATGGTGATCCTGGCATAGATAACATGCTTGGCTCTGCAGTGAGGACTGTACTTGGGCGAGGAGTGGTGGGATCTTTAACGACAGCCTCAGTCACAAAAACTTCAGCACAACCTGCCAGACCCTCAAAGAACTCCAGAAAAGTCATCTGTAGAGAATAAATAATTTTTCAAACTGCTTTCTGTATTCAACTTTATAACTATATAACAATATAATTAAAGTTTCTTTTGATGGTTTTTCTCTATCATTTTTGGTTGTTTGTGTAAGTGTAAGTATTAATTCTTAGATGCTTTACACAGTCCTTGAGGTCACCCAATAATAACATGATATATTAGGGATATTGCAAAAAATGTCATACATACCTCTAAATCCATATTGACAGCCTCTTCAGGGTCCATGACAGCGTGATCATCCACTGAAAGAATCTCTAGGATGGCTCTAGCAGTTAAGTCAGCATTGATGAGTTTATAGTCCTGCAAAGAAAGTAAATGTTCATAAACATAAACCCATGCATATTAGTATCCTATCAAGACAAAAAACTTCAAGGAAATATTAACTCAAGTATCATGATGAAAAACAAAAAGGAATGCTTACTTTGACCATGTATAGAAATTCCCTCATTCTCATAGTAGGATCATAAGGTGTCACCTGGAAAAATATAAAATGTTAAAATATAAATCAATCATTTTCTTAGCTATTTCAGGGTCTTATTTATTGACTTGAACAAAAACATACATAATATCATGTTTTCAAGTTTTCAACATGATAACCAAGAAATAATAAGAAAACACATCTTTGAAACAAAGATACAACTAGAGAATTTTAATCTAACTAATAAATAAACATAATAACAGCAAACTAATACTAATATAGACATTTTTAGGCTTTTTATCTAAGTTTAATAGATATCCACCTGTTTTCTTGTTTAAAATGCCTTTGGAATTGAAATAACATCTCATTTACAAATACATAACTGTTAACTACCTTTCTTTTGGACAAAAGTGCTTTATAAACCTCATAGGCTTGATCCATATGTACCAATGCATTCACAGCTCTTCTTGTTTCACCATATATATAACCTATAAGAAAATAGTTATACTAAATAACAGAGTTCATCAATGTGAAAACAGATGACCTAAACCAATAATATGGACAGAATGGATGAATCAGAAAGCATAACAGAAAAAGGCAAAACAACGATTAACATCATGATGAATGAGCCATACATGTATAATAATGGATATTTAGATACATACATGTACATTATATAGGGAAACTGTAAAGTGGAACGCATCTATAATACGTTGAACACCTCTGTAAAGGAACACGTTTCAGAGTCCAAAGACCAACTGAGTTAATGTTAAATAAACCTCCGTAAGTGAAACACCTCCCAAGTTGAACACTTTTTAGAGGCACAAAAGGTGTTCCACTTGGACAGGTTTTACTATATGTCTAACATTTCACACTAATTTCTGTATTTACTGTAAATGCACCATGCATATGTAATTTACCTTTGACCTTGCAGGAATATTTGATGATATTCTGGTTGATAAGTCTAACAAGACATGATGCCAGGATTGGACTCTTTTCTTCAATCTCTCTGAAATGTGAAGAAGTGAATAATTTAATCAGTAATTTACTAACAAGTTGATACAGTATGTTGTCTTAATCTGTATCCTTATTCATATTATCATGGTTATAAGGATATAGATCAAATATCAGGTGAAGATATGTTTGATATGTGGATTAAGATATCATATTTAAGCACAAAATCCCAAAACCACTTTTCAAAAAGTGATAATCGACAGTTTTAAAATTGATATTCGATAGTTTCAAAAGTGATATTCGATGGTTTAGATTTTTTGAATTTTTTTTCCACATTTTTTTCTCCAATTTTTTTTTCATTTTTTTTGCTGGGTTAAGATTTCCCATGAGATAAATGGACAATCCTATGGTTTCTCAAAAATATCCACTCATGAATATATGTAAATGATATTTTTTCAAAATCAAAGGATATTTCTATATTATCCCATGGTTGCAAGGATATAGATCGAATATCACATGAAGATATATTTGATATGCTGATCAAGATATCATATTTTAGCAAAACATTCACAAACCATCGAATATCACTTTTAAACTATCCAATATCACGTCTTAAAAAGTGATATTCGATGGTTTGAAAAGTGATATTCGATGCTTTGAAAAGTGATATTCGATGGTTTCGAATTTTTTCAGAAAAAAATTCTTTTTACATTTTTTAATTATTTTCAAAAATATTTAAAACAAATTTCAAAATTTCAAAAAAATTTTCAACATTCTTTCACAATTTTTTTTCTCAAATTATATTTTTCAACTTTTTTCGCTGATAATGATTTCCCATGGGATAAACGGACAATCCTATGGTTTTTCAAAAATATCAATTATATCCACTCATGGATACAAATATCTTCACTCATTCGCTGCGCTCACTCATGAAGATATCAATATCCACTCATGGATATAAATGATATTTTTTCAACACCATAGGATATTCCTATAATATTTCATATGTGCATTCCAGTTAGCACAAGAGCAATCATTTGAAAAATAATAATTTACATTCTCTTTAAACAAGTTCAAGGGAGTAGCACAGGCAAGAGGCAGACGAGGCAAACGCCTCACCATTTAAATGAAAAAAATATTCGGGCCACTTTCTTACTTAGACTGTGAAAATGGTGCTACTTGTAATATTAACTTGCATATTTATTTTTTATTTATATATTTTTTCATTTATTTCTTTTATATGTACTTACTCCACATCCTCATGGTAGAGGTAGTAAGCTATGACAATCATGTAGTTGACAAACTCTCTGAACAATATCTGCCCAAATGGGTTGTGTATGTCTAGTGGCTCAATATTGGCATTGCCTTTCGCTGAAATGAAAACACTTTGGTGAAAATACAGTAAAGTCATGACGACAAAATACTTTATGGAGACTGGAATTTGGGCAAACAAGTTCTACATGTTTTCATTAAGAGCATGTATTGTCCAAACGATGCGACCAAAGAAAAATTATACATTTAACTATAATTATGAAAACCATCTACATTTTTTGAAGTTTTGAAGTGAAAAACATCTGACCTAGAATGAAAGCCTACCTAACAGTCTGTCTATATCAGTTAGTGTATAACCATAGGTGTGGAACTTTGAATCCTTCATAAACCTCCAGAACTGCATCCTGTTCATGATGAATGTGTTGTCTGGGCTGTCATCATATCCCAGAGCACTGTAGAAGTTGTACACCTGTCTCAGACCACTAATGTGTCTCATCATTACATACATCACCTAGGTAGAAATTATAAGATCATTTAAAATATGTAATTTAAGTGTACTGTACATCAACATTCAGTAAATGACTTATAATTCCGTACATACATGCAGTGTTTACAAATTATGCTAAATGCATGTTTAACTTGAGAATTGTTTTCTGATTCAAATTAGACATCATTTGTGCAGATGGATTTTTGTAAATTATTAATTGACCTTTCCATCAAACCCTGACACATTTAGCTACACTAAAGAAAATCTTTGTTGCATTGGCCAGACACATCATGTCATAAGTTGTAGATTATCAGTGTTTACAAATAAAATTTGTTTGGAAACACTGCTACCAATAATCTATAACATCATTTATCTAGCTGACATATCCTGGTTTGTTTTGTGCACCAAAGATAGCAGAGATGAAAGGGTATTTTGATTGTTACATAATATTACCTGGCTGCTCTCCTCTTCTTTGTCTCTGTCATCAAGCTCCATGAGAAGATGTTGTAACTCTAGCTGGAGGGTTGGACCCATTGTGTTCTTACTTTCATTACTCTGGACTGACATATTTTCTGTATAACATACATCAATGGATTTTAAAAATATAACATGGAATGACAGACATATTTTCTGTATATCATAAACCATGAATTTAAAACATTACTTGGAGTGACAGACACATTTTCTGGAAAATCGTGGTTCATGGATTTTAAAAATATTACATGGAATGACAGACTGCACTGAGATGTACACTGGCTGTTTGTTATCAAATGTTTAACACTAGAATACAAACTTGACATTACTAGTATACTACACAAGTGAAAATGTGTTGTGATTCGCATACATTGTACAATGTTAAGTACTACAGACTTACCAAAATAAAGTATAATATGTGTACATGTATTAATCAGGCAATGCAGTAATCAATGTCATTAATGCCATAATATTAATGTTGTTATGCTTATTGAGGTTCTTGTGATCTGTGACTTGTGATCAGTGTTAGCATTTTTATATATATTTTGATACTGACCCATAGGTAGTGGAGTCCTTGTTCTTATCTGTGTCAAATCTGGGGTTGCTGATCCATCAATTGTGAAGTTGGGAAACTCAAGAATATGGTCCTTATCGAATGTGCCTTCATACACACGGCCATTTTTAAATACAAATTTGCCCTACAAGCAATTAAAATGAATAAAGATACGAACATACAAGTACAAAGAATCCATTCAATAAGAGTATTGTGAAAATACCAATAAATAGTTTTCCAGTGGCATTTGTTGGGATATACATGTAAGGGGTTTGTTTTCCTTATGACTGGCTGGTTTTGAGTTCTTACATATACATATAGATGTTTCTTTTCAGCCAGAGTTTTATCATACTCTTCGTCCTTTTGGTATTATACCCATACATATTCTTATATAAATGACACTTATATGCTAGTTAAGTTTTACCTTTCCATGTTTCATATTGTTGTTCCACTCTCCTTCGTACCTAGCTCCATTCGCATATAGAAAGCTGCCAGAGCCATGGCGTAAACCTTTCACAAAATCTCCATCATACATGTTGCGCATGGGATACTGAGAGCCAGGCACTCTATGCAAGAACCAGATATGTTGTCCAACTCCATGCTAGTAATAGACAATACACGGGTTATAAGTCCAATGTACAACAGTACTCTACAAGGTACTCCTTTATTGAATATGATTCAACCTTTAATAAACATGACAAATAACACTATCTGAAGTGATTTCAAAAGTATAATAATTTGTTACAGTCGCCAAGAGCCAACCAATGAAGTTAAAGCAGATCATTCAATGCCAGAACAATGTCACAATGTCTTGGTTACAATAAATTATCAACTTTCAAACTAATACTTTAAGATTTAATGGAAATTGTCATTGTATAATAAATTAATAACATGAGCAAATCGTTTTGTATGTCAAAGCAATATTATCAGTCTAAAATGAAATTACTGACATTGCATCATAACATGGCAAAACAATATCATACCTGGACTCCATTTTGCCACACACCAGAATACATCTGTTCCTTGTCATGCCATCTCATTGTACCTACACCATGCCTGACATTGTTGAACCACATACCCTGGTATATGTTACCACTTGGGTATAGCCTTACTCCCCAGCCGTGGCGCTGGTTGTTGTCAAAATCACCCTCATAGTAGGAATTTGCTTCAGGATCAAATTCCATACGTCCCTATTAAATATGATATGGCAGTGATACATAAAATTATGGGTAAGAAAGAGATATGGGTAAGTCTCACCAATCAATCAGTAACAAAACAAACAGATTATTAGAAATTAGAGCAGTGGTTTAGCCAAAAAATCAAAAAGGTGGAAAATAGTTTCAGACCTATTAAAAGCATGCTTCTTCCTGGCTAAGCTACAACATTTCAATAATTCAGATTCCAAAATGGTGACTCTGTAATTCAGTTATGTTAAAAAAGCCACGAGGCAAGCATCTCATCAGTATCATCCTGGCTACACTACAGATTAGACAACAGAGCAAAACCTCAAGGTAGTTCCAGATATACAGTACATGTATTCTAATGGCTTCCTCATTAGATTGTGTTATTTTCAAGAACATATAACTCATTCTATACAAATTGTACATATTCCAGTTTTGCATAAAGAGTTCATCAATATTTGCAGATTATTAGTTGAGGGTTAATTATTTCCTGAAATGTATGTATATAAAAAAAATGTTAAAGGGTTCCGATTAGCATCCTGTATAAAAAAAATATGGCGGCTCCAGGCGAATCAACTGGATCAGTCCATTTTTAAGAAATAAGGGGAGTTCTGTAAAATCCAGTTTATTAAAATTGTCTTTGAGATAAAGTATTCCGTTTATAATGATTTTGAAAACGTTATCCAAAGAGTGATTGCGTTCAAAGAATACATGTACAACAGCCAATATAAATCCTTTTATTAGAAACCGGTTTGTCTTGCTTTGTTTCATTTGTAGGATATTTCATATGCCAAGCTGTGTGCTATTACGTTATGGGGAAATTTAGATGCCAATTTTTCCTTATTATACACAAATAGAAGATCTTGAAACTTCACCCATAAATGTGGAATTGATTTGTCAAAATAAAAATCACCCTTTTATAAATGTGTGACGATCTATAATATACTTATGCTATATAACAGTTAGAGGTGTTGACACAACGACCTCGAACCTGTGAACCCTTGAGCATTATTCCGGGATCGGGCCTTTTATACTAAATGGTGAGCAACACCAGAAACGAGCGTTCGATTTGCTAAACGATATGCGTCACCCTTTAATGAACTTGACATATTACAAAATTACACAAACCTTTCCGTGTCTCTTTCCCTGGCACCAGTCACCGGAATATGTCATTTTGCCATTCTTAGTACGAAACATGCCAAACCCATGACGCTTGCCATTCAGTACATCTCCCTCATAAATACTGTAAATATTTTAATCGCAGTTGTATACATGTAATAGTTAGATAAAATCGTTGATCAGATTGGAAACAATGTTAAAAATAAATGCGAGAAAGTTATGCACTCTAAATAAATGCTGACTACATGTACAGTACATGTATGTCACAAGATCAGGACTATATAACAGAACACATGTTGCTATTTACCTTCCATCTGGCCATTTGTAAGTCCCTTTTCCTGTTATCTGATTCTGGAGAAATTCTCCCTAGAAAGAAATGAAAAATACTTTTATTAATTTGATCAAAACTCATGATTTGATCTGCCAGCATACGCATGCATGTTACAATGTATGTTATAACATGTACAACTAGGCACTTTGATCAATTTATAAAAGCAAATTTTTAAAATCACAATGCATCACTTAGATGAAAAATTAGAAAAATTACTTGAATTTTGAAGAAGGATGAACATATTATTTGGAACGACTTTTTATTTAATGAAATAAAATCTATACAATACCTCATACACAAGACGGTCTCCAAATGTATAGACTCCTTGCCCATGCATCATACCCTGACTGAAGTTTCCTCTATAGTCATGGCCTCCAACAAATGTAGCAAAACCTTCTCCTTCAAACAATCCCTTTTCTTTCTCACCTTCATAGCTGCAAGATAAAATGGGAAATGTCTTACATGGAAATGTACAAAAAATGTATAAAATAACTTTATTAGTGATTTTGTGGAAATGAAGCAATATAAGCAATATCATTCTCCGATAACAGGGCTTCAAAATCCAGAATATACATGTACAGTATTCTTTCTTTTTACCCCCTGCAATAAGCAGTTAGCATTTCCCCGATTAAGAGCTCGCAATCTGATTTGCTGTCGCAACATTGCGACAGAAATCATGTATAAGTCACTGTGCATGATTTGATCACGTGATTCAGTTAAATCGAGCGCTTCCTTATCGGTTATAGCAGGGGGGAGAAGGAGGTACGGATTCTGGACACCTGCTTAGGAGGATGAAGCAATATGGGTAACTGATTTAAATTACTTATTAATACGTATGTCTTCTCTGTTTGCAGGGCGGCAACAAACTCTATTACCAGGGAGCACCTGTGGACTAGTCTAGTCTAGACTACAGTCTTTAGTGAATTGAATGGCCAGTTGTGAATGAACTTGAAAATATTCGTATAATGCCGGATAATAACGTATAGATAAAGTATTTACTGCATATGTATAAATACACACCTGGTCACGACAAGGCTGACTAAAACAGGTTCTTCATAAACAGGTTCAGGGGTTGGCTCCCGAGGAGTTGGAGTGCGAGGTATTGGGGTCGGTTCAGATGGGATTTCTTCCAAAATTGGTGTCGGAGGAATATCCTCCTTCTTTTCTTCGACTGGTGGTGGTTCTTCAACTTTTTTATTTGCTTTATCAGCGTCTTTTTGCTTTTTATCTTTCTTCGGTCCCATTTTTTGCTTTTCGTCGCTAGGACGAACCTTCAATTTTGAAGAACTAAAGAGACGCCACGTATTTATTTCAGGGTATCACAAGCATTTCGTTCAGAGCAATCATGCCTGGGGTACGCAAAGAACGAATTTGATTTTGGAGATATCCCGGGGTGGACACAAATCAAGATATCTCCCATTGAAACGTTTAAACTCGCTCTATCACTGCTTAAATCTTAGTTCGAAATCCACCCAGGCTGGGGCTGGTAAATTACACAATCCCGTTTCATCTTAACAGGAAGATAGGTGTTACGCGGAATCATGATGGCAAGTGATACATTCATACATTCATACACTCCCCTCCATAAGTTTGGCAACCTTTTCCCCCCATTGAACTACGTGTTAAAGCCTCTTTACGTTTGAATTTCTATTTACTTAACCGGCGATATGATAACTTATACTATTGATGGAAACGTAACTTGACTTTATTTCCAATACCTCCAAATTTTCTCAATTTTTTTCCTCAATTACAATAGGTCGAAATTGATGATAAATTTGATGAACTTTTGAAAATCGTCATTCCCATGTAATCCAATGGAAAATGGAGGGTTCGGGCCAAACCAGAAATCAGGATATCTTCAAGTTCAGTAAAAGATTCAGCAAAAAATATTTTTATATAGAAAATTGGATTGTCTAACTTTTTTGAACACTAAGTGTTTCGTTTATTTGATGAATATTAAAGTTACACTTCAAAGTCATTTTTGAAAATAATTTTTCGCCTCCTGTTTTATTTCAATGGGAGAGTTTTTTTGAAAAACAATTTTGACTGTAAAGCCCTATAACTTTGTTGAACCTGAAGAAACATATCATTTTTTGTTAAATAAAGTTAGCAAATTCAACTGCCTGCCTAACTCGTATTTTTGCAAGGACTCGGATAGATGGATATTCTGTCATATGACTTGCGGCAAACCTACCATTTCCCATTGGTTAACATGGGAATGTCGATTTTCAAAAATTCATCAAATTTATCATCAATTTTCGACCTAATGTAATTGAGGAAAAAAATTGTGAGGATTTTGAGGTATTGGAATTAAAGTCAAATTACGTTTCCATCAATAGTATAATTATTTTCATCGCAGGTTAAGTAAATAAAAATTCAAAGGTAAAGAGGCTTTAACACGTAGTTCAATGGGGGAAAAAAGGTTGCCAAACTTATGGAGGGGAGTGTAGGCCTAGTTGTGCAGTATTTGTGATACGGGTGGATATGGCTGATATTCCGCCCCATGCCCCCCCCCCCCCCCTTGATCCGCCACTGGAAGCTGATCGGGTATTTGAAGTATTTCAAAAACGGAACTACTTTATGATCATAGCTTGATCATAAGCATTGTTTATGGAAACAAATTAAGGTTCGAATGACCTGTGAATGGTTGCAAAACTTTCACAAGGCATACCCTATTCAGTAATGACTTTTCTGAGATTGATTATCACAGATAGAGAGGCATATTAGACATGTAACCATTTTAATGAATTTTATTTACCGTGTTTATCTGTGTGATCGTAATAATTCTAAAATTGATACGTATCCCATTTTTTATTGCCCATCCAGTATATACTGTAACAGCAGAAGACCATTTACGTCAACATTTTTCTTTATCTGTACCGAGTCCTCTCTAGAAGTTTTCTTACCAATCTGACTCAAAGTTGAATCAAAATAAGTTATATAAAAAACCGAAAGGACATTCGTTGAGACCTCCCAATGATAAAAACAAATAAATATATAAATTGATAAAAAACAAATAAATAAATAATACTGTAACATTAATAGAAAGACCATTACAATGGTTACATTTCCCGACGTGAATATAAGAGGAAAATGTTGGCCCTGATGACGGATAAGTAAGAGCAGTTTTTAGGGGAAAACTGAAAATTACCTATGCCCAGGGACCTATACCTTGAATTTTATCACTGAAATACATTTTTAGTAAGGACTATCGTATTAGAACAACTAGTCAAAATTTGGTGTAAAAATACTGAATAGAACTGGAGATATTATCATTTCATCGATGTATATAAATAAAAATTATGGTGCCAAAGGGAGCCTATCGTCCTGAAAGGTATATAAAAGACCTCCCAATAAAAATGAATGATGATAATAAAATTATATAGACAAAATTAATAGGAGGCCGATTTCGATGACCTATCAGAAATAAAAGATCCATGCTCCTGATTTTAGACACATTTGATTTAATTCTTGATTAAATATTTTCTAATGCTATATTATATAAATGAAGAGGAAATGGTCTATGGGTTGGGCTATAGCTATGGTCATGTTTGTCAAACATTATGTTTACGGAAAGCTTACCGACTTTAAATGCTAAATATCGTCACTAATAAGCATTGACTAATTCACTCATCCACTGCTTTTGAAATATGATTTATCTATATAAAGACGTCTTCTGCCATTTCGGCTATTATAATGTACATTTCATTGAATTTTAATACATCACCTACTTATTTTCAAACTATTTGATATTCAGACATGTGGTTGTATTTTTTACAATAAATTAATTGATTATATGAATAACGTGTCTCATATCATTGTTCTACAGGGCGAAAAGTAAGATAATATTCATATTTTTGTCAAAATTGATTCGATTATTCATCGCGCTTATGAAAACTGAACGGACGTGAATATACTCATGGAAAACATCGTAAGTTTACTCCGGTTATACGGCATTATATTCTTATTTGATCATTTAAGTATGTTCAAATAAATGTTTATACCTAAAACCGGCTTATTCACATAAATGAAATAGCGAGGGGTCTTATTTATCGAGCGGCTTTGTGTGAGTCAACCAGTTTTGAGAGGACCGGTTTATGCCAACAATACATTAGGAGGGTGGAACCAGTTGGACGGGTTTTGGACGGAATAATGAGTGCTCAGAGCTCTTCCCGGGGCGAAAGGTAGGCCAGTCAGTTTCCTATTGTTATGACACGTGGTCTTTATCAATGCTGGTTTAGTAAAACAGTATAGTTTTTATCAAAACTTTTCTAATTGATAGAAATTAGTTAGATTTGCCACACCCTTATTTTGACTCATGCAGTGTTGATTGACCAATTTATGGCCGGAATAATTATAGGTAAACTTACGCAATAAGGCAATGCTAATGATACATGTATCTAATCAAAGACAGTAAATCATCAAAGGAAAATCACAATTAGTGATAGAGAATAGACATTAAACCCTCGTTATTTTTATCAATCAAAACTTAGCATATGTAGTCACATAGTAAACATTAATGAATGGGTGACTGTGTTCAATATGGCCTATTTTTATACCAGCCTTTAAATGAAGTCACTGGAGCGTTGGACGGTTGTAAGTAAGCCAAACTCGATAGATGATTGTATAGATACATCTGGAGTACACATACACATAGGGATGTGTGAACAGCCAAAGTGTTACGTTTAATTTGAATAATGCCTTGGTCACATTTGCTCCGATTTTCACTAAGGCACCCGGGCGATTGAATATGTTGTATTTTGAAAATCGGAGCAAAATGTGACCAAGGCATTACTGATTATTTTTGAGATTTTTATGCACCTCGGTTTCTATCATTATATGGTGCGTTATACAGTACTAGGGAATCACGATCGCAATGAACCTGTGTACATTTTGTGATATATAAGTACAATAATGTTTTGACAGTTTCACTCCATTCGCATACCATACAACGTTGTCCGGCATTGTCCACCTTAATACAATACATTAATCCTAAACACGATCCTTACACTAAAGGCACTTCAATCTTGAATCAAGCCATTGTTCACCCTTTCAATAGGCCTAGTGTTTTTCATTTTTTCGCAATTCTACTATATTTCGTTACTCTTTACAATAGTCAGATTTTAGTTCTTTAAAAGATACTGAAACTTAGGTAGCATTCGGGGATTTAACTGCCGGCTGACGGCTGGCGGAGTAACCTACTATCATATGACAAAATCATTTAAATATGAATAGAACCATCGGCTTTCAAGAGATGCCACTACTCCATTCATATTTAAATGAGTTGCCATAGAAAAGTAGGTTAAACCGGCAGTTCGCGAATTCTATCTCAGGGCACGGTGTATCTTTATTGATACTACGATCAACATAATATTAGGTCTTTAAAAACTTGAGATGAACATTTTTATTAGTTATATTATTAGCCATGCCCAATTTATACCTCAATTTTTTTTTTAGAATTTATTTCCAAATCTCTATTGTGGAAAATTCTTTTTTCAGCAATGAAGTGACATCTGACCATGAATCAATACTGCGACCATGTGGAAAAGAGGAGGTACCACAGGATCTCAAGGCATTCTTTGGACATCCCCTGACAGCAGCCACAACTGCGATCAACGGGGACGAGCATGCATCAGCCCTTGCACTACTCCATGAGTACCACAACTTACCAGCAATAGACCGCAGTGATATTAAAATCAGGGATAAATACCAAGATTTCCCAAATAATCCTGGGTAAACAAACGCATGTTTCTTTACTTATAACAAAATCTCGACATTTATATCAAAACAATTTGATTGAAGATGTCGCTTTGTGTCGAGTTAATTCGACATCAATTGACGTTACAAAATAAGTTGGAATTATAAACACTATTAATTATTCCGTTTGCCATATTTATCTCTGCCCATTATAGATATGAAGATGACAATATAAATATGATTATTTTTATGGTTTATTATATTGTAGGAATGTTGGGAGACGGAAGGACGAAAGAGCCGACGGAGCTTATAACACAGGCGACGCCCCGAATGTTGAAGAATACTTCACCAATAGCGAAAGCAGCAATTCTAATAAATCCACTTCGACAAACGTACAGGTAGTCAAAATTAGATTCACAAGAACATTACGAAAAAGAGAAACATTATTTTAAAGATGATACCTGATGGGTATATTTGAATGCCTGTTTTTCCTCGGCTGTATACTTTCGCAATATGACTGAAGGGGAAAGTAAAAGAGTTCGAACAGCTATGCCCTGTGAACAATCGCGTGTTATCACCAGACCATTTACTGACACTTGTGCTCTATAGTTTTACAATTGCTTCTATAGATATCGTGCATGTGACACTTCTGAATTTCAATTAAACTTTTTGAGGGTGGGCCATTCTATGCAGAAATAATAAATTTAATTGATACGAAATTTGAAGTCTTGTATGCCGAATTGTATGGTCACTCTAATTTTGTAGCATTTTTAAATCAAGCCAAGTAGGGTTTTGTTAAGTAAAACATCGTGTAGATCAATAGAAGTATAATTCATCATTGGCAGGCTATGCTTTTTTCAGCAATGGCCTTGATTCGAAAGGTCGTGACATTAACTGATCTCGTATATTTTTAGTTTTCTCTGGCCGACAGTCCTCAAAAGAGCCCGACAACTAGCACGGAGCCAAAAGAACAGCTATCAGATTTATCAACGTCTCAACACAACGGCGTCCATGAGACAACGGGAAGTAATAAAAACCTGACTCACACCTCAACCCACCAGAATGAAGATTATAAATCGCCAGTGAAAAACGACGTGTATCCATCACAACACATCACTTATTATCCCGGTGACAATCAAATAGTAGAAGGAGTAGTACCCAATCAGGTGTCTTCAACTCAACAAGGACATAATGTAGAACCGACTGCGACGCTGGCATCTGCATCATTTAGCCAGGAACCACCTCAACTAGATTTCGTTGATCAGTCAACTTCATCAGAAACATTCACTCGGACAACGATCGGTACACCCAGTAAGGAACATGAAACTTTGGATGAATTCCAAAATGATGATTTCGCAATGCTCCCATCATATTCTTCTACTAATGATGATTCCGACTCAGACATTCCACCGATTCTTGATAATATGGTAGATACCACTATAGAAGAGAACAACAACTCCGTAACCGATGAGCTCAACAGAGAGAGCGACGATGACAAGAAACCTTCAGATTCAACGAAGAAAATAATTCAAATATTGAATGAAAAAATTAGGAAAAAACAATCAAATGCAAACGTCAATTCGGAAGACCAAATTCATATTAATGAAATAAGCCAAATTATGAAAGAAGTTTTGGACAAATCTGCTGCAAAATGTCGCTCCAAAGCTCAAGCAAAGAAAAAGAAGACCGGAAAGAGTAAACAACAAGATACACAAGATAAAACCCAGGCAAGTGCGAGCCAGTCTGCACCAAACATGACACAGTTGTTGAATCAGCAGACCCAGATGCCCCAACGCTTCCACATTCCACCTCAAGGCATTGTCCCCTTACAAAATCCACCGCCACTAACCGCAAAGCCAGATGCGCAGGGGCGTTGGTTTCAACAAGGTGGACAAGTTCCAGTTAGAATAATGGGGCCTTATAATGACTGGAGTGGACCATACCCAGGCCAAACTATGCAAGGTCAACGTTTCCCTATGGCAGCGTCCCCAATGTTTGGCCCTAATGTTGGGCATCATCAGGGGTATTACATGGACGCTGGTGGGTACCAAGTTGGAGTAATGGACCACAGACAGCCCATGATGCCAATGATGAATGATAACCAGAATCATATGGTTCAACAAATGCCAGTTCAACACATGATGCCAAATCAATATCAGGATAATATGCAGCCAAAGTTAATCGATAACGGACTCAACGGAGCGTGCAATGATATGCCAAACAGCGTGTCGGTAAGTTCGCCTTTTAGTGATATCACTTCAATCTATAAATGACACTATTATCAGCAGATCATTCTGTATGCTGTCTGTTGGAGTTACAGGTCGTACGGTAAAAGTACACTTATATTCTCATGAATGGCATTAGCATTGAACATTCACATTGGATTTTGCTATGTCGGGTCATTCTGATCTTTCCAATGTTGCCGCGTATTCTCTTAGACCTCACATATATAGTAATTATAAATGTACGTATATTTATAAGGTGTATGTAAACACGCTAGGTGTTGATGCTGTAAAGGAACCTCCTGAAGATGATAAGCCAAATGAAAAGAAACCAACTAAAAAAGCAGCCAAACGTAAAAGATCTCAGTCAACTGGAAAGAATGCGGTGATACTACAGCAGGCAGCCAATCCGCAGCCAGTGTATACTCCCTCACTCGTCATACCAAAAAGGTTTGTGATAACAAGCGTACCATTTGCATTCGTTCGACTTCACTTCTTAAAATAGACTCATCATCATCTATTGACTCATCATCACTTGATCATTTGTATGATGTATATGATGTTCATGTCTCCCTTGTTGTTTACAGAGACCCTGATCCCACCGGCTATACATGCTACATAGAATCTCCTATATCAAAGGCGCAACGCATTGAAGAAGAAAAAATCACTTATATGAACAAAGGTGGGTCATTGTCAAGTTCTAACATAATGTCCCTTTGATAATACTGTATAAGTGGTATTTAATCCGAGTGGTTAATTTAGTATTAGATCTGAGATGTTATTGCAAGAAAATATCAAACTTTTATCATAAAATAAAATGGGCATGAAGCGACTTCATTTTAACTATTAGCGTCAACGTGATAGTTTAATCTATAATGTATAAAAATGTTATCTTTGTTTTATTCAGGGCAGTACTATGGCTTAACACTAGAATACAAAAATAAAGGAAGAAGTTTGAAGTGCAATACAGTGAAGGTATTTGACATTCATTTTTATGCGATTTTAAGCACTTCTAAAGACTAGCATAGCAGCTATTTTTAGTAACATGCTATAGATGTTATTATATTGGAATTGGATTAAATATACGATTTTTCTGGTTTTAAGAAATGTGTGGTTCTTTTTTGTCAAACTTTGAATCGAGTTTCCTTTAATTTCTTAGGATGCAATATTTATTCCTGTCCAAACAGCTCTTCGCATAAGCCAACATGTTATTTTATCGTATGATCTGTAAAATGAAGCTTTCTGATTGGTCAGTTCTTGTGCTGTACCAATCTGTATTGCTACTGAGATTGTCCCCATTGATCATCACCGTCGCAATACAGAAAATATTGGTACGGAGGGGACATTCTCAGTAGCAATACAGAGGATCACACGATAAAATCGTATAGAATGATTCGAAGTGCAATACAGGATATATTCTGCTCTCGATATTCAGTATTTTGCACTCGACTTAGTCTCGTTCCAATACGAATTTTCTCGTGCAGAATATATCCTGCATTGCACTTCAAATCATTCAATAACTTATAGTATCGCACAAGACTTCGATCAATTACCTTCTTTTTGAACACATTGCAGTCACTCATTATGCTCCTATTCCGAGAAGACAAGGATCCGAACCAGGATATGAAAGCTTGGGATTTCTGGCATAGCAGGCAACACAGCAATAAACAAAGAATCATAGATATAGGTCAGTACCACCATTGTCACATTTAGTTCAGAACATATTAGAACATATGAAGTTTTGATTGATTTCGACTACCAATGTTTGTCATGGAAACTTCTTTTTTTGATATTCGGTTGATTAGGCCGATCAGATTGAATGAAATTTCTTTTTTCATTGTTTTAGATATAAAAAATAGTACGGGTATAATATCTAGCTGCGCTGAGGATGTTGCCTCTAATGCTGTCGTGGTGAGATGGAACCCTTTGGAGCAACCAGCCAAGGTATGAGAAACCCTTGTAAGAATAAATGTTATTCGAATTCAATAACTTCAGTATGAATGAAATGTCCTTTGGTGTCTCGGATTGAGATATTGGAACTTGAACGATGGAGGAAAAATTATACACTGTTTCACTCCATGTTGAATTCTGATTTGGGATACTTTGGGTTTATTTTCCTTATAACTGGAATACTCTTAGGTGTTTTCTTTTTTCTTGCTGTTTTCTATAATCATTTTTGGTACTTTCCCATTGGAACTTGCGCATGCATATTCAGTGCAACTGAAATACAGACCAAACACTCGCTTGATCATGATGTTCAACTACTTCTCATTTTCTCTCCTGATTGCACGGCTTTAACACATCAACTTCCATCACTTCATAAACGTCTATCTTTAGTTTTATTAATTTTTCATTGCAGATAAGTTTCACGGTGAATTGTCTTAGTACGGACTTTAGCAATCAGAAGGGCGTGAAAGGCTTACCACTTCACGTACAGGTAGATACGTTTGAAGAGCTTAAGTCTGAGACACCAATTCACAGAGCATATTGCCAAGTGAAGATATTCTGTGACAAGGGTGCCGAGAGAAAAACTCGAGATGAAGAAAGGAGAAAAGAGAAGAGTAAATTCCAGCCGGAATTAGGTATGTTCATATTTAATGATGTGAATGATAGTTTTGTACATCAAAACGAAATAAGAAAACAATTTAAAATTGGTATTCTACTGTGAAGTCCAAACACCTCATAGCAAATAACCAATTTTCAATAAGCTAAAGAGTGAAAAAGAAAAATAAGCTGTTACAATATTTGTTGAGGCTGTTAATTTCTATTTTAGGACGTAAGAAAGAATCCGACAACAATATTGTCTATCACGAATCTGAGGAGAGGTCAAAGTTTTATTCCATGGTGAATCTGGAGAAAAAACCTCTGTTGTTCCGTCCTATAGTAGACTACGAAAGCTTCTCATTCCAGGTAATATATATATATGCTATAGACGAATGTATATTTTGTATATATGATATTTTGTTTCTTTATATCATTTCACATTTTTCATCGCGAGTTCCGTGTTCGTTAGCTCATGTATTCATGTATTACCCTTTGCATTCGTTCGACTTCGCTTCCAAAAAGAGAGTTTTTTTATAACTAGACTCCGCGCGCAGGGTATTCATGTATATTTATCTATTTAAATAATGTATCAGAACGTGTGGTATAAGTGGTTATTATTCATTTGCTTCGTATATTCATTTAAGTAGGTCAATGAATGTTCTTCGATCCACGCATATGCCTACGTGATTGTACATTTGATGTCCGTTGTATTCTAGTGCTCGGTGCGCCCCGTCTCACAAGTAGTAAACAGCGAGAAAGCAGACTCAACCAGTACTGAGTTTACCGACACAACACCTGCAATTAAAAGGGTGAAGTTGTCCAAGCCCCAAGAGCCACAATCTGCCATAACTACCACTACTAGTACAACATCAACTACACCAGCACATCCATGCCCAGGTACACCAAAGGAAGAACAACAAAAAGGTGAGGAAAACATAACAACGGTGAAAATAATAGTAGTCTATTTTCTCTTAAAGTGAGACAGTCCCTGAAATAGTAATGAATCAGTCGGCTATTCACTACTCAGGTGCCATGGAAGTTAACAGGAAATAACAAAACAAAAAGTGACAAAAACATGCTGAATTTTGAAATTTTTGAACCAAGATAACAAAGTTCTGTTTGGACCTCCAGTCAGTTAAACTACTTCCACATATCATTTACATGACCGGGAACACAATGGAAATGGTCAAAATGACCATAAACATGATGAAATAACATTTTCAGCCCTCTGAAAATGTGACTGAAAAATAGTTAAAAGTAGGTGCTCAGGAAAGGTCAATGAACAGAATCTTTTGAATTTTTCAGAAAATGTGTCCAATATATTGCTTTAAATGATACGATCTTTGAAATTTTAAAAAATTGTCGGAAAAATAATGGCTGTAGTAAAAAAGAAAATAGATCGATTTTCAATTCATTTTTTTTCTTTTTTCTAAGAATGATATCAATTTTTTAAAATTTTTGTCATTTCCTGTTAATTTCCATGGCACCTTAAAATAAAATTTGGTGGGGAGTCAATGCCGTTTCTTTAAATGACTTGAGTTCTTATGTATCTTGTTCCAGTACTGCTGTACGTCAGGGACGAGCATGAGAAAGTCTTCACTGCACTATTATTGCACAGTCCTACAGTTGTGCATCTGTCACAGGCGGTGGGTGCACTTTTATTTTTTTCATTCCTATTCATTAATCGTATTTTAGAGCCTAGAATTATAATATTATCATTCTAATTGACTTATTTTAATAACGTGACATGGTGTAAAATCAAGGTCCCAATATTCGGGGGTGGGCACGTGTAGAGTATTTTCGTGGAGTACACGGGAAATATACAAAATAGATAGGTGTAGTTTTATTATGTTGTCTATTGAAACGTTTGTGAGTGCTTCTAGATTTGGGCTATTACGCCCATCACGCTCCAAGTACATCAAACCGAGACCAAAACTCTGTTTTTTAAAGTGGGTTAGCCACAATTTGGTCCAAAATCACAATATTCTTTAAATTACTCCACATTCTAGAAAGACTAGATGGGTGACTGTCAATTTATATTAATGGAATGTTCCACCAACGTCATGAGTGTATTAACAGGTGAGAAAACAAGTTACAAAAGGTTCACAGACTACCAAATAGAACCACCTACCTGCTCCTTGAACAAAAATACTCTACGAGTTTCAATCCCTGATAAACATTCTGATCACAACCTAACAAAAATTCTAATGTGCACTTTCAGATAGAAGAAAAGTATAACATTCCTACACACAAACTAAGAAACATATATAAAAAGGGTAAAAAAGGGTAAGTGGTTCTTTTTTCTAAGCAACACCCCAAAGAATCTTCCCTGTTGACTGCAGTTAATCTCATTCTTGAATTTCTAGCTAAATCACGCCTTACCATCGCGTAAGCAGGCGTCACCGTACAGCGTCAAAAAATAGCGGAGTACAGTTTTCTGTACGGTAACGCAAATTAGCTGCTTTGAAGCAAAAACTATGACAAGGGTTTAAAAAAATTAGTTTGATGAAAACTAATACGATTTCATATGAAATAAAAACAGCATTCTCTTAGAAATAGTTTTAACTTTCTGATTATGATAAACGTTTTACGAGCACTGTTCGGGTTTTTTCTGAGTGAATCGGCCCACATAATCGACCAGAGTGAAAAAAGGTTGTTTTTTCACATTTTGTTTGGTTATTATTTTCCCTACCGTCTGAGAGTATGGATTATTTTTATGAGAATATGTATTTGTTACTTACACATTTTAGAACGGGCGAAGATTCAGAAAACAACCATTCATTATGTATATTTAAAAAAGATCAAATTTGTACGGTGACGCACCAGCTGTACGGTGACGCTATGCTTTGATGAACTAAATGAGACTAAGATTGTATGAAATGGAAACTCTGGAGTATGATCATTTGTTCATATATAGTACATGGGCGCTACAGTTCAACGATATCTTCCACAGCTTAATGGAAGGTTACTGGAAATGTATGATACGGTAAAGATCATAAAACCAAAAACTCTCTTGTTGCTATGTTATTGATGTTTTAAAACAAAGGATGTCACAAGTAAATCTCATCTTGCACGTGTGACTTTTTAGGATGAAAGATGCAATATCTCGCATGGGGTAAAGATGGCTGTGTAGGCTATCTTTGTTAGTCATATGAGAAAAGCCTGGTTTAGTTCAAATGATACCAAAGTATTACGTCAACTTTCAAATAGTTGATTCCATGAAAACTAAAAATATCGAAATTAATACTTCCTGTCCACCATCTTAAATGCGAAGGTGACGGCTGTAACCTTCGCTTGATACTTACCAGTGATAATGTACATGTAGATCTGACGCTTCTTTACCTCTTGTTCGAACAGTAAGCTTAGAGCACTTCATAAAATCTAAGGAAGCGTCACCGTACAGCTGATGCGTCACCGTACAGTTCTGATCTTTTTTAAATAAATACACTGAATGATTATTTGCCGAATATTCATCTGTTCTAAAATGTGTAGATAACAAATACATATTCTCATAAAAATAATCCATACTCTCAGACGACAGGGAAAATAATAACCAAACGAAAAGTGAAAAAACACCATTTTTCTCTCGAGTCGATTATGTGGGCCAATCCAGTCAGAAAAAATCCGAGCAGTGCTCGAAAAACTTTTATCATAATTAGAAAGTTAAAACCATTCCTAACAGAATGCTGTTTTTATTACACCCGAAATCGTATTTATTTTCATCTTATTAATCTTTTTAAAACCCTCATTATAGTTTTTGCTTCAACTCAGGTAATTTTCGTCACCGTACAGAAAACTGTACTACTGTATTTTTGACGCTGTACGGTGACGCCTGCTTACGCGATGGTTAGGCGTGTAAATATAAATCAGAAATAAACATGTGATATAGGTTTTGTTACAATCTCTGGAGAACAAATGTAACATATGATATGGTTTTTGTTGCAGTATACTGGTGAGGATGGACGACAATATTCTAACACATTATCCCAGTGAGACAACGTTCATCATCGACATTGACGAGAAAGACGACCAATGGGATCTGGATGACCATTATTATGATGTGACATTCACAGAGACATCAGAATAAAACGAAAAATATGATTCTACCATACAAGAAAAATTAACATATTTTTGTGTATATGAATGATCGATCCATAATCATTAATAAAATGCTTATACGACGGTAGATCATAAAGCTCTCATAAATCTCTCTATTTTCTTTATTTTTTAATATATTCTAATAAAATCTTCACATAATATGCAGAATGACCCATTAATCCAGCAAACATATATATATTACAACAGAAATATTTCACTGGAAATAATTGCCATAATAACCAAAATCAAGGAACTCCTGGGCAAATAAGTAATTATGGGAATGACCCTAACTAACCAGGTTTATATACATAATAACCTATCAAATAAGTTATCACATAAGTCATCAAAAACATTTACGTGCTTGCATGTACATTAAGTGTTAGCTTGTACGTCAAAATCATCAAGTGAATGATGTTATATTGTAGGTTAGTTTACTTGTTTCATTAGAATTGAGATACCAGACGTCTACAAGAAATATATTGATAAGGAATTGGAGTTGCAAAAATGAACTTTCCTCTGGATATTTGTCAAAACATTCATAAGTCTAACATTAACTAGAAGATTGCAAGCAATCTTACGGAGGCCCTGTAGGCTTTTTTGAACATTTAAAGGTCAGCCAAAGGTCAAATCTTAAATACAAGGACATATATGAACTCCAGGCATCTTGTAGATGATTTTTAAAAAAAAGTTTGGTCAATTTGAAGCAATGTGAAATTTGACCTTGAAAAATTTCAACATTAGACCTTTTTCAGTTTTTGAGGTCCAATATCTCAAAACTGGTGCAGAATTTTAATAGATTATCAATTGTTATTATGTGTAAAACCTTTAGAGGAATATATATCCTGACTTTAATTCAAAAATATTGATTTGTAGTCACAAACTTTGAGAAACTTAGAAAACACAGTTTGTGATCTTGTTTGATGACCTTGACCTTTGACCTTACAGGTTTTACTTTTTTAGACCTCAGTATATCTTTTCTGATTGAAGAAACCTAAATTTGAATCCATAAAATCAATTTGAAAAATTAACTTTTTTGACCTTTCGAAGGTCACTGAAGGTCAACTAAAGGTCATAGTTCAAAACTAAGGTCATATTTGAGTTCCTGAGATCTTGTAGATGCTTTTTAAAAAAAAGTTTGGTCAATTTAGAGCAAGTTGAAATTTGACCTTGAAAAATTTTGAAATTTGACCTTTTTTCAGTTTTTGAGTTCTAATATCTCAAAACTGGAGCAAAATTTTAATAAATAGTCAATTGCTAATATGTGTAGAACCTTTAGAGAAATATATATTCTGACTTTCAGTAAAAAAAATTGATTTGTAGTCTCCAATTTTGAGAAACTTAGAAAACACAGTTTGTGATTTCGTTTGATGACCTTGACCTTTGACCTTGCAAATTTTACTTTTTTAGACCTCAGAAGATCTTTTGTGAATAAATATACCTAAATTTGAATCCAGAAAATCGATTTGAAAAATCAACTTTTTTGACCTTTCGGAGGTAACTGAAGGTCAACCAAAGGTCAAAGGTCAAAAGTAAGGTTAGATTTGGAATCCTGAGAACTTGTAGATGAGTTTTAAAAAAAATTTGGTCAATTTGAAGCAAGTTGAAAAAAGACCTTTTTTGACCTTTTTTTGACCTTCAATATCTCAAAATCTAGGCAAAATTTCTCTAGACGGCAAAAGGCTAAGACTAATAGAATACTAATATCTATCTGTGTGCAAAGATTCACATATCGAGATTTTGACGTCATTTGCTAATTAACATAATGTGATGTCACGCATGCATCATTGCAGAATTCTAATGGGATGTCCATATAGGACAAAATTGAATATCAAATAATTAAATAAATGTTAAATTGATCCATTAGCTCAGGGTTAGAAATGGTGAAGATATTAACAAAGGTCAACTGTGCAAAAAATTGACGATCAACTATGAAAATATTTTCTTCCCCCAGAAAAAACAGTTTTTTGGCAAAAATTCCTATACTTTACATGTAACCGATCTGAAAAAAGTGCAAAAATGGCGAAATTGGCGTTATACAAATGTAATTTTTGCCTTTAATATTCTTTTAAATCGTTAGCTCAGGGTTGGAAATGAAAGAACACGACTAATACGTTTATATTAACATATTTTATTTACACCACATTTAATAACTTTTCTTCCTGACAAGTTACAAGTAAGGTCGTTTTTGAAATACGACGCCGTTTTCCAACAATAAATAGCTAAAACGTCACACATTTAACATGTTTAATTATAACGTACTTTATTCATAATACAACTTATTTAACACTGTAAGTTGCAACGATGTTCTTTTCATTTTCTCTACTGGAGGAGTTGATTAATTTAAATTTATTTATTTTCCAGTTTATATAGCCAGTCATAAGACTGCCCCATACGCTAGAACGATGCGCGAATCATGAAAAATGGCCCATGCTTAAGTGAAAGATAAATAGTGTATAAGAGAGGTATGAATTGATTAATTTTACAATTCACCATAGCTCTCGGAAACAATATAATTTATATTTCAGTTATACTTGGGCTTTTGTTTTTTCCATCTGCGCGTCTTCCTAGCGTATGGTGCAGTCATTGATTTCCTTGTTCGTACACGTAGCGCTTCTACGGATGGTTTATGTTTTTGGGTTTTCCTATGATAGAGTGATTTGATATCATCATTGGACTTTTCTACACCCTGCCCTGTAAAGATTTTAAGGCTACCATACCTTTTAATAACACGAGGCGTATGGTACACCAAACAGTGGATGTAAGGTGTTACTCTATCGTAACCTTCTAGTTTAGATTGGAGGCCTAAGAATTCCTTTGCCCAACTTCGCGCATTCACGAAAAAATTGACAACCTGTTCCTCCGCTGGATAACGATTACTGATCACATTAAAGTACAGATTCCCAAATTTTTTCCAAAGCGATATTATGTGGATTTTTTCACTGATCTTTATATCGGATTGCTCGAGTTTCGTTGGCAATGTTCGAAGTAGTACTTTAACCTGATTGCCTGTCAGGCTTGTCCAGTCGAGGGCTGTCTTCTGGTCTCCTTTAGATTCTGATTTTGAGGTTTTAGGCCAAATATTGAAAGAGACCCCGCATGATTGTATTACTGTAACAAGATTTTTCGTAGTATCACCGATCAAATTTGTGCTCTTTCCACGACCTTCGAGAATACGTACCTTTTCATCCACGCTGAGGGCATCCATTATGAGATTTCTAAGCAAAATATCGATTACTCTAAGCAGTAAGTGAAGTTCGCACATCATTACTCTCTCAATAGGGATCAAAAGAAGGGGTTCAGCTATGCTTCCCATTGCCCTTTTCTTTGAAAGTTCAGCAAGAGAGTTCACGTCTCGCATCTTGTTATCCCAGAATTCCTCTGGCAATGTCATGTCTAAAAAATCAGTCTTGCTTGCCGGACAAGAGAAACACGCATACTTCGCATTAGCGGCGTTGAGACCTAATACTTGGAGCAGGAATTTCATATCACCGCCTAGAAAAAGTGCAGTCTTATAAACCCTGCCAGATGAAGATATGAATTCTTTTGTTTTTTCAAGTGTATTGATTTCGCGAAATAGATCGGCAAGGGATATTTTAAGCGTTTGGTACGTTTCTGGCCCCTCTACTATAGCTATAGTTTCATTCCCCTCCAAAGACATGATGTCGTGATCTAGAAGTCCTACATTTACGATGATAAAGTTTTTGTTGTTGGAAACTTTTGCGCCATCGCACGACCATTTAATTCTAACGGGCACGGTTGAGGAGCTCAGTTCGTAGTTTTTTGCATATTTTGAATCGATCAATTTCGTCAGTGTGTCCTGAAAGTTAAGTTGTGCTCCTGCGAGGTCCCCTGGTGTCTCGTTAATTACGATTGTGTCGTTCAACTCTGTCCGCATATTTTTGACTACACGCACCTTTGTGATCTCCGGGAAATGCATTGACAGTTCATGATACGCATGATCAGAAATACCAAATCTGTCCAGGACATGTAATAAGCCCCTGAGACCATCTTTTTCATTTTCGGTTAAGGTTTCATACGTTTTTTGAGAAATTAGCCTTAGAGTGTACTCATTACCCGATTGGTCTAAACACTGTACCCGATCGACCGTAAGTCCAAATGACTCAGTAAACCACAGAGCTTTCCTGCAATTTTCTATGATTATTTGTTTCTTGAACCGGTTGGTAGCAGAGTTAACGTTGTTTATCTTTTTACCTTTGTTTTCTTTTATGTCAAGTGCAGTTATAAGGCGATCGAAATTGTTTTGGAGTTCGTCTTTTTCGGACAATATAACTTTCATAAAGATGTTCATATCTTTCATTTTTTTCTTTTCATTGACTATTTCACTATAAAGCTCTGCGATATTCTCGAATTCCGAATCAAAGACGATAATTTCTTTAACTTTCCTGCTTATGGCATATTTTCCTCTTCCAGAGGATTTGCGTATTTCTGACTTCGCAACCATTGCCCGTAATCTAAGATTAGCCAGGAGTCTTTCCGACATGGGGTTGATTTTAACGCATGATTTTGGGAGATTATTATTTATTATGTCAATCATATTGAGTTTTTCGTTTGAATCTTCTTCCATTTTTATTTGGCAAAGCTCAAAGTTTGTTAGAAGAAAACTTGACTGGCCCTTGCCATGTATAACCTCAACTGTGACCATAATTAAAATTAGCGTTTGAGTTTGAGATAATAATGACAACTATGATGGATTCATAATTCTCTACTGATAAACTTGTAAACTAGATAGTAGAAAATCTTTCTGTGACGAATTCAATGTCAATTGCTTCATATGGCATAGGATGTCCCTTACAAAATTTCACTTTTAAAGTCATTCTCATTGGAAAGCTAATCTTGCGTCCGGACCGTTCACCTTTAAACTGGTCCCAGCAATCTGGAAAGTTCAAATGTTCAAAATCCTCTCTGCTGAACAGCCTGGTTTTCTCCACTGGAATTAAAACAAAATTGTATTTAATATACATTACACTTTAGTATGTTATATAGATAGGTGAATATGATGTTAACATGGAGATCCATTGTTATATATATGATGTTAACACAAAGATCAATGCCATATTGATGATGTTAACATAGAGATCAATTTGACATACTGTAGGTAATGTCAAGACAGAGTTCAATATCTTATAGGTTGTGCGGCCCTCAGTTGTATTGGGCAAACTGACTGTATACTTTTTTATTAAGCTGATGATCCATAAATGTAATGCCTATGATTGCCATACTATTCAAAAATAGGCAAGGGTTTCGAAGAATAAAATTCATTTAAGAAGGGTACTTATGTCCTGGATGAATTCATGGCCAGGGACTGTCCAATGTACTGAATAATGTGACGAACACGATGAGATATACTAGTATGTTGCATTATACAATTAATATGAATATTGTACAAAGAATATATGTAATTATCTGGGTGGTCAGTATTATTAATTACAGCCGTCTAGTTCTAAATTATAAAAGAATTGAGTTGATTCCCAATTAGCTATTCCCAATACTGTATGTTTCGTTTCTGGGTTTACAGTATATTGTATCCGTACACTTCTATATTTTGATCTTTACTTACGTCCAAACAAATGACGAAACACATCGTGTCGAAATGCCACAAGGCCACACCTCCCCGTCCTTTTGCCTAGCCTCTCCCTTATAACAAAAAGTAGGTTGTCTGTGTTTGATTGGATAAGTTCGTTGTTTACAACTGGGTATCTGAAACATATCGAACGTAAGGTTCACATATCGATAGAGTAAACTTTGACATGTATATCTTCGATCAACGCTCGGAGAACCTGTACCAATCACCTGACATTAAAATTTTTTTAGATATCTGAGGCTGTTTTCTTTGGTAGGCACTTAATTAATCAATTATTAATTCATTAAAGTTTTCCATTAGACATCTCAACTGAAGGCCTAATTCATTTGGATCATTACAAACATTAACAAAGTTGCTTTTTGAAAATATTGCTTCCAAACAATTTCAAGTCTGATTTGATGCCACTGGACGGGCACTGGACAAACAACTTGACTCTATGACAGTGGCTATTGGGTATACAATAGGCCTATGTATGCGAGGCAACTGGCTCGCCAAAACTTTGCAGAAAAATATTAATTCAGACTGAATTGAAACTGTTAAAAAGTCTCATAATGGGCTTTGACAATGTTTATGTAAAATCATATGGAGGTCGAATGTATACCTGTATATGTATTCAAATGTGCTGGAGCATCTGCTGTTTAAGGGCTCCCACGTACTATCCCAAAGGCTGAATCCCTTCCACTTTACTAGATAACCTTTACTAGTTGACTGAAAAAGGAAAACCAGACTATTTGTCAAAGGTGGGCTACACGATTTCATTGATGAATGCTAAGCTAAATGAACAATGCACAGATTCCTGGGGCGCCAATCTACCTATATACTAGTATAGTTCGAACGATAAATAATAAATTGTGGATTTGCTGAAGTAAGGATTTCACATGTTAAAAATAATTGGGAATTTTCACTGAAGAGGCCAACCATACATCAATAGCCTAGATGAGAGTATACAAAATGTAAAATATAGTGGATAGCCAGACGTAGACGATTGCAAACTATAGACTTTCAAACCACCATCCATTGTTTATCATTTATTTATCGTCCAAACTGTATGCGGCTAAATCTAATTCTATTTTATCAACTGTCAAATTATGATTTGAATGATTTCTGCATCATTTCAACTTCAAGTCCAATTCTGTGTTTGATTTCAATCTCATAAATCTGAATGAAATGTACCATTCATCAAAGAAACGTGACATAACTTACCTTTGTTATGATACGATCTACATCGTACTCATCAGAGTAGGATAATAATTTAATTTTACTGGGCCTAATATCCGCTTTGTTTTGAAAATAAGACAGGAAATCTACTCGCACTCCTCTTGTTTTCATGATCTGGTTTACACTGTAAACAAGATTTGGCGCGACTTATAAAACCTCGCGCGGACGTTTTAGTACTCGATTACTGTAACGCTATTGGATCAGCGGAATCACGTGACAATAACAATAGGTTTAAAAGCACGTGGTAAAATGACGCTAAAATCTCGATATGAGCCAAAAATATTTAAGTGTAGTGTCAGGATTTGAGAAACTTGAAAAAAACTAAGATTTGACCTAGATTTTGACCTTTGACCTTGACCTAGATAAAAATTCCTTTCCCGCCAAGTTCAGCCCAGGTCCCTAGTAGGACTATGTAGTACCTAGTTGAAAGGTAGTTGGAAGTAGGAGAAAAAGAGGGAGGAAGAATAAATAATAAAGAATAATAATAATAAAGAATAATATCTACAAAATTGATAGGAGGCCCCCCGATGGGGCCTCCTAATAAAACAAACAACGTTTATGACATCACAAAATTCCCATCTTCATTGCATATAGTTAAAACAACACATTATTTGACATTTGATTATTTGGTACTAGTATCTTATTTAGAAACTTCTCATGTATTTAAACATGGTTAATGTGAGGCATTATAACACATTTTTTTATTTACATCAATAAATATTCCTGTTATTCAATATATTTTTGCTGGATGCATTAGAATATCAAGGAAAGAAATTAGAGAGATATTATGAGAAGTTCATGATCAACCCTCGTATGACTGGTGTTTTCTCTATGGCTTTGGTGGTAAAACTGCTGACTTTACAAAAGTATTAGTCATTATTGCTTATTATCTAATTTGATCAATCCTAGAAGCACATGATCAAATAAAACGAATTTATTTTATTTATACCTGTATGTGTTATTGTTTTAGTTTATACTATACTTGGGTTGTAACAATCTCATGTTTCTTATTGCACACTTTTAAAGAAAATTTAAATATATATTTACCTATCATTGGTTGATTTTGATAAGATTTGGCAATTATTAATCCTTGACAACTAAGTTACCCTATTGTAAGATACCCCTATACCAATTGGCTTGAAATGGATAAGTACCTTACCATACAAAGCTCATTGTTTTGCACATTTTTAAATACGATCAACTTTAGGTTAATCTCGTTAAATACTATTTCAATAATACATGCCGAAATTGAATCTAACCTACAATATATAAAATTGTTCCCACATTTGGAATGTTTGGGATTCTATATGACTTTAGTTATTCGTTGTTTCCTCACAACTGATTATTGTCTGCCATTGTGTGTTGATTAATGGGCATTGCCTTGAAAACATGACGAGATCTGAATAGAAGGCACAAGTTTGATAAACACAATTGTTAAATCGAACATGGAAGTGTCGAATCCGACACTTAAGGTGACTGGAAGCAAGAACACGAGCTTAGTGGGTTCTGTAAAATCACTCTATGGAAGCGATAAGGTATGAATCAAATATTTTTTACTTTTTGATTTAAATTAGTACATATGCATGATTTAAGATTTCCATCAGTTTGGGAATTTTTTAAGAATGTTTTTGAAACAATATGTTCCAATAAAATTAATTCGATTAATATTGAATAATTAATACTTTAGAAAATAAGAAATGTGTGTCCATCAATCCATCATAATTGATCAGAACACTTGGGTGTTGGAGTCCGATTGCCTTTTGAGATCTTTTGTTTGAACGTACATTATTTATGAAATGGTCCATCCACTTGACGTTTCGGTGATCGAGCCGATCAATATTTTTAACAGTCCTTTCAAGAGAATTTTCCACAAATTGAACATTCATGTATGAATGAAGATCCTTTAAAATAACATCTTTAGCTACCTTATTTAACAACAAAACCTTGAATTGAAAGATTTTCGGATTAGTGAAGTACAAGCTTGAAGAATTTATACAGTATAGGTTTTCTTGTTGAGCTTTCTTAAAACCTTAATCGTTCAGATTGATTTGGCATCTATGGATTTATTCCACCTAATAATTTATTGTAACTAGGAATACATTTGAATACAATTAACCTGAGAATTTCTTTCTCAACATGCCATTTTGATATTAGAACTTTTTGGATTAACATAATGGAGATATTCTTTTGAACGCAAAAAGACAGGTGTGATGTATTCTATAAGAACGAAGAATACAATAGGTAAGGACTATAACCATTATGGTAGCTGCACGTCTCTGGCATGTAGTATCTGTAGCAGCTCCACAGATCTTGAAACTCTGAGAGATCATGATTGTGTTGGGGACAATAGTGCCAGAGAGGAGGCAATATCCAGAGTTACTGAGTGCTCTGAGACCAACAAACCATCTCCCGAGATAACAGATACGCCAGTTTCTAATGACTCAAATGAATCAAGCTATCCCACTCCCGAACCTGGAATTGATGAGGATAATGATGATAGCATTGCTATTCATGAAAAGAACGATGAATTATTCACTAAAGTCCCCATGCCAAATCATAGTGATGAAGTAAGTTTACACGATGGTGAACAACAGAATGATAATAAAACAAAGCCCAGGCCCAAGACAACCGACGCACAGTTGACAAGAACTGCAAAATTAAAAACATACAAAAATTATGCGCATATTTATTCTTTCCCTCAGGCAGGTGGCACTGGTACATTGGGGAATGGGGAAAAGGAATACATTGATGACTTCTTAGCGGAGAAAGACAGAAACAGCAAGGCGAGTTACTTAGACGTGAAGCCCTCCAAGAAGGGTACATCCAGCTCCACACGTTTTTCAAGAAGGTCGTTGACAGCTGGTCAGAATCGGGAGAGAGAAGCTGACCTTGATACTGTACTGGATATATCAGGTATGTGATCTTCATTCAGGTATTGGTAATTCAGGTAGATAAGGTCTATTAAAACAGATAGGTAAACAGTATTATTACAATATACAATTATTGACCTCTCCAGAGGTTTACTTTCAAAATTATATCCCGAGACTGTAAACCGAGACCGTAGGTCAAGGTTTACAGTCGAGGGATATAATTTTGACAGTAAACCGAATGGAGAGGTCTATAATTGTTTTGTTAGTCCGAAGAATATCTTAGATTTTTCTGACCCTTGAAGTTGACTTGAAGTTGGATCCAGACCCTCGAGACGTTCATGTTGTATTTCAGTATATCGGCAGTAAGTTCACTCAATGGAGTCAAATTACTCTCCTGGGCGAAGTCCACTAAAAGCTTTGTACAAAGTTTTAGATTTTTCTTCGTATTTTGACTGTCTTTACTCTCTAAGAGACTAATAATATCCTCATCTTCAACATTTTTGAAACGGCTAGTGCTAGCGGCGGCCATTTTATCGTCTGATAATGACGTCATTTTAGTGGAATGCTGGGAATATTATTCACCGGCAATGCATTGCGCGGTGTACAGTTAAAATTATTCACCGCTCGTTGACCAATCAAAATCGAGTATTTCAACTGAGGTACTAACAAATTATGTTATACAACCAACAAAGGCAAGACGACAGACGACAACCCATGATACACCAGAGCAATCCATAAAAACAGCCACATTACAGTGTACACACGAAAAACAGCATAGCACAACTCAGTAAAGCAAAAGACAACACACCACACCACAATGGGACGAAACAAAAGCCATCATAATACGCCAAGTCATTGCAAACCATAGCACGAGATAGTACCACAATACGATAACGGTATGCAACATTTTAAGTCACAGTATATCAAAAAATAAGGGCATAACGCAATTATCATAATACAGTACAAAACAATACAATATAAACACTAAAATACAATATAATTCGATACAATTACATTGCATCACATTACAGTACAACTCAACGCAACTGTCTAGGACATTTAGCATTGAACGAATACAGCACAACAAAACACAGCACAACACAACACGGCGCAACACCGTAAACAGCACAACACGACACAGTACAGTACAATTTAGTACAACCTGTATACAACACATCGCGTCTACTCTGTTTATTGTAATTAATTTCCATTGAGGATGATCATATATGCAAAAAACAGGTGTTCCCCGATATTTCAAGCTATTGCCTGGTGAAAGTGTTCACTCCTATTATAACCACGGACTTAGATGTACAGAAACTGATATTGATTCAAAGAAATGTAATTACAAGCTTGGTGTTGTGTTTCTGACAAACGGGGATGAGTTGTCCAGGGGATGAGTTGGCTAGGGGATGAGTTGTATAGGAGATGAGTTGTTAAGGGGATGGCTTGGCTAGGGGATGAGTTGTCTAAGGAACGAATTGTTAAGAGGAATTGTTGCCTTGGGGATGAGTTGTCTAGGGGATGAATTGTTCAGGGGATGAGTTGTCTAGGGGATTAGTTGTCTAAGGGGTGAGTTATCCGTAAGCCAAAGAAATGATGGTACCCTGGGGGCTATGGTCCCCAAATATGTTACTGGTTGAATATTAACCGATTAAAGGAAGAGTTATTTTTACGTAGAGGGGAACACATTCGACAAATTACATTTAATCCAGGTATTGCTCAATGTTTTACCTGTTTTTCCGGATCTTTCCGGATTTTTCCTTTGCCCTTTAAAAATAATTGGCACAGTTACTGTAGTTTATGGAATAAAGACATCGATCAAATGTCCATTTTTCATTCCCCACCATTCGTATTCATAGGATATCCATTGATTCAATAATTTCATGTCAGGAAGTATTTTCAAGAGCATAGCTGAAATAAATATATTCAATACATTTTGTGGCTATTTATAGTTTCTATTCTAAAGTAATTTCATCTGATAAAACTAGGTGTCCAATGACCACGCTATAATTAACTCGATTCCACAATTAGAACTCCTTATCAAAACTGATGAATCTAATTTCCATATCCAGAAAAGGCCTACCGTTATGATGACACGGGGAAGACGGCTTATGATAACGCCTGCAAAAGGTATAACGTCGTCCCGGCATCGGGCGTCCTGAAGGCTCTGCCGTTTGAAGAAGAAATCGACATCAAACATTATGGAATGGGACCAAAGGGAGCAAGAGCAATGGCAATACCGCTGGTGGTACGTTTGTTTGTCATCTCATGAATCAGAATGTATATACAAGCTACAGAAATATCTGCTATCGATTCTTTGAGAAGCAGATAGAGAAAGAAGATAGTTTTGCTCCACAGATAACTCTCAAAAATATATAATTTGGGTGGTTGAATCAATGTCCAAAAACAAGCATTCCTTCATACATTTCAGATTAATAATAACATAACAACCTTAAACCTGAAGAACAACTGTCTAGAGGAGAGAGGGATAGAGGAGATAGGCAGGATGATGTGTGAGAATACAACCATCACTGATCTAGTAAGTGCCAAGAACTGGAACAAAAAAGGCCACGTTAGCTTATAAAAAACACCTATTCCATAACTATGGTCATGAGTTCAATCTAGGATGAAAAAATTCTTCATCCTAGGTTCAATGTTTCGTACACTTATGCGATCAAATGAGATTAACATTCTTGTCAACAATGAAAAACTGTTATTGGATCTCGGAAATCTCCAAAATGATATTGTCTGCGGAGATATTTTAACATAACAAACGTTTAATTTTCGGATATTTATTTTTCTAGGATATATCGGAGAATAATATAAGAACAACAGGTGCCAACGTGATCGCTTCATTTCTGAAGTTTAACGTACATCTTGCCCGGCTGAATATTTCCAACAATGGGTTCGAAGATAAGGATGCCGAAATAATGGCCAGTGCCATCGAGGTAAGGTACCCATTTAGGTGTCACTTGTAGACCAAAATCGGTTATATACATAATCAGTCAAGCATAAACGTACACTATCAATGTTTTAGAGAGATTTATATCAAAAGATTAATATGAAAAGCAAAGGGGCTAAACTGATCCCCGAGGCACACCATAGTTAATCAGTTTCGACCATGTCGAGAAAAATAACGAAATGCAAAGTTTAATTAACAAAGGGCATTTTGACATTTTTATTCACAATGGATAGTTTATGGATGTTTTATTCATTTTAATTGCAGGAAAATGCCAGATTAAAAGTATTGGATTTAAGTCACAACAACTTTGCAGTACAGGGTGGGATTACTTTCAAATCTGTGATAGGTAATTATAAGAAATCATTATCAAGTGCGACAGATAAATGCCCTTGTTATAGAAGTAAGCACTATTACTTCAAGGAACAGTAGAGGCTAAAAGACACGAGGCTAAAAGAATAACCTTCCTCAGTTCATCAAACTAAACCCAAATAAACAAAATAGATCTATGGATGATTTATATTATATACAAATTATATATTGATGACGTTTATTATACAAAACAGATCTATGAATGGTTAAAATTGCAGCTAATTGATGATTTAGAATTAAACTTGAAAGTGTTTATGTTGCAGCTGAAAATGATGTTCTTGAAGAGCTAGACTTGAGCTGGAACAACATTAGAACTAAGGGGGCAGTTGCAATATGCAAGGGAGTCAAGGTTGGTACATCGTATGAATATACAATTACTAGACAGTTATATGTATAGCCATTTAACATAGAATGGTCATGTGGACGGTTTCATATCTCAACGTCTTTGCCATTAAAGGAAAATTAATATTGCAGGAAAATATAAGACTAAAGAGGCTCAACCTGGCATGGAACGGATTTGGTGATGATGGTGCTGAGGCTATGGGGGTAGCTTTGACTAAGAATGCCTCCCTTGTCGAGTTAGATCTCTCGTGCAATAGAATCACTTGTGAAGGATTTCTGCTACTTATCCAAGATTTTGCACAAAATGATTCACTTAAGGTTCTTAAGGTATGTGTCCTGATAATAAAATGGTGTTATGATAATTTTTAATTTTGTGGTCATGGAAACTATAGAATAATTCATTGACAAATACTAATAGTTTACGTACAACCGGATGTTTGGTGTGAGGATATATAAACAGATCAAATTATTCATTATAGAAGATAATACGAAAACATACATGTCATTATCAAAATATGAAAATAATGATAATCCGAACATGACATTTTACACTTTCAATATTCAATACCATCGTATGAAAATCTTGTAAAATCATTGCTATGTTAAAATATAACTAGAGCTTTCTTTTGTTGAGATCATAAGTCAGAGCGTAGTTACTAGTTGATCGATTCCTTCGACACAGTTTTTTTGTCATAAATTCCGACCAATTAATATTGCCTATTCAGAATTTTTATATTATTTTATTCATATGTATAATGGTAGTTATTATCATTTTCGAATTTCCTTCTTTTCAGTTGGGCAAAAATATGATTAGAGATGATTCTGCCACAACGGGTCTACAGCTGTTGAGACGTATACCAAATATTGCATTGACAACACTAGATTTTTCGGTAAGAACATTCAACAATGATGATGCTTTATTTTACAAACAAAGCATTGAGTCTAGTGCTTAAATCAAGCATTTTACACTTTCACGAATGTAAATAAAGTCCGAGATATCAGATATGGCCTCTCGAACTAGAGACCTCAATCCTTCTTCAATCAACACTAATCATTGTAACATACATTTTTGTAATTTCAGAAAATATTCACCTTTGTATTGATTATTTTTACAGGACATAATATTCTTCAGTGATAAATTTAAAAAATGGCTCGAACGAATCAACAAGAAACACAAAGAGCTCGAAGTGATTCACGGCTACCAACACTCGTATGGTAAACGCAAGCTCGTCACTTACGATCCAGTGAGGGAAGCAATGGAGTCCCTCCACAAATACATCATTGAAAAGGGATTGACTGTGGCCGAACTGTTCAGCACATTCGATGAAGATGGCAGCATGAGTGTGACGTATGAAGAGTTTAAAGAGGGCCTGAAGGTAGGAAATGTGACGTATATAAAACATGTGAAATTAAAAAGGGGCTTGAAGATAGATAGGGTGGCTTATAAACATTAAAAAAGTTTGAAGTGTGGTATATGATGAGTTTAGGATGGGTTGTGTGACGCTTGATAACTTAACAATTAAATCTGAAGATATGAATGTCGATGAGGAAAAGGTCACTTTCAGCAACTTAATACTGTATAATTTGATTTCAATTTTATAGATGGCGCGCATTCCTCTGACTGCTCTGCAGGTTGAGTATTTGATCAAAGAGTTGGACAAGGACGGTGATGGAGAGATCGACTTCAGGTGAGAACTATCAGTATCAGTTTGAATGGATGCAGTATAATTTTGATTATATTGTCATTTGTGTGGTGTCTGCATAAATAATGGGGTACCGTATCAGTTGAGCCAGTGTGGTGAAAAAGCATAATGATTATACAACATTTGAACTCCATAATATTATATTCCCCGAATCAATATTCAAAATGGTGCAAAAGGTACTAACTTAAAACCTATGTTCTGACCTTCCCTTAAGACGTAAAGACATACCCTGCTCTTTCGAAGCGAAGTCGAACGAATGCAAAGGGTACTAATAATGTCAAATCAATTCGACAGACACACTTTATACTGCTTCTGTAGAAAGAGATTATGTAAATGTCAGAAGTAAAATAACGTTTTTTTTCCAGTGAGCTGGTCGTTGGCGCAGAGACTCATGTATATACATAAAGTCGGGGAACCACCTCCAATTGCAATCGATGAGGCACATTTAGTTACGGTCGTTGCCACGATGCCAATAGCAGATCAGTTGTGTTGAGCTGCACCACACTTTGATGTAATAGCTGATCGAATGGATGGAGGCAACTGTAAAATACGTATATCAATAGAATCCACTACGAGATATTTTCATAACAAATATCACACTTTCATTTGAAAGAATCGTGGTAAATATTTATTGAAGAGCTTTTAATTGTTGGATGTGGTGTGTGGCATACATAAACATCATCATATTTTAGATTCATTAAATAAGCTCTAACTTGGAGTATTCACTTGACATGTGTATAAAATATATTGTTCAAAAACGAAATTATGTCTGTTGAATCGTTTTGACCCAATGAGTGAATCTGTTAAAGTGCTTTGTGTGGCAATACGATCGCATCCCATTTGCTTATAACAATCATTGTAACTACATTTTGGATGAAGCAAAAAGAATAAAAAATTTCGTTTTAGCCAAAACAGTTAGGTTAATGTATGCGTTCCGAGTCTTAGTCAAGTTCAATAGTAAAAGGTAAGACCAGGAAGATCATATTCAACGAGGTGTATCAGATTATTGACAGACATTTGCAGACTTGCGAACATACATTTTTTCATTTTCTCTTCTCTCAATATCATCCTGAGTGTTGAAAACACGTTTCCTACAAGGAATCCAGTGAAATCACTTCGGTGACAAATATCAATTTACACCAAAATTGTTTCAGATACGAGTAGATTACTACATATTATAAGGAATGGACTTCATTTCATTGATGCGAGTTAGCGCTAGCAGAAAACAAGAAAATGTCAGTCAAATTGCCACCGCTAGAGTCCTTTCGCGGGACTCTATTATTCATAAAGGATACATATAGGTTTATGATACATAAGACAAAGAGCCTAATAAAAACCAGTGCCACGGATAGAGGATAACATCACAGCCACCCATTTAATATTGATCAAAATTACTTGTAAAAATAGTTTCCTTGACATCCTTCGGCAACCGCCTAACTTCATGATTATAAACAACAGAATGTCATTTCTGCCCAACGGACACAGTCTCAGTAAATCTGTAAATGACAAAGCCTGTCGGTTTATTTCTTGGGGCATTAAATATATTTATCATATTTATCAAATAAACTCAGCTTTGATTATTGATTGAGACTCTGTTAGTATTACTTCTTTTTTGATAACTTACTAAAAGAAGACGAACACATTGAACTTACAAAATATTTATATAAAACTTTTATTATTTCAAGAATATACCAGCATAGTAATGTACAGGGTGAGGCAAAAATGTTTATATTTTTTATTTAGTTACTTTTTGATAATGCATGGATTTAAATAATACTTTCAGCGTGGAATACAGCAATCAATTGCACACCCAATTGAAAAAAGCCTATGGAAAATCATCTCCAATTATCACCTAACTTACTATTGATAATTAGTTGAAAGTTAGGTGTAAAAATTCACATGCAAATGAGCTAATTATCAACTTAATTAACGCTTAATTTGCAACTTAATTAACGATTAACTACCATCAATATGCAAATGAGCTATTTACGTAAATTAGTTGAAAGTTAGTTGTAAGTTTGATGTAAGTTAATCTCTAATTATCACCTAACTTACTATTGATAATTAGTTGAAAGTTAGGTTTAAGTCAGATTTGTGACATCTCAAAAATGACTCGCTTCTTTTTTGCTTCTCTTCACTCAGAGATTTTTGCTTCATCTTGAACTATTTTGTGACGGAATATTCATCTTAATTAGGATATTTCAGAACAGACAACATTGAACTTGAACTATTGAAATTTCACAGCAACAGGAGGGAAAACCCCATGATTCAATTGATGACATACGATTTCCTCCTTCGCACACCTCCTTTTGTCGAAAACGTACCCTCCATCTTGGTTTTCAAAGTTTTCAAATTGACCTAGTTTTAAACAATCAACGATCGACTCGCTAAACCAATCAGCGACGATGTCATCTCAATACAGATTTACATTATAAGCGTATGTCATCTTTGAACCCTGGGGTTTCTCCCCCTCTTTTTTAAAGCTATTCTATTTTGCAAATTTTTAAGATTCATGAAAAGCATGTGAAAACATCATTATTGCCATCAACAACTAAAATCAGAACACAAACATTAGACTATAATGTTACATAATAAGGACGTAACAGATATAATCAAAAATATGTTTTGAAATGTCTTTGATCTAACAATCATTATTTAGAAGAGCACATTTGGATTACTTGTGAAATATAGGTAACCCATGTTAGTACCTAAATTGCATTCTAGGATTAATATTATATGATCTGATTCAATAAGATTTTTAAATTCATAAACATTTCAGACAGAAGTGTGAATAATATTTAACATACATTGTATTCATGTTCTACATACCCTTATAATAATGTTGACCAAATTTCATGGTAGTATACGCACCATTCACGTTGTAATTCTCAATTTTATGAGAGAAATATCTCTCACATGTTTTCTTTTTCCACCATCTTGAAATTAAATTTAGGGGGTTTGTATTTCTAAATCATGGGCCTAATTTACGACTAATTATCATTATAATCATCCTATATGTTAACTATCAACCAATAATCTACTTCAGAACAAAAACGTTTTAATTTACCACTTACTATCACCCTAAAACATTTCATATCTTAATTATCAACTAAAAATCATAAATCAGCATTATTGTAAGTTAATTTACGTTGAACTTGCTACTGATAATTAGGCCATAATTATCATTGATTTAATTAACGCTTAACTTTAATTCCAATTGCCAGCAGAATTGTTGATAATTAGTTGTAAATTAGTTGGTAATAAGTTGGTAATTAGTTTTATTTTTCAATTGGGCATTAATCATGCGGAGATTATATAAGTACAGGGTGATCCAGAAGATGCATAGGTTTCTCAAACACTACTGAGATAATATCTTAAAAACAACCAACGATTACAAACTACCAGGCTCAATTAGTAAAATAAAGGAAACGGGGACAGTTTGCTCAATAATACCCTTGTAGAACCGTCTTCCTGGAGACCATAAGGAAACGAACAGCTTCTCACTAAACGATCTCCTCGCTAAAAACATCTAACCTACAATTTCAATCTCCTACTTACAGAACCTTGATAGAAAAGGAGAAACAGTACTAAATAAAATAAGAGTAAATCGATGTTTTAAATCCGATCTTTTTTACCATAATTTCTCTTTCATTAACGATCCATATTGTGACTGTGGAGTTCGAGAGACAGCACAACATGATAAACTCTTGTCCTACCCTCTGAGAGAAACAAATGCGCTAGCGGTGGTAAAAACGTGAACTAAACTTGAACTAAATACAAAACATTAAAAACAAGACAAATTTCCTACTTTTTGGCGAGAAGGATCTGACAAATGAAAACAATTCCAAAATGTTCAAGGCAGTTCTAAATTTTATTAAACACAATTAAACATGCGATAACAATAATTCAAATTCAGGGCACAAAAGGGGGTACAGACAGGCAGAAAAACAGATTGTATTTAAACTAAATTTTTATTTTGTTTTCTCAGAATGTGTTCAACCAAACATTACAATAGTAAATATACGACCGGGACGGATGATCAGTTTTTACTGGGATAAAGCCCCGGCACAGTAGTTACAGCGCTAAGCAGACCCATTGCGTACTGTCTGTGCGAATATTTGGGGAACATCAATACCAAGTTGCACAAAATTTGATTCGGTAGTATTGAAATGGCAACATTATTTTTGGAACGATTGGAGAGCTAATCCCTCCATCCCCATCAAAAATATTTCGAAACCCCATACATTCTTACAACAATGCTATCGCCAAATAAAAAATATGGTCATTTTTATTAATGCTATATGTGTACCAGGTGTATATCAAAACCTGTTAAAGAGGCAATATATCATCGTTCATTTGTTCTACCTATAATGTATTCATTTGGGAAACTTCATCTTAATATTCAATCGAATACTAAGACAAAAAACTATTTCTGAGTTGGTGATGTTATTATGTCCTCGGTCTGAGATGGTTCAACACCGACCCTGACCTTCACATCAATAGTTTTGTCACTTTTCACTGTTGGTGCATGTTTTCGAAATGTCTTCAAAGTTTGTAAATAATCACGAGAAACAGTTTGAGCGTGTGGATTTAATACTGCCATTTGGTGATTTTTCAAAGGTTTCAGTTGTCCTGGTTTAGTAAAATTGTTTCTAGTCGTGTGAAAATTTTCAAATATTTTGGTTGTCGAACTCTTTCGGTCAATAGGAAACAGAGCCTGGTAGTTTTTAGCGGATTCCAACAGTTTCTCCCGTTGGACTTCTCGTTTCATTTTTGGGTCATTGTCAATTATCGCCCTCTTTATCTCTGGTCTCAGTATGTCTCTTGAAAAACCAGTGTTCATAATCCTTGTCTCGTAATGCAGCCTCCTCCGTGAATCAGCCGAAAGTTCACTTGTTGATTTTAATTTAAAATCCTTTTGCATACAAATAAAGTTACTTACTTTGTATTGATTATGAACACAATAATTATACGCTTTGATTTCTTTCCATGTGTGATTGACTCTCTCCAGAGCTTTATCTGTCCTTAGTTGCTCCATTCTGGCGTGTTTATCGATTATGCGAAATATGTTTTTTGTGCGTGCCTGCTCCGCCTCGTTGATTCGCATGAGGCGGCGATGGTTTGCAGCCTGTGCGTCCAACAGTTTGCTCATCAAACTTGTGTTTGCTGGAGCTCCTTTAGTGACACCCATAGTCGATATCTTTATGTCAAGGAAAATATTATTTATCAGACAGAGCCATCCAATCACTCTATCTCGTAGTCTTATTGTTTATGAGATGGTGTTAGGTAAGTGTATTTTGGCGCATGAATATTTATTTTAAACTGTCATAGGCATCACTCTTGGTAACTTACATAATGACAACATAACATTCATAGTTATTGATCTTTTCCCCTGGCCATGGATATCAATTTATTTCTAGTCTCTATTATATCACTAGTGATCACGTAGTTACATACAGAAATCACTATATGTATTTCCCCTAGACGCCAATTGCCACTAGGACTATTGTTTCAGAGTCTTGTATGCTATATCTCCAAACGTCTTCAGTTAATGTCATGTGATTTCCGATAGTTTGTATTTTATGTAACGTGAACTTTGATCAAATAACGACACCTTGTTCATAAATCATCTGCTTTTAAATAACAAGAGGGAATGCGACACCTCCGAATCCAATGGATTAGCTGACTTTAATTTGGACAGATTTCACATTGACTTGTGTTGATCATTATGTTGACCATCTTGACCATTGGATCCCATCACTGCAAAGTCACACATAAGTAGTTTTCCAAATTGATTGTGATCTTCATGGACGTGGAGCTTGTAACTTGGTTAACGCTTTCGTCTTGTTTTGCCCTCACGTCATCAATTCCCCAAATCCATTATAATCTCCATGTTTCAATCACAGGTATCTGTATTTGTTTCTCATTGCACAAAATTGATTCATCGGGCTCGTTTTCTTTAAATTCATATATTTTCTTCATTGTGTTGTCACCAGTAACGAATGGCAACCAGGGTCAATTGAAGCTTAGGAAGGTTTGATATTTTCAAAATTGTTAAATGTAGCCTTCATAAAACTCGGATTAATACTATACTATACAAATAACTCGACACTGCTCAAGTAAAATATATTCAGGGATAATTGATATTTTCACAATATCTTACCCATTTCAAAATGGGGTTATGTAAAGATCACAAGAGATCCAATGGCCTCCTGCAAAGCTCTCGAGGGTTGTTTCAAGTATATGTCTGAACTATCCTTGTATTTCTTTGTTATACTAAAGCTTTATCAAATATTTTTAAAATACAGTATAGTATACCATTCCATAACCGCTTTTGCAATGTTAGTTTCAAATGGTAGCGATCAATATCATTCCTTATGAGTTTATACTTCTCAAGTTATACCAAATCAATTGGGCGCTTCACTTTTACTGATGCATTATAGATACTAGTTTAGTAACATCCATACTGTGGTGGAACTCCTCAAGCTAGTTACAAAAATGCATCAGTTTCGATAGCAAAATGGCGCAGCCTCGGAGGAACGATTTTTCGATTCCATGATTTCATGCAGGCAGAATCTTCAGGAACGTTTTGGCACAAACCTGTGTCAGTATCATATGATTGAGAATTTTTTAGCTTTTGCCATCGAATAGTTTACAGGACGCCAGAATCATCGATTTAATTCCTCACTTGATGTTTGAAAACGTTTAACATTTGACTTTTAACTGTTTCGTTTACGTAACAAGTGAGGAATTGTTTTAATCATTCTGGCGTCTCACGAACTATTCGTTCGCAACTAAATGGTAATGGTACCTTGGAGGCTTCGTCATTCTGTTACCGAAACGGATACACTTTTGAAACCAGTGTGAAGAGTTCAACCATTCCTGAGACTAACATAAAATTATGTTAGTCTCAGACCATTCTAAGATGTATATTTGTTTGGTATATAATCGCTTTGTTTGACATCAAAATAAGTGGAAAATGTCGTGATCGTTATATTGCTTTTTACCAAGCTTTATCAAAATGTTGTATGTGAAGCTTTTTTAGTTTCAAAATGTTATTTTTGGAGGATCTTTTGTTCAAAAATAGTTTTATTAAAAATAAAATTCTTAAATTGTCACACAATCATTTACACCAATATTACAAACATCCTAACCTACTTCGCCATGAGGATAACCTAGAAACTCAAACGCTAAGAAAATGGTTCCTCGAAAACTCCATTTTAAAATATAAATTCTCATTGAAGCCAATGATGTTAAAAACTTCGCCTGACAATAATCTAAAAACGCAGGAGTACTATACAGTTGAGACTATACAAATATATCTTCTAACGACCGTGCTCTATCGTTACACTAATTCAACATAATATTTTTATGTACAATACTTCAGTTTTCTTCTATATTTGGTATCTATTATTTACAAAAACAGCAATATTGCTAATTAAAAATAGTTTGAAATATTTAATCATCAATTTGCACATAGTTATATAAAACTGTATTTTGATGAAATAAAAAACGCAATATAATACTGACATGTGCATAACGCGATCATACGTTTTCTTAGAGACTAATCATCAGCTAAGATGTAAAATAAATATTATGATTGTGTTTATTTCTGTATAATGACTGAGTTTCTCTTACACTTTAAACATACTGGTAGTTATCATCAATTTCATCAGTTTATAAGTGTGAAAAAATAGATAAAAGTTCGTTTACACTCATGAATTTGTTGGCAGTACAAAAACATGTATAATTCATATGGCAATATGGTTTCTTTAAACTAGAGCACACTTCCCTTCTCGTCCGATTCCAAACCCCACCTAATGTCTTGGTAACCATGGCAGTATAAGGAATGGGAGTGATTGTTTCGTTTTTAAGTTTTAACTCAATTATTCAATGGTAAAGAGACATTACTTTTTGCCTTTCTATTCGATGGCCATGTATATTTCACAATATACATTTTATGTGTATTCAAAGATGTCGCCTCAAGACTATAAAATTATAAAATGCAATATAGATTTATCTCTCCTCAAAGTAGACGTCTCTCATCTCTCTGTCTCTTTGACACGACTTGGGATACCACTTCTTTGTTATCGGTGGTCGCCTAGCAACGTTGTTGAGGTATGGAAGGTGGATATCGTTGGTGTATTTATTGGTCCTAATGAGGCTGGAAAGTACCGTATGAGACACATTACAAAATGATACAGTACATTTGCTCAATTTATAGTGTAGTTTTTGATCTATAGCGCAATTGTACTTTAAGACTAAACATAAATGCATGATATTGAAATTTTAGGATATAATAAATAGCACTTGCAGCAATTGCAGTATATTAAATAGTTAATATTGATGAATATTCAAGAAAGAGCAAAAACGTCAAGAACTTTTGGACAACCCTCGTATTACATTACATTAAGACATATCCCTATATAGTAATTGTTTAAAAGCATAGTTCAGTAGTCTATTTAACCAGATTTAACACAAAATGAATTTGTAACTCAACCATGAATTTGGGTCGACAGAAAGATGGCGATAGTAGTATGTCTACTCTTTAAGGGATAGACCGAACACTTCTGCCATCTTTCTGCCGACCTATGACTAAAACCCAAATCTAAACTGAACTGAAATAAAACGTGGAAAACGTGGAATTTTAAAATTAACTATGTAAAGTTTTGTTGAACTACTTTGTTACCTAGACAAGAACAAAGAGCAGGTGGTGGGTTGCAAGATTACATGAAGCAGATACTGACATGGCTGCAAGAAGTAAAGTTTGACTATGGGGAGTTTCTATGGGCCGGGTTCATTGCATGGAGCATGTGCTTATTACACGAAGTGGGGTTGCATTTAGAGGTTTATAAAATAAAGCAGAGTTTAAACACACGAAGCAGGGGTTTATTTAAAAAAAACAGGCGCTGACTTTTGCTGGGATTAATTAGATTAAAATGGGTGTTGTTACATGAAGCAAATTTGACTATACATTTGTAGTGTATCATTTATAGCATGAAGGTTTTTTATACGAAGCGGAGGTTGATCACATGAAGTATTAGGGGTTCATTACAATACAAAGCAGGGGTTGACTTATTACCACATGTTCAATGGAATAGAGGTTCTCTATTACTCAGTTGTTTTTAATTTAGAATTCATGTCTAAAATCTCAAATAGAAATACGAACCCTGAAATAAAACTTGGTTAAGTAGAAAGAAAGGAAGCTATTAGTACAAAAAATAACAAGTCAAACGAGAACACTAGTACATCCTATTAGTACATCTATATCACATGCAAATTATATACTCACGTTATTTGGTAGAAATCTCCAGTAAATATCACAGCACAATTCCAGAAAACGTCACAGTGTATCAAAAGTGATTGTATACAGATAGTGTTGTTATAAAAATTAAACAGGTGAAAACACAGATAGTTTATTAATAATCAACATTCAAATATATTTTTATCATTAATTAATGACATTATTAAGTTACAACAAAAGGAGATATATCCTTTATATTCACACATATTTTAGTCTTGCATCTAGTCTCCCCCTCCCCACCATCCACCACATGTGTACTGTTCGGGGATATGTGTTTTATAAGGGGTCGATGCAAGACTATCACACAATTTATTAATTTACTCATAAGACTCTATATCACCATCAGTCATCAGTTATTACAGCATTTTACAATTGAAACGAGTATGTTGCTGTTGAGAGTCCTTTTTACTATCCACCGAGAACGTTGCTGCTTATATTGTCTTATATTGTATGGGTATGCTTATATATACTTTGTATTTTATACTATATGGGTGTGCTTAAAATGTCTTACATTGTATGGGTGTGCTTAAAATAAATGACTTGCGTCCATTGGATATGTTGAAGGAAGTATTGAATATATTATGGCTCTCTTAATCATGGCACTATATAGGTCAGACAGATAGCTGTCATCACAATCAAAACTAGTTGGAGACAATACAATCGATTGAAATGACATCTATCTATCAGTTCCTGAACTATGGCACTATTCTAAAAGCATTATAACTAGAAATACAGTTCCAGGAACATTATACTTGGCGTCTCCATGGTGCAGGTAAAATAATTAATCAAGATAACGGAAACAAATTCAAATTCCAATATTCAAAAGAAATGCAAAATGAGTAAAAAACTGAACTTAATTACGTGTTTAAATAACATTTAAAACACTGTCCAGTGAGTCACTTCATGTGGAAATTAACTGATAGACTTATCATCTCGATTTGTACACAAATCAAACACATAAAACACATCAATAAATTTCTTATGTTAGCATCTTATACTAAAGCAAGCATGTTATAGCCATATAGGACGGACGGAGGGACAAAGACTGTCTGCACACCCATACTCACAATGGTAAATGTTTCTTGAACTGATCCTCGGCTTTTACTGGTAGAACAAAGTGGTCCATACGTGGGACTTCACCCGTAGTGTCTTTGTAGTGCTCTCTGTGGGCATGCGACATCTGAAATAAAGACATTTTGTTTATGTGACACACTACATTAAAAGCCCATGTTTCTATATTCATACATACCAAGTTGATAAAAGTAATTAATCAATTAAAATTTAGTTAGAGATTTCATTAAAATATAAGTAAACAAGGAATCAACATGCAAAATGTCACCACCTGCCACCACTTTTGGTCGTGACATAAAAACCATGTCCACTCCATTTCTACTACTGTCAGACTGTACTGCTATCATTTCCTCAGCGTATATAAAATGATGTCCTCAGCGTAGAACATACAAGAATAAAAATAATTCAAGAAAACTGACCAGGTATAGCCTACTTTTAAGTTTGATTCAGTCGTTGTGGAGGGACTCTAGATGCAATCATGGAACAAGGGAAGAATAGCTTTACTTACCTTATGGAATTTGTCCAGTTGTTCTTGTCTATCATGATGAGTGTGTGAGAGTTCATAGCGAGGAGCAGCTAAACGCTTATCCCATGTTCTTGATCTATTGCTCATAACAATATCAGGATTATGTGAATAGAATGTTGGGAAACTACCTCCTTTGTTGTAGACACTGTGAGAATTGTTCAATGTTTCAGATCTGTAATCTTGGAAGTACTTGGAGGTTGAGTTTCCATATGTCTCCCCATAACTGAACTTTAATGTTGGACAATGCCCATGGTACCTAGAAAAAGACAATTCCACATCGATAAGTCGTTATATTTTGTCAATGTAAAAATTCTGTTGACTTGCTTCCACTGTATACTTGTAAGCATGAGAGACATGTAGTGAGTAACAAAGTAACAGATTGATGATGACGAGGAAGAAGCTACAAAAATAGTGTCATGGACCCACGAACTGAAAGTGAAAACTCGATACTAAATAGGCCGTGCCTGGAGAGCCTTAAAATTTAAGGCTCTCTAGCCAAATGGGTTACCAAAATGCTAAAGAGCCTTAAATTTTAAGGTTCTTTAGCATTTTGGCTAAAGAGCCTTAAATTTTAAGGCTCTTTAGCATTTTGATAGCCAATTCTGCTAGAGAGCCCTTAAGGAATTCCAGGCGACAGAAATGACGAAATGTTGCTTCTGGGACAAGATCAAACGACTTTCACATATTCTATACCCAACCTATTTTGTAATTCAACAATCAGCACAAATATACATACCATATTAGCAGATATCAGACAAATTCAAAAAGAAATTTTTTTTGATCGATAAAATCACTGATTATTTAACCGGAAGTGTCTTCTCTGAGGTCCGCGAAGATGAAGAAGATAACATATAAAGATTGCAGTCATTTCAACTAACTTTGCCGTCGATTTGATTTATATGGTTTTAAATGATCTTCTAATGCTTACTATGACTTCTATTAGTACTGTTTTGACTTCCCCACTTCATAAAAAAACATTATCACTTTTTGCTCGACTCATAAATTTACTTCCGGTGTACCGAGAGAAATAAAAGAACCTTTTCAATCCTCAGTCTAAATTTGGCTTTTTAATGGTTCAAACATCGATTTTGAACGGACTCATGCATATATCGAAAATATATGTCTCTGGTTCACCAGAGAAGGTGTAAGACCAGGCAATCACGTATATAGCCAGAAAAATGTTATTTTTACCATTTTATCCACTATAAATCACAACGTCTGTTTAGTAAAGATTTTGATGTATAGACATTTATTGATGGATTGGAGGCTAGGATAAAAATGTTGTTGTTGTGTTGCATAAGCCGCTGTTTCCTCGACAGTTCACCTCTTGTACTCAGCTGCTTGTACTGTAAATTTTCTTTGTGCTCTCTCATGTGCTTAAATTCTCACTTGTGAGGAAAATATTATGCAAAAATATCTCGTCACGTGAAAAATTCTAAAATCAGCATTGAAATCTAATGAGCAATATATTTGGAAGTGTATTCTGTGATGTCCCTTGGCTGATGTCCCTGCATTCACGATAAACTGCGTCAAAATGTGCTGATCTAGAAGAAACAAGATCCTTTTTCATCCCCAGGTCTTCATCATACTTCTTGCCATCTTAAAATGGGATTTCCTGTATTCTCATGACTATAGCAAAGCCAATACAAGTGATTAATTTCATTAAACATTGATGATTGAGCGATGGAGCAAGCCCAAGAATTCTAGAAAAAATTGTGTACATAATTTCCAGACCTCGGAGAATAAACTTCCGGCTTGTTATTCAAAATAAAAGGTGCTCAGTCTGGGAATCGAACCCACGCCGCAGAAGTGAATATCGAGCACCCTAACCACTATACCAGAGTGTTTCTCCATGATGTGACTAAGTTTTTTGCAACTCTACACATGTGTGAAATTTTTAAGTGGCATTCTGGGTTGAAAAACTTTGGAGAGTGTTGTTTTATTGTTTAGATGACGAAAACTTCAATAAAAAACAATATAAACATGGATTATAAACACAAAGGCTCTCTAGCCAAAACACTATGTTCACAGCTAAATAGCCTTAAATTTTAAGGCTCTTTAGCATTTTGGCTAAAGAGCCTTACATTTTAAGGTACTCCAGACACTTCGTACTAAATATGAATTAGACAGAATGTATCATTGTAATACAGACGCCCCCTGTGAAATAAATAAGAATGTGGGGCTTCTCTGGATCAAAGTCTTTCTTTCTTTGTTCTAGTCTGGTATTTTTATATTTGGTTGAAAATATACATATCTCGATGGAAAAATGCAGTAACTTGACTGCAGTCAGGAACCCGGAAATGAAAATTATATTTTACAAGCGTAATAAAATGCTTCAACTTACCCTGGCATGAACCTAGGTGGGATATAAGTCGCATTGTTAGTCGTTATCAGTGTCCCTGCACTCTGAGACATTTTTATTCCTTTTTGTCGAGAGGAAACAAGATAATATTCAAGCAAAGTGAAATGTATGCTTTCCCGTGTGCTGTTGTTTATATGACTAACAACGCAGTGTTATGCTTTGTTATTCCTCCGTGCAAAAATATAAATTGAATAAATCATTTGCTATTTTTATTAGTTATCACTTTAACAATATCATGAAAACATCCAAAAGATCTAAAAGAAAATACAATACGATTCCCTTTGGCAACGGTTATCGAATTTTTGGCTAAAGACACGCTGTTTCATTACGCGGATTGATATAACTGGTTGCTAGGAGTGATGTATATAGTGCACGAACCAGAACTCTCGTTATATATTTGTTCGATATAGCGAAATTGGTGAACGAAAAGTCATAGATTCCCGGGAGATGTGATACCGGAAAATGCACGTATTTTTAAAAGCGTTCATTTCGGCAACTGACCCCCCCATAGGATTGAGCATGGACATATATAGAGTGATGAATCCTGTTTTTGAATTATTGTGTTCCTGGATTATTACAATTAGATCGGACATTTATGATTCATTTCAGTACTTATTTGTACTTACCGCCAATCATATACATGCTCCAGCAAATGGGACATGGGAGACTTCAGTAGGATACCAACATTTTGGAGGGGATAGCAGATGTCTTTTTTGAACTTGATAATATGATAACGTAAAAGGACAAATTGTATTATAACTCTGTCATATTTCTTGTCAATGCAACTGCCGGCTGACGGCTTGACCTCCAACGCATTGAATTAATTGAAGTTGAATTGAAGTGCATCGGCCAGCCATACATGCACTGTAAAAAGGTATATTCTAAAACACATAGGACATTCGACGACTTGTACTTCGTTACCCATGTAGTCCCGGGGGAGGATATTGAATTCATTTATTTCCATTCTGATCAATCAGAAACACATTAATCAGAAAACACGAATGTAACAGAGCGTTTCTTGTTCAGAAATATCGAATTATATTGCTAATAGCTTATTCGATTTGAATAGATATAAAAATTGTATAATATAAAATAAGCCAGCATCAGTTATCTCGCAAATCAATTAACACAAGGATACTGAAAAATCCTACTGAGCCTCTGTCCCCCTCTCTATTTTTCTTAACAGCTTAGTTATAGGGTGAGTATAATAGTTTTGATACAAGACTACTGATTCTATCCTCCTCCCTATTTCCCTAAACAGCTTATTCATAAGGTAAGCATAAAAGTCGTCTTGATGCAAGACTATTGATTATATCCCCTTCTTGTGTCCCTGATCAGCTTAAGGTGGGTATTCGATTTGAATAGATATAAAAATTGTATAATATAAAAATCAGCCAGCATCAGTTACCTCGCAAATCAATTAACACAAGGATACTGAAAAATCCTACGGTGTCCACCTCTCTATTTTCCTTGACAGCTTAGTTATAGGGTGAGTATAATAGTTTTGATACAAGACTACTGGTTTTATCCTCCTGCTTATTTCCCCAAACAGCTTATTTATAAGGTGAACATGAAAGTCGTCTTGATGCAAGACTATTGATTCTATCCCCTCCTTGTTTCTCTGAACATAGTTTACTTATAACGTGAGTATGATAGTCTTGATGCAAGACTACATATTCCACTATAGTAGCTAAAGCATTAATTTCAATTAGATTGTTTATAATCATCAAACGCACTCTTTATCTTATTCGCAAATGCTGTCATAGTCTTATCCTCAACTATATCAATATGTTTCCCCTTTGCCGAGGGAAAGTTCATAGGTCCAATGCGGTAATGGTGAAGAAGAGCAAGTTTCGGGTCAATGATACGCTCAGTGTATCCTGCCCATAGTTTGTATGGAAAGTGAATATCAATGCTGTAGGCAGCTTCTACCTTGTACATTGCTTTACATCTAATTTTACCAGGTGGCAAGGGTTCAGACGGTCTTTTGAAGGAAGTCTGGGTCATGAAAAATGGTTCTTTACTTTGGACAGCACGGTTTCTACCAAAATAGACATGCTGGAACAAATATGCACCTATGTTTTCTTTTGGTGTTTTATGATCTTGCTTTTCAATGGTATTCAATAGGAACTTCCAGTTATAGTCGCTAGTGCGAGAGACCATGAACTCGTCCAGATCGTTGACTGCAAGGTATTTGACTTGCAGTTTGTTGCGATATAGACAGTCATTTAGGGCAACCCTTTGCATAAAGTAACTGACATCCAGCGAACGCGGGTACACCCACGGGACAAGCTCTACTATTCCAAGTGAAACGTAGTGGTCCATCAACTCACGGACGTGTTCTCCCATGGATACTTGACCCATATCGTAAAATGTGATACGGGTCGCACCGAGGGCTTTGTGGATCTCGATAAACTCTAGCATCGGGACAATGTCATTGACGTGGTTGTAAAGAGGAGAGACACATACTCCGAAGTCCTCTCGCTCCTGATAACCTCGATCATCGGGTACGTTGAGGACAGTGAGATAGTTATCAGGTTGTTGGCATGGAGACGGCACCACTGATACAGCGAATGGATGTTTTGACATTGATCTCCTCTTAATAGGGCAGTTAATGAAGTGAACGGTATACATGTCTCTCTCTCCAATACTTTTATAAACTACTTCATAGTTGGCTTCTCCAGTTGGAACGCCAAAAGTAGCCTTATCATCATACCACAGGATACAATGTATAGGTCCAATATTGTGAAACATTCGTTGCTGACCTGCAGCAACAACACGAACGACAGAGCTATTGAAATTATTCAAAGCGTGGTCCAGAAACGCAGAAAACACATAGATAGGCCTGTCCGAGACATTCTGGAATGTCCTGGATTCGTCATCCCAATGACTAGGCGATGATATACCATTGCATGTGATACCAGTTGATGGGACATGTAATCCTACGTGTCCTTGTATATATTTATCTGATGTGACTTTCTTTAGTTGTGCCCTTTCATCAGTTGCGAGTTTGCCGATATTTTCCCAAATAAACTGATCAGATACATTTAATGGTTCCACATTATAGCGTGAAGATTTGTTGAACCGAAAATAACTGATTATTAGTTTGCCGATGATGATCCCTATAATTGCGAGTACTAAATAAGCACATTTTGATCGTTTTAGTCTCACCCATGACCGTTTCACATCATGCATGACTATTCACTCCGTTCTTTAACAAAACGATGTTTCTATTTTAAAAATCCCCTTTCCTGATGCGCTCAATTTTAATTAGTCTTAATTTATATTTATTTTTAATGTTTGCTATTGTGCTATCAGCTACGGAGAGCTGCTGTTTTTACATGTATAGTGATCGATACTTTCTAATCGCTATATAAATAAAATACAATAAACATGATTTACCAGATAATCAATATCTTCCATGTCAAATGTTTCATAAATAGCCTCAAATGCTATCATAACACTCGTCATTTGATTTACCTTACTTGTGCAAGATAACTTATTTATTCAATTCGACGACAAATACCTATCGATAAACCTAATGTAAATTTTTGCAATTAAGAGTACATTGTATCACTGGAATGTCCATAATATAAATATAAAGTACTCCTTAAATTTTTATCTATACTTCTATTTATTCATATTTTTGCACTCACTCACCGACTGTCCGACCATTACTGGGTCTCAATTTCAGGAATATAAAAATTTCAGACCACTATGGTACGTCAACAAATATTTCAAAATGTAGCAGTGGCTGGTAAACATTACACTTGAAAAAAGTTCACTGGTTAAGTGATCGATCCAATGGTCCTAATGGGGAATTAGGTACAAGTACTATTATATGATAAATTGATGATCATATCGAGACGGTTACCATCATCTAATCTAATATATAATCATCTACAAGTTCTCAGAAGTTCAAATCTGACTTTAGATTTGAGATTCCACCTTCAACGACATTTTCATGGTTAAATTAAGGGTCTTTTTTCAACTTGCTTCAAATTGACCATTTTTCAAAACCATCTACAATAATATTGTGATCAACTAGGTAGTGATATTTCGTCATGTTAATGCCTTGTTAAATGTTGTCTATGAAGCTAAAATTAACTCTGGACAAATTAGGGCTAGAATGAAGATAGATATGGGAGGGCAAGGAAGGGGGGCGACCACTATATAACAATCCTTTGACCTTGAGAAGGTCAATGAAGGTCAAATCTCAATTCTAAAGTCAGATTTTAACTTCTGATAACTTGTAGATGATTTTGAAAAAAAATTGGACAATTTGAAGCAAGTTGAAAAAATACATGTTCGACATTTTAGCTCACATGGTGAGCTATTGCAATCATTCACTTGTCAGTCTGTCTGTCCGTCCGACCCTGAAGAATCAAATCAAGACAACAATCAAATCAAGAAAAAGGAAGAAGAAAGAAGAAAATGAATGAAGACACTGATGCAGCAGCAACAAATTACGTCCGTCTGTCAACAATTGGCCCATTTTAAAACCTCGGTCAAAAGGAATCGATCCCGTTTTAAGTTACTTTTATTCAACATCAATATTAAAAAAAAAACTATGGACCATTTGCTTTAAATCCCGTGTCGATAGGATTCTCGTTTTAAGTTATTTTTGTTCAACATCAATACAAAAAACTCCCCTATGACTCCAGGTTCAAAAGCTTGCCTATTTGCAAAATGGTCGCCGTTTTTGTCTCGCGAAATACACTTTTGCCCCATTTCCTAGCTTTACCAATAACTTCAGGTATCCTGCATTGTAAAAAAGCCATGTCACTGTAAAGAGTAGTTGTATGAAATAATTTTGTTACAAAAAATCGATAAAAAATCATATCCGTTTTTTATTTTCAGCCATTTTAGTTAAAAAATGTAAAAAAATGTTTAAATTCTCCCAAATCATAGAAAAATAATACATTATTGTAAAAATCTTTAGTTTTCCTGGAATAAAGTATGCACTTTTGTGATTTTTAGAAAATAGACATGATAAGGAATGACGTGAGCCAAAAATATTCTAAAATTGAAACAATTTTTTGTTTAGCCTGCTCGCTATACCTGATTACCTCTTTAACATTGATTTGTCCATCTGTCTCGCGAAATCCACTTTTGGACCATTTGCCTTAAACCTCTGTCGATAGGATTCCCGTTTCAAGTAATTTTTTTCCAACATCAATACAGAAAACTCCCCTATGACTCCTGGTTTAAAATCTACATATTTTCAAAATGGTCGCCATTTTTGTCTCGTGAAATTCACTTTTGGCCCATTTCCTAGCTTTACAAATAATTTCAGGTGTCCTGCAATGTAAAAAGCTAGCCATGTCACTGTAAAGAGTAGTTGTATGAAATAATTTTGTTACAAAAAATCGGCAAAAAATATTCGTTTTTTCTGCGATTTTAGCCATCATTCACTTCAGAGCATCACCATGTGATCCCAGTACCCACGGTACTATTTATTTGGTCAAATCTCAAATCTAAAGTCAGATTTAAACTTCTGTTAACTTGTAGATGATTTTGAAAAAAAATTGGTCAATTTGATTGGAAAAAATTGGTCAATTTGAAACAAGTTGAAAAATACCTTTTTGACCTTTTATGACCTTGAGAAGGACAATGAAGGTCAAATTTCAAATTTCAGGTCAGATTTGAATTTCTGATAACTTGTAGATGATTTCGAAAAATTGGTCAATTTGAAGCAAGTCAAAAAAGACCTTTTTGACTTTTTTTGATCTTGAGAAGGTCAATGAAGCTCAAATCTAAAGTCAAATTTGAACTTCTGATAACTTGTAGATAATTTTGAAAAAATTGGTCAACTTGAAGCAAGTTGAAAAATACCTTTTAGACCTTTTTTACCTTGACTTTTTATTTAAGACTTTATTTAAGAGTTGACCTTCAGAGACCTTGAAGAGCCTCCAGAGTCTCTGAAGGTCAAATCTTAAATAAAAAGTCAGAATTGAACATGTGAAAACTTGTAGATGAAAACTTGTAGACGGAGACTATAACAATATGTCACCACTTTTTGGTGGTGTAATTCTGGCGACAACAATTATACTATTTATGAAGTGTAATAAATGTATAGGCCTGGAATAAAGATAGGAAACACGGGATACTAGAGTATCCGCGTATATTGAGTATGACCGGTTCTTAGGCTACGAATATGACCTGTTTTGGAAAGTCATGAGAGGCACAGCTGCTTAAAAATGGAAAATAAAGGTTAACTTCTATATTATCCTTTTTGAAATTGTGTTTGTTGAATATAGTTTATGCTGTATTTAATAGTAATGTAACAAAAAAATGTTAAACATGAGCTATTTTAGCAATGTAACTGTTCATAATGGAATATCAATCAGAAAGTACAGATTTCTCGCCTTAGAGCCAAATCATTAATATCACAGTAGAAAAAAACAAATCCCAAACCTTTTTATGGCTAACCTGAACAAGATCTCCAAATCTCAGTTTATATGATCCCCCGTAGAGTGAGCAAGAGAAGGATTTATCTTTTCCCAGAGGATACGCTTGTGAAATGTCATGGAAACGAGTGTAACACGGCCCACTGATTGATGTGATCGGAATGTTACCGGTGTAGAATACGAGTGTATGTATTGGGAGCACCTAAACTCTCCATTATGGTACCCTCGAACGTGATCGTTCAAGGTGTCCTTGCTTTTATAAATCTTGCCACACTGATCGCATTCAAAAACATCATAAACAGAGGTGTGCTTTCTGGACATATGCCTTGTAAGACTATTTTTGTGTGTGGTGTTAAATTCACACAACGCGCACAACAGTGTCTTGCGTTTTGTGGCATCGGGATCGCTAGTACCAATCAGCTGTTGAACACCTTTAGGGGTAGACTGACAAACTTTATAATATGTTCATATTTTCAAATACATGATAAACTTTTCTTTCCATACATTGTAATGTATTGGTATAAAACCTGTCTTAATATATTACTGAAATTCGATAAAAATGTTCTAAAAGCATATTTTGCCATTACTTTCGCCAACATTCTGAAATCGGGTCAACTGATTTAACCACAAATCTACAAAAGGTCTGAAATGGGACAACATAATTATAATCAAACAAGGCTATTGTTTTCGGTCTACGTTTAACTGAATTCTTTTGGAAAAAATAGGCTCTTGACACTATAAGTCATCTACTCTTATTTAGTTCTTCCCACTTTATATTGGAGACCTACTGCAAGCGTCTGAAGAGTCTCAACATTCTGGTATTTCGAATTACCTTTTGCATCTGTCACCGCTAAAAGTCGTATCCAAACACCGGTTAAATGCCGATCCAAGACATTTCACAACCGTATTCTCCAATAATGGGGCACCAGTGACATTCGTATTCTCAAAAATTCAAAGATGTATCATATTTGGACAGAGCAGGCTAAATTATTTAAAATATTCATGACTAATTCGTAGATCTAGCTATATATTATACATAAGATGTGTCATCCTCTTCGGAGTTGCGTTGTGTTACACAAAAACTGATCAAAGATGCTGGAAACTAGGATTTTACGGCTTCAATCTAATATTAATACGTTTTCTCTTGATTAAGGCCCCTTGTGATATGCCTGGCATTATAAGTATACCAAGTATCATTCATTGACCAAGTAGGATAAAAAGAAAACGTTCGAAAGTGTTCATAAAAAGCAAGTACTCACCTCGTCTGTTTATAGGAACAGAAATACGGTCACACTCGTAAGCTTAGAACCGGTCATACTCAATATACGCGGATACTCTAGTTACCCGTGGGAAATATAACATACGAACGATACGATACCCTTTTTGAAATAGTATCATTAAACATAGTATTATATATTAGACTATATGTAGTCTAATGGTAATTATGCTAAATCAATGGTAATCAGTGCTTCAATTTTAACAATTACAAAGTTAAAAGATGTCGCTTTCATAATGAGGCAAAGTAATAAATCCTTTAAAAATCACGATATTATATTAAAGGTTTATTCATGTCTTATTTATGTCTTACCTGAAATAGACATGCAATGCAAAATTTAGATAAATATCTGTTCAATGAGTTTTAATTAGTTTCAAACTGTGCCATGAAGCCTTTATCAGAAATATGTTCTTTGAACTTCCCCCCTTTAATTAATGCTCATTGCAGTGTCACTATTTCCAATTCCGATTCCTTCCAGCCGTCGTTTGACAGATCCCACCCCGCAACCTTAAAGGCAGGATGTTTATAAAAAACGCCATTAAAATACCACTTATACACGACTCAGGTGTTACCAACTATGATAAAAAGACCATGGCCTTTCAAACAGATTTACTTAG